TGTCATATTGGGTTCTTCATCGAACGTCTTCTTAAAATAGAAGAGATGATAACTCAAAGTTTCAGATTTTGTGGTAGCACACATGTCCGTTACACGTTATTATTCCATAAACTTGACAACTTCATACCAAATGAGAGTCAGAAAAATTATGGATGAGTATTTAATTTCAAATAAATACATTTTTCCATTAAACCAATTAAGAAAAATTGAGTTATATTCAATAGGAGTAACTTATAAATCAATTGAGATAACATTTTTGTGTAGAATTTTCAAGTTGGCTTTTTTTTCTCCTCATATAAATAATAAAAACATGGAAGTATAAATTTTATTCAGAAATAAAAATAAAAACATATAAAACCACAATTTAAGTTAATCGTTGACAGATCCGGAGCAAAATTGTCTTCTTGCTGGAACATATACAGCAGGAGTGGGCACAATTTTTTAGTATGAGAGCCGCATGCTGCAAGTCAGAACTTTAAAAGAGCCGCAGAATTTGTGAATTTATCATTATTATCAAAATACCTTGAACAGAAAATAAATTCACACAAGAGTCTAATAACAATAAATAGATAAATGAGATATCGCGTGCATCTAACAGACATACATACAGACAAATACCTATCAACATACTTACCGATTAAAATAGATAAGTAACAAGGCAGCTATGCTCAAATATATGCACAATTTGAGCTCATTTGATTTGTGTTTCCTTATAGCTGATTTATAAGGGTAATCTCGTAAGAAGTTTTCATGATTCGATTCATGGTGCCGTTTAACATTGCTGACTTTATTCTGACTTAGTAGCTTATGGCAGATTATGCACAAAGGTTTATTCTTCTGACTGGTAAATGCGTATTCTTCTTCCCATTCTGACTTGACAACTCTGTTTTCATCTTCGTACTTTCGTTTCTTAATTGAGGACATATCGCACAGTAACTTGGAATAACTAACCGCAATTAAGCTGCAATACCGCCGACGCATCAATAAACATTGCATATTGTGACGAAAGATTTGCTGACTTGACCGACTTAAATTCAACGCTACAGCGATTTTCATACTAAAACATAATTTGTCTAAATCATTGACGAAAACTTCTTTACGACTTTTAATAAATTAATTAAAAGAGTTTACATTAAAGTTTTTCTCTTAGTTAAAATTTGGATAATAATTTATGTCAGCGAGAAGAGCCGCACAAAAAGTCTGGCGAGCCGCATGCGGCCGATCGGGCCGATCGGGGCTAGCCCCGAAATTATGACGACACAATGCCGACGTTTCTTACAACAACGTGTTGACATATTTCACGCATTCCTTCTCGTTCGTTGGTTGCTTGAAGAGTTGATAGTTTCCTCGCCTTCGTTTTTGTCGCTTGTTTCGCTATTTGAATCAGTTAGAGACCTTTAGTCCATTTGCTTTCGATTTTCCACATTCCTTTTGAGCTCCTCACTTCTTTCCGGCTTCGCATTTCTTAGCCTTAGACCTCATAATGAATAAGGTTGATGCACTACTTCGCACTCCGTTTTCGCAGCTGCCGCTGGAACAAAAATTAGAGGTACAACGTCTTGGGCCTTATCAACCAAAAAATTGTTCACTGGAACAATCCCATGACGGAGGAAAGCGTCGGCGTACATTCTGCGCAGAAACTTGGTATAAAAAACACGAATGGTTGTGTTACAGCGAGGACAAAAATGCACTTTTTTGTTTTTATTGCCTACTTTTTGCTACCGCCCGTGACTCACGTTGGTGTAAATTTGGTTTTAGAGATCTTAAACATCTTTCCGAGCGTGCCAGGGATCATCAATCTTCTATGGAGCATCTGGACAATGCAGTAAAATACCGAACATTCGGAAATGTTAATATTGCAGCACAGTTGGATGAAGGACGCGCGGTTTCTATTCGTCGGCACAACCAAAACGTCGAGAAAAACCGCCATGTTCTCGGTCGATTGATAGATGTTTTGGAGTTCATTGGTTGTCACGAGCTGTCCCTGCGTGGGCACGATGAACGGGCTGGCTCTTCTAATAGAGGGGTATTTTTGGATATGGTGGAATACACCGCATCCCTAGATACAGTATTGAGAGATCATCTTGATGCCGCAACTGTTTCGAAAGGGACATCTAAGGATATCCAAAATGATTTGCTCGACTCAATGTATAAAATTTATTTACAACATTTGGCTCTGGAAATTGAGAATTGCCAGTTACTTTCGATTCAGTCTGACGAGACAACTGACATCACGTGCGTTTCCCAACTGGCTGTGATTTTTCGGTTTGTGAAAGATGGTAAACCTACCGAGAGATTTCACAGCTTTGTACCAATCGTTGATCGCACGGCTTGCGGGATATCGGCTGTACTGAAAGAAGTGTTACAGCCTTACAACGCGAAGTCAAAATTGATAGCTCAAACTTATGACGGCGCGGCAGTCATGAGTGGGTCGAAACATGGTGTTCAAGTTTATATAAAAGAAGATTTTCCTCATGCGCATTTTTTACATTGTTATGCACACCAATTTAACCTCGTTATTAAAATTATTGTCTTGATAGCCCTCTCGTCCGTATATTTTTTGCAAATGTTTCGGGGGTTTTCTTCATTTTTTCCGTTTCGCCGAAAGCGCTCTGATCTCCTTCGCCAGATATGTAGCCGCCGTCTCCCAGCTTGTGCACCAACACGTTGGACGTTCCAATCACGCGTGGTGCAGGGCGTGTCCGAAATTAGGTCTGAGCTCATTGAGTGTTTCAATGGCATTCAGAGCTCTCCGGTTTGGGACGAACGCTCTGTGAGGGAGGCGGCAGGTCTAAAGCGTCTGCTAGAAGATGGTGAGTTTTCATTTTTCTCGCTTTTTTCTCCACAATATTCTATCACGTGGATGTATTATACGGCGCATTGCAGTCAAGGCTAATGGATGGAGCGTCTGTGCAGTCGTGTATTTCAGACTTCTGCGATGCTGTATCTCGTATCCGGGAAACAATAAAATACGACGACACATGGAGTGCTTCTTTACGCCGCGGGCAAACAACGCAGCGTTTGATTTTGTCTGCAAAGGAATGCTGTGACATTCTGGTGAATCAAATAGGCGATCGTGTGCGCACTGAACACCTTGCCGCGTTCTCTTGGATGAACCCCAAAAATTTTTCAAAATTTGCACGTCAATTTCCCATCCATTTGTTGGCTACTGTCTCCAAATTTTACCCCATGATAAACGTGGGTAAATTGGAAAATGAATTGCGATGTATATACACCAATCAAACTTTTTTGAACATCACATCAACTTGCGCGCTCCATGGGTTCCTCATAGATAACACTCTAGTAACTACCTTTGCGGCGTCTGCAAAATTTCTGGACATCATTTTGACGACGCCTATTTCTTCCGCCGACGCAGAGCGAACATTCAGCACGCTGAAGAGTATTAAAACGTATCTCAGAAACACAATGAAGCAAGATAGATTAAATTCCTTGGCTGTTTTATCCATTCACAGAGACGTTATTTCTGGGATGCATGACTTTAATCAGCGCGTTATTGAGCATTTTGCTTCCAAGAAACCGCGGCGTGTTGCATATATGTTCAAGCAGTAGAAGTCTAGCAGCATATATATCTATGAGTGAGCGACGCATGTCCTTATCTTCGCATTAACTTTCCTTTCTTCATTGTAACGTTTTAAACCTTATTTTAGGTTTTGTCTGCTTTCCCGAAGTTTCTGTTAATATGTCATTGTATTTATCTGGGTAAATATTGCCTTTCCTTTTGAAAGAGGTTTCAAAATAGACTATGTCTATATTTATTAATCCCTTGACTTGGACCGGTTTTAAAGACACTTTCTTATCGTTAAAAATTGTCGTTTTTGCCGATAGGTTGTTACCGATGGAATGGTTTTTATACTCATAAAATGATGGGAGAACTTACAGCGCTCATCCTGTCCCCGTAGATGGGAGTGACTTGGTCCCGCAGTAGCTTGCCCCGGTTGTCAAAATGACCACGCGCCGCCACTGGCAAATATATATGGTTGCAAATGTTCGTTGGGGCAAATATACATGGGTGCAAATGTCCATGCTTGCAAGCGTCCATGCTTGCATTTGCATTACTTGAAAAGTGAGTAACTTGGAGCTACATTTTATAAAAATCGTAAAGTAAGTGCAAGCGAAAAGTCATTAATCAATGCATTATAACTTCTGTAACAAATGCTCATTGTTGAAGTATCCAGTAACAAAATATCCGATTTAATTCAAGTTTTTCGTGTTTATGATTTTTTGTTAATGGGGTCTCATAGTACGTCAAATAGCATATTAGGTGTTGCATGATAGCAGAAACATTTGAAAACTCTCCATTCCAGATTGCGACTTGTTTCATTACTGATCTCATCGATAAGAATATCAATCTAGTGAAAAGTATTTGTCTATGTGACTCAGTTCTCAAATAAATTATTGGCTAACATTCTAAGCTAAGGGTATTATTGTGTGAAACAGTTGTTTGCGTAGGTTACATTCTTCAAATATTGTGTCCAGTTATTTAAGCATCTTTTCAGTCCAATTAATCGATTTCCCCATTGCTCAAAACTACCCTCTCTTCGCATAATTAGCGTATAATGCGAAATTTCCTGATTTGTTGTTTAATCAACCATATACTTGGAGATTATGTTAATATGTTCCACCGCATCTCTGACTACTCTGCGTGGGTTCGCAGGTTCGAATCCCATGCGGGTTTTTTATGTGCGAGAGGATTGCTGGACTCCTCGCTGTCGTAGGGTGGTTCACTTAACCGCTGGTCGGTCACGGCTTTCTCCACCATCAAGTCCATGCTTTCGAAAACAAATAACTAACTAATCCCATGGACGAGAGGCCGTGGTTCGCCATATAGTTAAGCCGTCTTATCGGCTTTCCTTTCCCCTGGAATAAATATGTAAATCCTATCCACAATTCGTGGTAAACCCTTTCTTGATCGGGCTTGGGCGTGAAACAAAAACCTGACCAATATGAATGAATATTCAACATAATGTTAAATCATACAATGCAGTGTCAGCGTATTATCTAATATACAGTATAAATATGAGTCGAAAAAATCAATGGAAACGAAATATTTTTCAGGACTATATTGTTGAGTATTTCTATCATCCTAGATGTTCGAGAATTGGTAGGGCATCATCTAAAATAATGAGAATAAGAAATAGTTTATATTTTGGAACAAACAATAATTTAATATTCGTCATGCTTAACTGATTTTATATCTGTTATTTATGCTCAATATACAAAATGTAAGATAAGAAATATACCAGGGTCGTTTTCTTCAACAATAGATCTTTTCTTTCTTCCCCACGATCCACCTCCACCAGTATGTGTCGATTGAATGCTAGGTGTGAAAAAACTTTATTAAATTTCTAGGAAAATTTCCCCGAACGCATGAACAACTTGTGGAAAAGCACAGAACTACACTCTATTGTGAACAAATACTAATTTAGTAGATCGACTTGGAGTTCAATATATATCAGTACCGGTAACTAATATTTTAATTCCTATGCAAAAAAGATTCAAAATAGGACTTTCAGAGGCAAAAAAGATCTGTCTTGTGATTTTAGATAGCAATCGCATAATTTATAAGCTATAATGTCAAAGCAACAGTCGAGCTACATAACGTCAAGTCGCAAACGTTCAGTTAGTGTCAATTTACTAATTGAAATAATTAAACTTACGAACTGCAGGTATAGCAGGTCAACTGGGGACAAGCTCTATCGAAATACGTAAGTCTGCTTGAGCTATTGCAATCACCCTGTTCGTGCGCGGTGGTTTTGGCGAAATCTATTTCCAATTGATAAACTAAATGTGTTCACCGAAAAAAATAAAATTCTAAAATAAAAGAAAATACGTTTGACTTACTCTGTGTTACCTGTTGCCTGTGTGTCTGATGCTACCAATGAATTTTCATCCATCATCACAAGAAACACAAACACGAGCAGCGCATAAGGTATAATCTTCATGCTAATTTGATTGCTTTATCTTATTACGGTGAAATATGAGCACGTCACAAAAACAAGTAGCCTACAGATGTTTTTTTCATTGAAATAAATTATAAATGTGTTCAATGGTACCAGTAGCAAAAAAGAGAGTTTTCTGTTTTGAAATAGTTAGATATCTACAGACTTAACACTTAGTTCGGCTAAAAATAAGAATGCTACATAGACGATTAACTAAAAAGTGATTTATCTTCTAGAAACCAATTTCAAAAGTATTTAAGATGTAAGAAATGAGCGGATGAGTTCTACTATTAGATTCGATTGACTAAACAATGTTAAATGTATTTATGATGGAATATAACAATTTAAAAACCCAAAATTAGATAAAATTAGTTCTAGCCTGTTTCACAGATGCAACAAGTAGCTACCAATTCCTACCGTGGTGAAGAATGAACTATCCAAAGACCCGTACATCTCTCAGTTCGATATCAGCTGAACGCTTTTCAAATACTTAAATTGAATAGCCTATAATTGTGTTCAATATATAAATGATCATGCAGCTCGTCATATTATTATACCTCTTTATAAATTGATCCCTAACATTTGAAAGTAATACGCAGGTTCATTTCTCCATAGAAAATGAATCAAAACTTATTTTGTACCTCAAGGTTGTCGGAATTATGATAAGACAATCATACGTTTCGGAAATGATCATTTTTTTATACACATAAATACAGGGTGGCCCAAAAGTAGGTATACAGTTATTAAACTATTTTACTGTATAATAATTTTAATAACTGTATACCTACTTTTGGACCACCCTGTATAATTTCGAAGTAAATCATAATAGAATTTGCAAATCGATGATGCTGAAGCTATCTATTTTATAAGTAAAGCTCCTATTTAATTGCTATTATTCCACCATTCAATATACTTCAATTACAGGGTGTTAATATGTTTTATTCAGAGCTAAGTAATGTAGAAAAAGGAATAATATTCGAATAGCAAATTCTAATCCAAAAGCGGACAAATAAACAAACCGGAAGAGTTACTCTTGTAGCGATTACATTATTCATTGATTTCGTTTTCAGTTATTTTTGTCAGTTTTTGATTGTCTGATTTAAACTATTTTACAAATAGAATTTGATATCATTCTTAATCATTTCTTTATTAAAGAGAAAATTTTTCTAAAATGTCATATAGGATATATATATCATTTAACGTATTATTTGAATAGAGAAGGTGCGAACTCGAAATTTCTGATTTCGTGGTAACACACAATAAATATAAACTTGACCTCTGACAGCTTCATATTAATGGCTTGACAAAATTGACAATGAAATTCAGAAAAATTACGGATGAGCATTTCGTTTATTAAATAAACACATTTCATCAATTGAACGAATTAAGAACAACCAAGTTATATTCAATAATAGTACATTTTTATAATTCAATTGAGATATTTTAGGTAAACTTATTTTCATCATTAATATTTAAATAACAAAAACACTAGGAAATGAACTTTATTTAGAAATAATAAAAAAAACGTATAAAGCCAGTTAACTGTTGGCACACTCCGAGCAAAATTGTCTTCTGGCTGAAACATGTACGGTAGGCCAGTAAGGTAGCATAGACGAACAGACGTCACAAATCCGGAAAATTTCCAGTTCAAAATGAGAAAAAAAAGATATAAACATCATTAATATTAAATTTATCTACATTTCTAATAGTCAATTTAACTACAATGAATTTATCCATCTGAATCTTTGACTTTTTATGTCATAATGAGAACTAGGTATAACGTTGAATACCACAATGACAGTCTTGATGATGTAACAAATTAACCAATAATTTGGATAATGGAAGTCAAATTCTATATAATAATTGACGTAATCGAAATATTGAAGAGATCTTTCTAGTCTTTCTCGTGTATGAGAAAATGGATATTTTCCCATGTCGGGTGACCCATAAACAACCGAAATATTGAAGAGATCTTTCTAGATCATTCGAAATATTGAGTCTAGATCTTTCTCGTGTATGAGAAAATGGATATTTCCCATGTCAGGTAACCTATAAACAAGTGTAATTATTGTAAGAAGGGTACCGAACATTCTAGATATGAGCAAAAATTGCTCCGTGGGAAACGAGATTTTTGGATAATAAAGAAAGGTACCGTTTTTGGCGAGCGAGATGAAAAAGATGTTACCATTTAAATAAGACATTTGATCGTGGTTTGCCGGCTTTTCTTTTTCAATTCGTTCGATACAACAATGCTAATTCATCACCGACTTGGTTTTCACGATTGTGAGTGTGTTTTATTGTAAGTAAATTTATTGTGATATATTATCCGTGGAAAGAAAAATCTTTACAGGCAAATTGGTCAGATCCTTACTGTTATATAAAATTAACAGATATCTCAAATTGAACACGTAACCTACTTATATATTCTGTTTTTGGAGTCAGATACTTATCTAATTCGCTCAATCAGAAAGCAAAGAGAGTCAGAAGTTACAATGACATTATGGAAAAGTACGATATGATCTTATATACGACGCAGTAGCGTTACGATCCTCCGTTGTTGTTGTTGTTGATGATATATTTTTATTATTACTGTAAGTACTTCTACACTCATAGATTATATTTTTTTCTATGAATCGAGCTAAGATTCTGATTTGACCGCGTGGGATGATTGTTTTCGAACCGCCAAACAGACTACTTATGTTGTGATTGGTTTGAGGTTTACATTGATTCTGTCCGTGTGCTATGCAGAAAGAAAAGTTTGCTGGTCTGGGTGTCATGCATGATTTGTTTGGTATGGATTATTCCCAGAAGCGTGATTGTGTATTGCATATGTTTGAAGGCCAAATGGAAATGGTGAGACTGTTTCTTTGCCTTAACCATTCCTTCTGTTCTCATGTGTAGAATTTTAGTTGATCGCGAGAGACGGCACGGTGATTGAACCATGTTGCCCTTGTACTCCCAATAGAAATGTTACAGCCATGATGACATGAGTTGCTTGATAGTGAATTTTAAGATGTTTTATGCTAAAATCTTGTTACAGGAGGTGAAAATGCCTGTGGCTTTGCTTATATTGTTATGCCATCGATGACATCTCACTGACTTTACCATCTCATTTCTGAAGTCAAGTGTTGAACAACGTTAAGTTGTTAACTCATTAAATTTCGGGATGTTTTTCTGGCACTGATATCAAGATGAGGCAGACTTCGGCGTTGGGTATTACCAAAGATTATGAGCATGACTGATTTAATATTTATTGATCTCATCGATAAGAATATATGTGTGAAAGTATTTGTTTAGCTGACTTGCTTCTCAAATAAGTCATTGGCTAACATTATAAGCTGGATATTTTTTGCGGAGCAGTTGTTGGCATAAGTTACATTATAAAAATATTGTGTCCAAGTATTTTGGCATTTCGTTCTCTTTATTCTATTTAAGTAATTTCGCCATTGTTGGAAAACAACCTCTTTCCGCATAATCAGCCTATAAAGCGAAATTTTCTGATCTGTTGATTAATCAAGCACACACTTGCTGATTATAATATTTTGTTCCACAATTCGTGCTAAATACTGTTCTTGATTGGGCATGAAACAAAAATCTGACCAATATGAATAAATATTCAACATAATGCAAAATCATACAATGTAGTGTCAACGTACTATATTTAAATCTGAGTCAGAAAATAAAACAGACATGGAAATAAAGTTTTTTCAGGACTATATTGTTGAGTGAGTCTATCATCCGAGATGTTCGAGAATAGTTAAAGCATCATCTAGAATAACAAGAATAAGAAAATGGTTTATATTCTGAAACAAACAATAATTTAATATTCGTCATGCTCGACCGATTTTATATCCGTTATTTAGGTTCAACAATGACATTGGGTTCAAGGTACGAAAGATAAGTAATATAAATACCAGAGTCATTTCCTTCAACAAAAGATCTCTTCTTTCTTCCCCATGATCCACCTCCACCATCATGTGTCGATTGGCCGCTGTCGGGAAATCATGAATTAGAATAAGAAACCTCAAGAATAGACTACCGAATCGCTGTTAGAGTATACAATTTCGTAAAACAAGACACGTTTGTGCAAAAAAATTATAAAATCCCTAGAAAAATCTCTGTCATAATGAAAAATTTGTACAAAAACAAGGACCTACACTATATTCAGACAAATTACTAATTCATTAGATTGGCCTGGAGTTCAATATCTATTAGCAGCGGTAGTTAATAGTATATTTCAATTCCTATATAATAGTCCACGGGAGGCCGTATTTTGTAGAAGAATAAGATATTCTGAGGCGACTAAAGGTCTGCTCTGGAGTTTTCAATATAAATCGCACTATGAGTTAGATTTGGGGAAAATTCTTGTCTTATTTATAAGTCATAATTACAAGGGAACACTAACAGTCAAGAATCGAGCTATATAAATAATTAAACATGTGAACTTCAGGTATTTGGTGACAAGCTCTATTATCAAAATACGCAAGTTTGCTTAAGCTCTATCGCAATCACCCTGTTTATGAGCCGTGGTTTTGACGAAATCTATTTCCAACTGACAAAATACATGTCTTCACCTAAAATTTAAAAAAAAATACATTAGACTTACTCTGTGTAACCTGTCGCCTGTGAGTCTGATGCAACCAATGAATTCCCATCCATCATCACAAGAAACACAAACACAAGCAGCGCTAAACATGTAATCTTCATGATAAATTTATATCGCTTTTATCTATTTTATTTCGGCAAAATATAAGCACGTCACAATCAGTTTTTTTATTGAAATAAATTATAAATGTATTTAATGGAACCCGTAACTAAAATCAGAGTTTTCTGTTTTGAAATAATTTTTAACATCCAGCTTCTGAAATTTTAATCACTAAAATTACTGTTATCCTTAGTTCTTGGAACGCGTAATAAAATAGGGTGTCCAGATAGACGCCAAGCAAGTCGAGAATTGAATTTAGTACAAGAAGTACTTTGCCATTTTTATTCACTCCTTAATTAATACCCATCACATATTTTTTTTGCTCTTGCTCTCGAAGACTTCAGTATATCAGGCACAGACATATTAACATTTAGTGGAATACACACAGCACATTAAAACACATATTTGATTAAAAATCAGTGAACTAATTAAAAATCGGTTTATGGTGCCAAAGGTTGATTTCACTATTTTGATATAAACTATTTTCAAGTAAACTTTTATGATGGGGTTTGGCCTATGTTACCCACAGACTTCAAACAGTAAATAACTTCCAAACAGATTTAAATTTTCTCGTCTGTTTCATAGATGGAACATCTGAAATAGCTATTACCGTACCGTAGTGAATAGCGAACAACTCGAACAGTCGTACATTGCATTGCCTATGCAGGCCTATCTAAATTGGCATCAGCTGGAAGCTTCTTATATACAAAATTGAATAAAACACAAGGTTGTGTTCGTTACAAAAATGATATTAAATTCATCATATTGTCAGCATCACGTCATAGTATTACATCTATTTATAAATGAATCCCTATTATTTAAAAGTAATATGCGGGTTATTTAATTTTTGACAATATACAAAATTTAATTTGTACCTCGATAAGTTGCAAAAATGATTAGAAAATGACAGGTCCGTGAAACGGATCAAACTTTTGATACAGATAAATATACCATTGAGATAAATCAATGAAGCTGGAGGTAAATAATAACTAATGCTGCTTTTTATAAGCTTTTATCCTACCATTTAGTTTCTCTTAATTTGGGGATTCCCATATGCCTCGTTTTGATATTGAAGTAGGCAAGACTATGTTATATTAATATTGTACAATGTCTGAATAAAAACTTCCAAATTGGAAGTTCTTGGCAAATAAAAATAATTGCTCCTGTTAGTTGTTATTTATTATCTGATTTTCCTGACTTTTATATTGAATTCAAATACTCCGTCGAGCGCATTTCGAGAAACTCTGATTCCAGTTAAATGTGATCACTCCGTTTGAATCTTTAAATAAAAAATCTAACACCCTCTCCGACATTTTTTCATGTCTTTGTGAATTTAAATAAATGTTAATATAGAGCAACGAGTAAAATTTTCGGTCGAGAGATTCAACCCTTTCCTAATACAGGCTAGACCAGGGCTTCCCAAACTTTTGAGCTCGCGGCCCTTGTTAATATATTAAAATTTTCCGCGGCCCTTGTTCGCGCTAATAATGTTAACAGCTCGAAATATGCATTTTTGATGTTTCATTGATACAGCTAATTCTCATCTTTTAGTAGGCCTACTCAATTACAAAAACAAGCACATATTTATTCAAATTAACGTTACTCAATTATTCTGTGTGATGGGTGCGAAAACTTTTTGCTGCATAGCAAGTCCATTTGTGGCTCAATGTTTGTTTATGCAGGCCTAAATGATGAATTACGATGTCTGGCCACCGACGGCATGGTCCTTTTCCGGAATTGTTCACTCTTATTGGTCAAACTTAGCATAAGACAGCGGTTTGTGTGGCGCCAAATTATCAAGGAAAAAACTCATGGCGCACCTACACGAAAAATATGCTGCCTGATAATAAAACACAATTTCGTCATCGTTAATATGTACTTATCTTAACTCTGCCTGGTTTTTCTTCAAAATGCTAAAAAAATCACTTGTGTTCAGCAAATGAATAAACTGCAGCCTACGAAATTGCAGCATGTAGGATACCCGACGTAACAGAGCGTACACAACATAGAACAGTAAAATGAAATTGATTCGTATACACATCATTTGCAACAATGAGAAACAATAAAACATTTAGAATAAATAAAGATGTAACTTATTTCGAGGCGCACTTAGCAAATCGCCTTCGGGAACCGCTAGCTTAACGATTATTAAAGCCGGCATTGTTATGCAAGCACACGCAAATCGGGTCTTACGATCAGAATATGCATTGTTATGCAAGCGCGGTGATTCTAATGTGTTTCCCCGAAAATAAAACCAAGCCTGAAATTTATAAATGATTTTAATATAAGCGCTCCCCTTTAGAAAAGACTTAGTCGATTTTTTGACTTAATCCCGTAGAAGTGCGTTGTTTCAATTTTGCTATAGGACGTCGCAAAATTTCGTGATTCGTGAACCTTTCAAACAACCCATATCTTCTACTTTTACAGAAAAAAATGGAAGATTATATCGATCTTACCTGTGATGGTGTTACAATAAAAAAGTTTAATTCTGAAAATTCGGTTTTCTGTAGATAAAGATTATTTTTCTTGGTTCAGAAAGCGTTGCGGACTCCTATCGCCTTTGCGATTTTGTTTTTATATAAAGCAGACTTTTCTACCAAGGCTCATTAAATATGATTTCACTGACTGTCGTTATGTTTTGTTTGTTCCTTTATATAAAACTCATTGCAAAAAAGGTCTTTTATTGAAAGGTATCAATACGTATTTTCACGGGTAGTCGTAATTTTAGCATATTTTTGGAGGGCGTCACAATACAATGAAGTTCGAGAACCACTGAGTCCTAGTCGATAGCAAGAACTTTGTACTCAGGAAATTTTTACTTTTTAAATGGTTAATAATCTATATGTAGCAGGTATTTTGAATGGAGACGTGCTATTTATAAGTAATGGAAATCCGTATTCATATTTGGCATAATAAAAAAATCTCGTTATTCTCTACATATTCCCAAAATAAGCCCTAATGTTATTTTCGAAATAAAATTGAAGACACTGTCTTATTTACTCAGTGTGATGATGTGTTCATTAGGAATCGTGAAATTTTTGTTTCACATTATTTTCAATGATTGTATTTGGAATCAAGAGTCTGAAAAAGTACAATAGATATAGTACTTTGTGTAAAACTGGTGCTCTCTTTGCGTCCCCTAATATTCGTTTCGAGGCCCCTTCCAGGGCCGCGGCCCCTAATTTGGGAAGCCCTGGGCTAGACTATAGTCAACTTGTAAATAAGCGTTAGTAATATTATAAATTCAAATTAACGCATTTCATCACTTAAACGGATGAAAACCGACTAAGCTATATTTAATGATAGTAGCCTTATAATAAATAAAACGTGTTTGAGCCATAGGATTTTTTTTGTTATTTTTTATGGAATCAAGTGACAAAAACACAGGAAAATAAATTTTATTCTGAAATTTAAAAAATAAAATAAGCATGTGCAATCAGCGCGATTGTAAATGAAATGTTAGCACAATCACTATAAGAAGAATAGAAGAACAAAGTCTTTAAGATTGTGGATTATTCTTCAACTTCATCGAACATCGAAGGATCGTCATCTGAACAAAACAAGAGAACCATGATCAAATGTATGTAGGCCTATGTATACAAAGGTTCACAGACTGATGTGATGTGATGAAGATGCGGTATAGCAGTGAAACATTTATTTAGTGACGTACAAATAATCCAGTGGGAGATTTATTGGGCACTTACCATTTTTGCGCCTGCTAGTTGAATATTTCGCATTTTTGTCAATAAATATCGATTTGAAGGTTTTGCCAGAGGTTAGGAAGCATCCAAAGGTATTTCGTCACTAATACGATCTAACGAGTATAGGGGCGAGTACAAAAATCTTATGACAGACTTCTCACCAACGCATCGCGTTATAGTAGTGACTAAATGTCAGAAATTTTCCATTGCCCGACGCGTGAATATGTCACTCAACTTAGATTGAATGGATTTTGGCAAAAACGTTTAATATACACGAACTATCTTACCTGTTTTTGGTTGCGGTGCTGATGCGGCGCTTCTGAAATTGTTCCAGCCACCTTCGTTGTTCCCGGTATGTGTTGTAAGACTGTGAAAAAGGAGGGATATTTGAAATTCAATACACAGATACTCCTAATTTTTGTAGCAGATTTTACAATGAATCTACTCGGATCAGACTACGTTACCGAAGACGTCGCGAATCCCAGGAAGCATTTTAAGTTATATATGTGGATTTTGTCGTGTCGTCTACAATTCGCTTCATATATAAATACTAAATCTAATTACTAATACTCAATATGTCAATTTAAATTTCTTACAAAAAACTTACCCGACAATTTTTATGGCAAGCGATAGTTGAACCATTACCCCAACAAGTACTAACATATTCAACAAAAGAACTTTGAAGCTTATCATACGTCCCATTTTGAAGTAAGTAGTTTTCACAGTTCGTTATATTTAAAAAGCATCAAACTATGATAGAAAATGGAAGCAATATTTATAAATTTAGTAAACGAAAAATGTGGATCGCTGCGCAAATTTGCGTTAACATTCTCATTTCGTTGAATATTTCATTTAGACTTAATCACGCTTCGACTTACATGATAAAATACTCTGTTTCGGTCGAATATCACCAATATGATTCACCGGAGTAGGCTAAATGTATATATATGGTTTTAGCTAGTCTTGGATTTTCCTCAATGGAACGGTTAATCCTTGTAAAAAAAGTGAGGAATAACTATGGCGAGCATAAGTCAGGGAGGGGCCTCCCAAGACTACAGCATGAATTCAACTAGATTTCATAAGTAAATCGCAAAATACAGCTAAGTTAATCGGATATAGTACGAATAAAATGAAAATATTCAAAATTTCTCTTATCGCTAATCCTGAACTCTGTGCAAAAGCTCATTAGCCGATTATTTACGAATACAAACTCCGCATATATAATACAATATGCAGATACAGAACAACACTCTCGGCGCAAAAAAAAAAATCTAGCTCCCAGTTCGTCACTTGTCGATTGCGGTTCTCCTATCGGACACTTTTCTATTTGGATGTCGTGATCTTGCTTTGGGCAATCTTGTATGTAAAAACAACCCGACACGTCATATTTAGGACTCGGGTCACTATAAAATTGTCGATGATGGTATTAAAAGCTATATATACTTTTTTTTATTATTTAACAATAAAAGTACGCCGATAATATTCAATTCACCTCACCATCCTGAACTCTTCTCGTACTTTAAGTGCACTATAGCTTTCAGTGATACATCAATCAAGCTATCACTCATATTTAAGTGGATACTCTTAGAGAGTTAACGCCCCATAAAATCATGCTAAAACATGGCATCACAACAGACACTCCGAGCAAAATATTTCAGATGTCGTAAATGTACTATCGCTAATTGAAACTGGTGCTTAATAATATACAGAAAGTTTGAATGTTTTTTTTATAAATGCAGCTTACGACGAAAAGTCAGCAGGTTTTTATAGTTCGACACCATAGGCTAAGTTTCAAAACCCTATTATGAAGTCATAGTGCGTTTGCAACAAGAATGAATATCATACGTGTCCTTTGATTGCCGACCCACAACTTATTCGGATGATGGATGGTGACACTTGACCCCTCAATTATTTCACTTCTATGTCACCGCCTGGAGCATTTGGAGACTTGGGACTAATTTTAGAAATGAGCTTCGTTCTATCGCTTTCTTTTATTTTAAATGCTAAGTGTACAACACACAGCACCTACCAGTTACCGATGTTTTTGTAGGCAGCTCGAAAATTCTGTTGAAATAAGAACGAAACACACCCGAGATTTTGAAAAAGTTTGGTATTCTTTTTAAGATGTTCTGAGTAAAAAATTTTAAAATTTGGTGAAAAATGTATGGAAATCATATAATGTTTCACATCATCTTTGAAAATAGTTTTTCACTAATACATTGATTATTTTAATCATATCCGTTTCCAGTGATCAATCACTCTGAATCTATGCGTTATCAATTTTCCATCCGATCAAACATGTCGATTGTTTCACCTGGAAAATGAATAGAAATACATCAAAACTGGTTTAGAAATTGCAGTGTATTTTAACCTCATCCCACAATACTATCAAAAATCAGCAGATCACTGGCGACGACATTTTTCACCGCATGTAGACCAAAATATACTAAATGTGATAGCGATGAACTGTTTTTCGCGAAATTTTTTAATTCTTATTTGACTTTTAAGAAAAAGTGCTTCAAAATGTTTTTTTGTTTATGAATGTCTCAATATTCAAGGATGAGGAAATTGAGGATGTCGATAGAAAATATAATATGACTGTTTCACCAGCAGCGTTATATGTTGTCTTCCTAAACTTAATGCACGTATATGAAAGATGCACTATTTATTATTCAGCGATCAATATTCATAACAGTCAACTTATTAGTTGACAGGAAAAGTCAGATTAGAACACAACTATAGAAACCTGAAAGAACGTATAAAGAAGCACAGAGCGTGTGATCAAATCAAATACGTTAAGGTAGACCGTGAGCCTCTCGAACATTAGTGACCTTTAACCCTGAAAGGTCACATATCTTGAAAATCAATATATATATTGATCTATTTTTGTTTTATTTGCACAGTGTTTCTGGCACGACAAAAATAAATATCGTAATCTGGAATATTACAATGTTAAACATGAAACGTTTCATATAACGGATTTTCCCTATTCACTGGCAATTTGCTCAATATCAACCACAAAAAATTCACAGCATTAGTTGTTCTCAAACTTATTTATGTTGAATTCTCTAAATTGGTAACCAACTTGCAAAATTTTGGAATTCAATTACTACGCTTATTGTTTGAGAGAGAGGTCGCAAAAGCTTCGCTTTTAGGGTCTCTATTTGTGATCTCAATTAAGCGTTCTGTACCAATTCAGAAAATGAAATTACAACGATTCCATGAGACATGACTTGGTTAAATGAGACATGACTTGGTTAAACGCAACATAATCCAAATCAAGTGAGCTTTTGCTCTACGCGAGGTTTCCGTCCTTGCTGATCTCACCTTAGGACACCTGCGTTACTCTTTGACAGATGTACCGCCCCATTGGCTTACGAAAGCATATCGGAAAATAATGTAATATGCCAGTGTCTTCGAAAATCTTATTATTTTCCCTTACCCTGACTCTCCTGATATATATGCACGGGTTTTGCGTTCCAGTCCCCTGTTTCCCTTTTGGTTGATTGTCTAAATATTAAATATATAAGTCGCAAAAATAAAAATCCAAAACAGTTTCACTGAACAAAACTCGGTTGATATTCGAGGGAATAGTAATATCAGATATGAAAATCAAATTTACTGGAATTATTTCTTACTGGGCTAAAAATGTTGAATGGAACAATCTTTTTAAAAAAAAAAGCATCCAGTCTTTAGATGGAATTGCATATATGAACATCATTAAAATAACCATTTTTTACTTATAAATACGACTGCCGATACATTTGTTCCCTTTCAAAAAGATAAATTTCGTTGATTTGTTAATCATACTTATAAATGCGAAATTAAAATATGATTATCATAGCAACTCCAGGAACAGAAAACGCCCTATAAATTCATTTCACTACTTAGTTTTAAATACGGCCTTACGTATACTTACCTATATATCATCGGTTCATCTTCACCACAAGTTGACATAAAATTGATACTGAAGATCATAAGAGCTAATAGAAAATCTACAAGGCATGATTGCGATTTCATTGCAAATTTTGTGTTACAATAGCCACTAGCAATAGAACCGAAATATTTTCTGAGAATAATAATTAGAAAAATGCATTATTTATTATTAACCACTTTTAATACCTTAAAATGATGAATTTTTACTGTTCTCTGTCTCTCCAAATCATTTGTCTCGTTCGCCAATCATACTGTCAAATAAATTATACAGACAAAATGTTTTACTCACTATCAAATATAAAAAGATGACTGTAAAGTATTTGGTCCCACACGATATTCGATAATCAATAACATCGATTAGTAAGATATGAAGTACCCTAAAGATGATTTGAGTCGATTAGTTTACACGACCAACCAGTCAATAATGTCACCGAAACATATCCACTAACTTGTCGATATACTATATGAAATCGATTATGATAATCAAGCGTCAGATGAATGTAGTTTCCACATATGTCACATATTTGGTAATGTCACTTTATTTTTAACGCTTTGCGTCGATTTAGGAAAGCATTCATTAAATAAGCATAATTTCAGGATAAATGTCATGACTATCTTTTATTTCAATTATCACAAGCATTTGATTACAATATGTTATGATAACTAAAGCTTTCTATCATCCATATTGTCGTTTAACGTTTTTCGAAAGCTGATTGTCAATGAACTGCTTTTCCTTTTTGTTTACTCTGGTCTCTAAGATTATATAGGCTGTTACGTCACGGAATATACACACGGAGTTATTTTGACATCTATGAGTCGGTGATATATAATGTTGATTTCATGTCTAGATATTTATTTGGATGAGTGGATGACAAATTATATCTTCTTGATATATGCTTTATGGCGTAATTATATGATCCATCATCAATCATAGACTCTTGAATTTAAATCTTGCTTAATATCATATGCAGAAAAATCTAATGTAATGCCCAATTATTCCTGGCGCTGGCCTAAAAAATTGTAGAAGTACTTACATTTTTGTGTTACATTTCAACAATTAGTATCAATTTTTATTCGAAAAAATCATAAAAGATATTGTAATGAAGAATTATTTAATATACAATAAGTTGTTCACGAAATTATACTGTATGCGTGGAGTAGACCTTGAAAACATAGTGTTTTCAAAAAAATGAAAATGGGTAACTTTAACATCAAGTTGATAATCTTACATAAAATAAAACCTAATCCGTTTATCCGATCATAAATGAATTAGATTATAAACGTGTCACATTTTTTAAAAAGAATCGATAAGCTACATTAAGAGTATATTCCAGTGGTGGGTTATATAAACAGAAAAAAAATTCAATAATGGAGCGCTCAACTGATAAGGTATATTTTATCAATTATATGAATCACAATATTTTTGAACAATTTTTTTCCAGAAACAAAAACTATACATTTCGTTGGAAGTGTTCAATATTTCAATGGTCGATTTCTTTCGATGAATCGACCTCAATTCCTCCATCTCTATCGCATTCAGCACGACAGACCTTGCAAGCTTTTGCTGGTTTGTAACGATGTTTATCTTAAAAGAAGAGAATATATTTTTATAATAATACATAACAGCTTTTCAGATTTACATCCGGTACTCATTTTCATTATTCCGAGTTATAACATGTTGAAGAATTTGTAGAAAAAAGGATAATATGCTCTATATACAAACAGTTTCATGTCCGTGATAAAAAAAAGCGCGCAGATTACTTGAGTCCTAGAATAGTTATCTGGATAACATTTTATATGAAAAATTACTCCATACCACACACACACTCCAGGACCTAGCAAAAAATGATTTTGACTTCCCATTAACGAGAATTTGACGACTTAAAGAATTTTACTGTTAGCAAACTTTGCAATTTTTATAAAAAAAAATGCCCTCTTCCAATTTAAAGTTGATGCTGACTTGAGACGTCAAATTCCAAATTGCCGGTAGCTTAAAAGATACCGATAAACGCGCATCACTGTCTGACTACGCAGCCATGACTGCGTCAAAATTGCTGAAGAATATTTGAAGACTTACTTGCTTTGCGTTTCACAGGCAAATCTGCATCTTCAATATTCACGTCAATCTCCATGTCAGGATGACAAAGATGGTCGCATCTTGCTCTCCAACATTCGCTAACCTTGTTGAGACATGCTACTTTGCATTCGGTGCAGGCGGGAAACGAGCATTCTAATCCAGATTTACAGCGCTTTTTACACTTGTGAATTCTCGCTGTCAAAAATTATACAAACTTCATAAGTTTTTTATCTAAACTATACAAATGCTTTCACTAGTTTTATATTATGGTCGATCACCGTACACTTATATATTTGCCCTCAATGTGGGTTATTATGTTTCACTTTCCAGTTTCCAGAAATTTGTTGTATTCGCTATAGGAAATTCGCATCATAAACGAGAGGACAAAGCTCAAATATATGGACACCAAAGTTCAAATTTTGGATGGAATATCAGATCTTATAGAACTCATGAGAATTTAGGAACAAATAAAAGCCTTCTAGCGACAACAACGATCTTTAACCACTGAAAATTCCACAGACATTCGTCCAATAGTTGGAAGAAAGTCGATTATTTACAACAACATATTAACAAAACGATCCATAGGTTTAATTAGTGTCCAATAAGTAAAGTGTGACTTTTCCAAAAAGGTAATGTTATATGTATACCTGCACCGTCGTGATCACATCGCTTTAGGCAGTTTCCTGTGCACTGAATAGTTTCATTACAGTTAGGCTTGCACTCTCTGACGCAAAAGAATGGGACTCTCAGTCCTCCTTTCATTTTATTCATTTTGTTGTCCAACTTCCTTCGATTGACTGGTGCGATCACCGAACTGTTGCCTGAGAAACACATGAGAAAATTTATAATTAACCTAGCATTGGACACAGAACACACAAAAGTCTCCTGACTTACCGTGCCGGTGGTGGGTGCAGTTTGCCATACATCGGTGCTTGCACATTGGTGGTTTTTTCGCGCATTGTTTCTTGCATGTACGTTTACACATATGCTTAGAACCCTCTTCGCCAACCCAAATTCTCCCCTCGTCTTCAGTGTGGTCTACTAAATTTTTACATTGATAAAACTCAAGGTATGGTAATGGAATATTCTGCGTAAAATAAACCTCAAACTTGGTGACACTTCCTACCCGCAACGAATATTAGATATAGCACAAACGATTAGAATTCGTTGCACTTTATGACCAAAATCAATACATTTGTTTTAATCAAAATCATTATTTTGGCTACTTACCTAACGCCTTGCTGGCACAATCACGTAAACACTCAAATTTGCATGCTGGTTTGCTAGACGTGGTGCAGTTCCTCTTCACGCACGATTTTTTACAATTCACAAGTCCATATTTTCCTCTTTTTCCGGCGACTTCGAGGGTAAATGTAAGCACAACAAGCGCCACCGCCGCCAACAGAAATTTATTGTTCATTATGTATATTTTATTTCTGTTCTTTTTGAAATACCAGATATAACACTGTAAAAATTATTAACATAAGAAGAACAAAATGTCTCGCTGAATTGAGGGCTGACGGATGTATGGTAATTGTGTCGAATCTTGCTGTCTATATATACAGTAATAGTTGAAATTCTATGTCAAGGGATAGTTCGTTTTTAGATTGCTAGTAACAATAACCGCTAAAATAACAAGATAAATTTCTTCGTATGATAGATAGTATCAATTGACCTGGAACTAAACAGATTACTTATAATTATAGGCGTAATAAGTAATTATTTTTATCTATCTTTATCATTACCGAATGCAACCCTTTCACAACCTTCATAGTCTTATCAGCATATTGTGTAATAAGTAAAACAGATTATTGATCAAAATAGATAATCAATTAATCAATTATAAATTTTCTTTTAGAGATGTTCTTCCCAATATAACACTCCAAACAAAGGGTTATAGAAATCGTTTTAATAATAGGCGCACTATTGTTGAAACTCTGAACGATGTCTCTTCCACTCAATCGCCGCCTTATATACATCTTTGATTGCGATCCTAGCCATTTGTCTATTTCGTAACACGCCTCGTTGATGGTTTCCTGAAAGTACTATGTTGAATGGACTATTTCTCTATAACCTCGATCACCTTATGGAGAAAATTTTTAATTTCGAATACTTTCTAAACTAGACCAGGCATTCACCATCAATTCGCTATTTCTCCGTGCTGATATGAGTAAACAAATGACTTATTTACTGCAGAGAACATCGTGTCGTATATTACGAATAGCAAACAAATATCTGATCATCTGATCAAACATCACGACTTGGCTGGGTAAGTATACTGTATAAAAGTGAGAACACTTTACTGATAAATTTCAATTCGTCAAATGATCATTTTTTTACGACTTTAGTATATTCCACATGTGTCGGGCATCGGACTCATGATTCCTGTCGCCAGTTAGCTATATAAAGCTCACAAGAATTGGGTCCAGTCCAAGTGTAAAAAAATTGCGTGAGCTGTAGTCTAGCAACATTCTTTTGTTGTGCTGTGCCCCGCAACCTCAAAAACAAACAATGAGAGCTCCAGATTCAAGCAATGCCTGTGCCTGTTATTTCGCAAATTTTGTTTATCTTAAAAATACTTTATGTAGCCCAAGTAATACTGTATGTTTACAAGAAACCCCTCAGTTAAATATTAGTGTTCGTTTCTTGTTTATTATTATTGGACACGTGAGTGGACATATGGATCGTTTTCATATTTTTGGTAATCTTGTTTTTGTTGGTCTTCTTCTTCGTATCGCTTTGAAAAAAAAACGCCATAAATATGAGATCGCGTCAGTGTTGCGTTTTTATGTATAACAACTTTATAAATCTCTGATTATATTTATGGATGTTTCCCTGAGTATACACTTCTTTATTTACTTCCGTAACATTGGCCAATCAGCATAGGTGCAAAATTTGACGTAACAATAAACGTTTCAGGAACGCTTAGATACTTTTGCCATTCAGACAGTCTTTCGTGGTTGTGAATATTACCTCGTTTTGGCGGTTTTCGCGTATTATTTGCTAGTTTTTAGTGGTGTTTTGGTGAATATAAGTCCTAATCAAATAACTCAATAATCATTTTGGTTTGTCGGAGTTGTATTTTAAATGCAGTAATCAAAAATTAATCTAGAAATGGACCTTTCCCCGACCTTTGACCCCCGGAAAATTCTTCCTATACTTTACCATTGCAGAATTTTCAGGGCTATTTTAGGAGTGCTTTTGCGAGTTGGCGCCTGTAAAATGGGGTATGTGTTTCAAACCATCATTAGGATTCATCGCACACAACAATCTGTTTTTTAAAAGTACCGGTAAAGAATTTCAGGCTAGTCTATCACAGCTATTTCTACACTAATTTTTATTACTGCAATTAAATTAAAACTCCTAAGAAGACAGAGTGATCATTGAATTATCTGATTTTTATTCAAGTTTCCGAAACACAACTGGAAACTAACGAATAGAGTTCAAAAATGCGAAAACGACGTAATGTTTACAACCACGCTTGAAAATCTGTCTGAGTGAGAAAAGTGTCTGAGCGGATGCGAAAAGGGGGCATTGTTACGTCACTTTTTGCATCTTGCTGATTGGCCAACGTCACGGAATAAACAAGGAAGTCGATGGTCGGGGAAAGGTCCATAGCTGTGATAGACTAGCCAAACTTATCTACGGCGCATTTAAATGAAAGGTTGTTGAATGTATTGAATTAAAATGATAGTTTGAAACATATAAACCGGTTTATAGGCGCCAACTCGCAAAAACCATTCTTGAAATAAGTACCGATAATTTTACAATGGTAGAGTATAAAGCCGAAGAGTTTTGCTGGGATCGAAAGTCGGGGAAACATTCATTACGTAGTTGTTTGCATTAGTAATTTGCAATATTCTACTACGTAGACCAGCATTTCCCAAACTGTTCTCCTCGGAACACTAATGTTCCGCGAGCGTCTTCGAAGTGTTCTGTGGAAAAAGAATCTTAAATACGTCTAAAATAGTCACCATGGCGATCTAAGAATCGTGAAGTTGTCGCCCAACTGACCGTTCTATATCGCGTCATCGTCGGCCTAAAGTGGACTAACTGTAGACGAATTCTAATACGGACTAACTAGGGTGGAGTAGTGGCATTTTCGTTAACCTTCGGCATAGATTGTTGACTGTTAAGTTCATTATCAAGTTATTGCAATGCTTTTGATTGCTATAGGCAAACAAGTAGGTTTAAAGAATAAAGGAAAAAGGGTCAACTGTTCTTCCTCCATCTCTGCCTGGTTTTACTTTGAAATGCTGAAATAATTAATCATTTTCGGTAAACTCTATTCAGAAAATAAATAAACGGCAGGTCTGCAGCTCGCGAAATTGCGGGAAGTACTTTTATTGCCATTAGACATAACATTAGAGGCAAACATTACGTAATGGAAGGTAAACGTCATAGAATGGTAAAATGAATGAATTGATTTATATACACAGCATTTAAACTAAGAAACAATGAAACAGATATAATAAATGCAATATATATGTAAAATATTCAATTATATTTTAGGTATGTTTAACACAATGTTAGTTTTCGCGACGCATTCAGCAACTCCGCTACATTACACCGGTTTTCTCTATCAATTTACTGTTTCATTTTTTGATGTTCCGCGAGGCGAGATCAAAATTGTAAGTGTTCCATGGCCGAAAAAGTTTGGGAAACGCTGACGTAGACAATTGTGTTAGCAACATCTGTCGCAGTGGTTTAATAAACATTTTCCCGAAAACACAACACAACGCCACAACAGGACTGGATAATACCACGTTTCACAGTATCAATATACAACATTTATCATCAGATTTGATCGAAGCTTTGGATAACTTGTCAATTGATCGCGGGTTGAAGATCGCATTTGATGGCCGGAGTTATCAGCTGCTGCAATGAATGTTCTGTTGCCATTCGTTCGGAACTACTGGATTTTGAATCATTCGGAATTATGTGAAAAGACCTTTTCTGCGTTTTCATACATAAAAAACAAATACAGATCAAGGCTACAAGTAGAAGAAGATCTTCGAGTTGCTGTCTCCCAAATTAAACGTCGAATTTCTATGTTGTGTTCAAAACACAAAGCTAATAATTCCCCAGATAGCACAACTACGTTGGGCCAACGTTATAATCCGCCGGCAACCGTTGTACGCGGTTTTACAACCATTTACCATGGTAAGGCCATGATTGGCCTTCAACGAAACACTCCATTATGCGAAGAAATGCGCGCGCGATTCGAATATAGCACATGAGGTCGCCATTCATTTTGGCGGTACTCGTAATCGATAGCCTGTTACGAGGTTTTTGCCGTGGATGGGACAGTGACATTGAACTTTTTATGCTTTCATAGTAGAATGGCGAAAGTAGAGATAGCCTAGTTGTAACCGTGTAAGTTAATCTCATGGTACCGGTACCCTAAGTGCGTTGTCAGGTCAGGGTTCATAAGGGTGATAGGGTACCATACGGGTAAAAGTTACATATTTATCCCTGGACACCGTAGGTACCGGTAACGGCAGAACGAGATGAGGTACGGTACCGTGCTTGGTCTTTTGGCATTTTTTGTTAAACTTTTTTAGGTTGCCATCTCTCATTTACCAGTATTCGTTATCGAGTACCGGTACCTATGGTAGATACCGGTAAAAGTTACATATTTATCCTGGACACCAGTGTTAACTCTAAGCAAATTATGAGTGCGAAAGTGCTTCGCAGTCGGAAAAAAAAGTGCGAAAGTGCTTTTGCCGATTTTAACAAGTTAGGTGCCCTAGCCTTTCATATAACCCATTTAAAACGGCATAGATACTCAAAAAAGCGCTCCTCCGGTTAATATTATGAATTAAAGAGAAGCCTTTTCGTTAACCGAGTTCCCCTTAAGCGAATTCATGTTTAATTAAAACAAGCGAATTCATCGGCAACGAAATGACATCTGCTAACACCTGCCAGGACAAAACTTTCATGCAATGTATCACGGTGTCAGTTGCTTACTCGCGTAAACAGCAAAGACTTTCACATTTGTTACTCCTTCCATCTAACAGACACGAGGCAGGCTGGAAACCATATTAATTACAGGGTGGATCGTTTGTACAAATCCCGTGCAAAATAATCCCCCCAAATATAAATAGCAATCAACTAATTAGGGTTAGGTGCGCTGGAAATTCAACTTTTCGATTTATCCCTAAACCTAATCTGATAATTATGAATTTGTGATTTTGAACCACTTTGAAAGTCGCCACCGGCTGTTTTAAAAGATAAGTTAACCTATGTTCCCTCCGAAATATTACGCAGGATACTCCCCTGTTTTAGAAGATAGGTTGACCTACTTTCCTTCCAAACCTTTTTCTCCGAAATATTACACAAGATCACTTTGAAAATCCTCCCGTTTCGTGAGCTAGCGTGACCTAATTTCTGATTTACATTTATATTATACTATTTCAGAGCTTACCCAAAGACAAGTAATTTTTAAATGTCGACATGCCTTGGTTTGTGTGCGAGTTAGTTTAAATTGGGCAGAAAACTTCATATATTGGCAAAATGTTTAGTAATGTCATGTACTTTCAGCATTCATAAATAGCACTCTTTGTAATGCTGCTGACCTAGTATCAAATATTCGCATCACAACGCCACTTGCGAGGTTACCATATATTTCAATTGGTGACCGTACATTTGAACCCATGTGTATATCCGCGGGTTCAATCTATATGCGGGTGTTAAACCCATGGGTTAGGGTTAGTATGGGTTCAAATATCCGTAAAACAAAAAAAAATTCCATAGGTGCAATAGTAGGCAGGTGCAATTGCCATGGGTTCAAATGTACGTGGGTTCAAATGTACGTGGGTTCAAATGTAATGGAACCATTTCAATTACACTAATAGGAACGATGACACCAAAGAGTTTTCTTTTGCGAAGGTACACTAAATATAACGAGGGTGATTCTTGAGAAAAACATGAATATAAGAAATAAACGAATGATATGATAGTGGATCCCAAATAATTTTGAGAGTGTCTCGAAATACCAATCCATTTGATAAATAATTTTCATTCGACCACATGAACGCTGATATCCTGAAAATTAATGTTGAAAGTGAATTACGCATTCTCAGATATCGGACATCCAGTCGCGATATTCAATCGTTCATATGCACAAATCTCACATTAATAGTAATTGCTACCCAAGTTTGTAAAGTTCAGAAACCAACAAACAGAAAATAACTTATATTAAAACACAATTAAAGTTTAGTCGGCAATAAATTTGTCGCCAAGACGATGCCATACAAAACAAAAAAGATTTGGTCGCGAGAGTTACGTGAGATGATGCCGTTGTTTTTTGGACAGAATGTAAAAAAATTTATAATTAATAAACGGGAGTTACGACGCCCTTTACACATCGTGTGTATTAAACTTCCCTGGTAAGTACTATTATTATTGTACTTATACACCTGTTGGAGTATTTCGGACAATTTCGAATTTAAAATAAATGAAAACCCGACATATAATAAAGACGCAAAAGTAAAATGAACATTTATTGAAAAAGTTATTATTTAAGAAAGACAACATGATCGTACAATTCCGCCAAAACCTCGATGTTCGCAAGTGAAATGATAAATAAATACTTCCCTGTATTCGATCAATCAACTTTAGAGTATCGTTGTTCTGCCAACAAACAGCCGGGTGCAAAATATTTCCGTCCTGTGATATGCTCACAAATATTCTCGATATTAATATCATACCCTCGTGTATGTACTTTCTATTAGCTCTTTAGTGATCCCTTCCATCCTTGACCAAGTCATGTTTCGAATATGTGAACATTTTATTCGACCATACGTGGGCGGCGGAATGTTAAAATTGTAAACAAGAGAGAGGTAAAATCAATGCGAATTTCGTTATAACGGCTCGTTTACGAATTGTTGCGCCTGTTATCGTCGAAAATGATTACATTTGTTGTATTTTGAGGCATTTAAGCAGTAATAATTAGGGCATGACATCATCAAAATCGTCAAGTGAGAAATTGCAAATTTCGTAAATAAAATTGTGAATTATTCGGTAACGAATTCAGCTTTAATGACCGTCGGGGTATTGTTTTGTTGAAAATTATTATTAATGTGAGAGCGCCAAAAACATACAGTCCATACCGATGCGACTGCAATTTATATGGTCGCAATTGGTCTGGCGCGTTTATTAATAGTGTAAAATAAATTAAACGAATATCAGTTATAACCAAGCCTGTCAGCGTGTTTATTTTCTGTTGGCAGGAATCGTAAAATACCATCTTGAGACAAATTCACTTCTATTATAAAATCTTAATTTTCAGTTATTATCGTTATACAAATAACGTGTGGCAACTTTTTAATTTATCGTCGACCAAAAAACCGCCCCCACACTCGTCCAAACGTGTGTCGAGCTTGAACGACAGGAACAGATTCATCGACGACCTTAATTAGGGAAAATATGTATTTTATTGGGAATGCAAAATAAATGTAACAAAACGCATTTTTTTTGTGATATAACTTTGTATTTTTGGAAAGGGTTGCCGTGAAAAGTAAAATTTGATCTAAATTAATCGCAAAAATGTTTTATTTTAAATGTAACAAAACACATTTTGCGATATAACCTTGCATTTTCGAAAACGGGTGTCCTGAAAAGTAAAATATGATCTGAATTAATCGCAAAAATGTTTTATTTTAAATGTAACAAAACACATTTTCGCGATATAATCTTGTATTTTCGGAAACGGGTGTCCTGAAAAGTAAAATATGATCTAAATTATACGCAAAAATGTTTTATTTTAAATGTAACAAAACACATTTTTCGAGATACAACTGTATTTTCGGATACCGGGTGTCATGAAGAGTAAAATATGATCTGAATTAACCGTAAATAATGTTTCATTCTAAATGTATCATAACGCATTTTTTGCGATATAACTTTGTATTTTCGAAAACGGGGCGTCACGAAATTTATTAATCTAATGTTTTATCTATTGTCTAACTAACGTCTGGAACACATCATTTTCGGGGAGAACTCTAGCCCGCGAAACGTCATTTAATTTAAAATAGAGAATGTTTCATGCATTTCAAAACGGAAAATCACCAGTAAGTGGACAGGGATTCAACCCTCCGGATTCAGTATTCTATATCCCCCCTGTCAGAACTTTCTGAAGAATGGAACAAAGAACCCGTTAAACCGCCGCAGAAGAAGGGGAGTATTTTTTGCACTAATAATTAGGGCGTGACAATATCAAAATCGTCAAGAAACTGGTGAATTTGCAAATTCCATAAATAAAATTGTGAATTGCTCGGTAACATTTTAGCTATAATTATCGCCGGGGTATTGTTTTGTTGAAAACACGTTGAAACTTGAGGGAATTAGTTACAATTAGCGCCTGACCTCTATTAGGCACTCGAGCACTCGAAAAAAAAGCACTCGAGCCCAATCTTTTTAGCATTAAGTCGCATACGTAAAATATCCTGTAAAAGAAGTGTTGTTCATTAACGTCATCTCGTCTTATGACCAGCAAAAATGCCTTCATTGCCGAATTATTCAATCACTATTTTAAATCAACATTCAGGATTGGCACAATTTCAGATTTACGAAGTTTATCACCATAGAAATACATGAGAAAGTTAATTATCGTCCTAATAAATATCTGCATCACGGTAAGGACAATAATATTACCATTCGCATAAAATTGGGACGGTAAATTTACAAATCTTGATAGGTAATATTAAAGCCAACGTAAATGTTAATTTGAGTCCTCAATGTCTTCAACAGCTGTTGCCAATGGGAACGAACGGGTAAACCCGAAATATAATACTTCCATGTCCGCCGACCCACAACAATTCATATTTGTAAAAAAGAGAGGGCGGGAATAGTGACTAGAACAATTAGCGATTACAACGGAATTAACCAGTAAAAAGGCTTTGTTGCCGATTTTTTAATGTTTCCACCACGTTTATTCGGTACTCCTTCAAAAAAATATTGAATTTTGCCCACCCGTCCTCGCATATCAATGAGAAATAGTTGTGTAAATATCGCAAAATTACGGAAAATGCCACTCCTTTCAACATTGTGATTACAATATAATGGCACTTAATGGTATTTTGTGAATTTGGTGATTTTGCAAATCTGTGACATGCTGCTTAAAGTTTCGTCTGATTTGAAAATCGTGCAGTTTGGTCACAATTCATCCAAAGTGACTATAAAATAACACGTAACACTTTTATAGTCATTTTGAATTCATCGATATCATTGATAGTCACATGACCACTCTCTTCAAAGAAACGCACTGCCTATTATTCCAACATCTGGATTCAATCACCCGAGAGCGTTTTTTGCAGGAGAAGCGGAATCGGTGTGCTTGTATAATAATCATATTATAAACAAGAATTTTGCCGTTAATGCAAAAGCTTTATCTCCTATGTCTGCATCTCATAGGTTAGAATTCCGGTAAATATCGTTATGATATGCAGAATTGAGTTACAAAAGTACTAGTATGTTGCTTATTTGTCAACTTAATACTCGAAAATATTTGTTAACTCTGAATTTTTATTCCATTCAAAATCGGAAAAAAGTGCTATTTCTCTTCAAAATCGTAAAAAAGTGCTATTTCGCAGTCCCTAAAAAAAGTTGCGAAAGTGCTTCGCAATTTTCGCAAAAAAGTGCGCTAATAGTGAACACTGCTGGACACCATAGGTACCGGTAACGACAGAACGAGATGAGGTACCGTACAGTACGTTACCGTACTTGGTCTTTTGGCACATTTTTTTGTTAAACTTTCTGAGGTTGCCATCTCTTATTTACCAGTATTCGTTATCGAGTACCGATACCGGTATTGGTCCTTCATCCCTGGATATAGGCTAGCCTAATTTTTTATATTTACTTTATTTGTATAGGTAAGTGCAAACATTTCCGCAGCCCAAATCCAACCCGTTGAACGACTTAATCCAGTAATCTGAATAGTTGTACATTTGTGAACCTTCTGTCTGATGAATTTCAACAAATCTAAATACAGATCTCAATTGGCTGAAATCTAAAATATGTTTTAACAATTGCCACAATCAAACTGAAACTAAAATTTGATGTTTTTGGGTAAAAAATAGCTCAAGGATTATTGTTTTCCCTTTTTGTTTTTGTAACACTTTAAAATTTTTTTTCAATTTTTGTCCGAGGTCCGAGAACTTTGTCCAACCCTGCTCTATTTCATATTTTCAGCTTTGTTGAGAAATAAATTACTGATTTTTGAATAATATCTATTTTGTTTTAAAATTCAATAGAATTATATTGGGTAATCATATATATTAATATGATTTATTTTCAGTATGTATGCTATGTAATCTTACCCAACCAACCTTAATCAAGTGTTATTATATTTTAAAGTGAATTGGAAAGTCGACCACTAGCAAAAAAGATTCGGGCGATTGGGGGGAAGCCCATCTCTGTACAATGACTGCCGAATGTGCATGCAACTGTGCAATGCCCAGCGACACTAAAAGCATGAAGTATTGTACGACACATCCTTTACAAATATTTGGACATATTTTGTGTAATATCCATTTTTTTTCCGGTTCTAAATAATTATTACCGATTAGATATTCTGTCAAGTGTCAATATTACCATTGTAAGTTTAATGATATATACCATTTTTATAATAGGCCCTATGACAATGGACTGGAAAATTCACCTGCTTCAATTCCCTCTTTCACGCAATCATACACTGTGTCATTTCAAGTATCTCAATGTTTCAATGCGGACAATGCCCAAAACAGGGGCTTTTGTTTCATAGTTTGATAGTAGCTCCTTGCATACCTGTGCCATAAAATATTGCACAATAGCTAGATATATCGGTTGAATAATTACCTAGTACAACATCATGTGGTTAATACTGTATTTTCCGGCGAATAAGTCGCTTTTCTAGACCCAAATTGATAGCATCCCCCACGTCCTCATCAGGTTAGTTTAATTAAATCGACATTCTCGTGCTGTGAATCTGAAATTTCAATGCTGTGATTATCATATATGGACTGAATATTACGCTATAAAAAAAAGTCATAGGCTATTTTAACCAATGCGCAAACGCGGCAACCGCTCGAAAGGCATTGCATGGTAATTTGAGATTCCCGACGTTGATGCGATTTTACTACCCCGACTCATCGGCCGGTTATATGCAAAAACCCATTTTTTCAGGCTTAAAAACAGGCCTCGTCTTATTCGCCGGGTAGACTTATTCGCCGGAAAATACGGTAACTAATATTAATGAAAAATTTATATTCTGGTAATTAGTATAGGCCATTCGTTCACGTTTATCATCTGAAAGACAATCATGTACTATATATTGTGTAACACTAACTTGATTTTCAGAGATCCAGCCATGCTCCAATCCAGTCCATGGAAAAATTGTTGGGACGGGCGGTAGAAACTCTTATGCTACAAGCTACGGCATCTGCAACTTTCCACTGATTATAGTGTGGACTCGGACATAAAGGAATTGATGAAATTCATTGTCAAATAATTGTCTGATTACATTTTGATCCAGAAAACATTCAAGGATGAAAAAATCGCTCGTGAGTTGAATACTTTTATAGGCTGATTACATACACTTTACGGCAGTGGTTCCCAAACTTTTTTTTCCGCGACCCCAATTTTTGTAAAATCACAGACTACAGATACTTGTGACCCCACAACGAGAAAACATTAAAAATCAATTTATTCTATTCAATCATTCTGATGAAAATCGACTGTAAGTTTGCGGGGCATTAGTGCAACGTGGTTGTACTTGTACTTAACTGTTTAGTTCAGTGGTTCCCAACCTTTTTACCCCAGCGGCCAGTGGGCAAGCAAAATTAATTTAAGAGTTCGCTGACCGGTAACACATGCCATCGTATGAAGACCACGATGTAAAAATCTCTGAGATTCAGAATATTTGTTTAGTTTTAGTACAATGTTAAAATATTGCAGATTACTCCATAATTAATTGGAAAGCTAAACAGAACATGAAAGTAAAATAGGTGAAAATACCCTTGCTGGGTCTCATCTTATTGAGTGCCTTTTATTTTTTGTCGTTTTGTTTTTGACTGCATGAAGCGCTTCGAATTTATGTATGAAATACAATATGCCCAATATTTTCGCTTCGTGTTCAAGGAAGGTTATTTAAATGTCTAAATACGATCTGATTGCAATATTAAAATTGTTCACTTTTATACGAATGGGATGTGGACAAAACACATATGTGTATATTTTAGAGTAGATACTCGCGATAATTTAACATAGAGCTTTTGCAACGGATGGAAACCTTTTCATTAGATGTATTCTTATAATTGGGCTTATTTACTCATTCCAGATAAGATATTTGTCAAGTCTTGGAGGTTGCTCCGAGAAAGACTTGATTGGAGAATCATGAGCTCAGTTATAACAAATTTACTCTCCCGCTCTTTCAACTGTGCAGGACGCGGTGGATAAGGAGTGAGTGGGACGCCCTGAGTTTCTGCTATTAAAGGTACGTATGTAATATGTTTATCATATTGTACCACCATCTTTCTCTGCTCTACCCTCTTCTATTTTATAAGTATAAGATTATTTTGACTCCAAATCAGCTTAAGATAATTCATACGGGAAATGAACAAAAATTGATTAAATAGAATCTGACAATCTGGAGTGAAAACAAAACCTTAATTAAGATTGAAGCGTAAAGAATATAAGGTTTTGCCAAAAAGATGCCTATCGTGTTCATGAATTAAATTAAGTTACTCACACACAACAACAACAGAGATATAATAAAATAAAAACAGGCGAGAAAATTTAGATAAGTTTGGTAGTAAACAAAATGTACTTGCCAGTTGCCACACCATTCATTTTTATCATTATGATTGTCAAATTGAGTAATAATTTTGTAAACAACTGTGAACAGTAAAGAAATTGAATGTAGATTTTGTATACAAAAGTGAACAGTATAGAAAAATATTTATTAAGGAGATATCGCCAAGCTGATTATGGTTAGAGTCAAGTGCCAAATTGCCAATCCAATGTTGCCAGAGTTTGGTGCATAATGGCGAACAGTGGTTTTCGAACTTATTTGTATCATCGCTCCCGTACAGTACTTTTTACATTATCATCCCCCCCTAGCACAACAGCAAATGATGAAGTTACAAATAAATTTATTGTAAATCAATTAAACAAATAGACTAATCATGGTGCATGATGTTTCTAATAATATAGATGAATTTCAACAAGGAATATTTGAAGACATTTTAGTCAGATAAAATCTCAAATCATCATTATTCCCTCCAACAAATATTCCCATCAAAACATTGTCTACGCCCCCCTTGCGGAATCAAGAATTTCTGTATTTCTCAATTATTATTGTCTTGTCAATGTAAGCTTCACTCACACATTTGCGACTGCAGAAACTTGGCTTAAGATTCCTACTCTGAAAATTTGTTGGGATGCAGTCATTCAGACTAGGCTTTGAACTCTGGTGCTGTAATTTGCTAATACTGCAATTTAACACAGAATTTTTATATTTTTCAGCTATGGATGATCTGGCAACGAACTCCGATTAATTTTATTACATGTATACATATTTGTAAAATAAAGACATTTTGTTATCTTTTGTTTTTTATTATATAAATAATGTTAGATTAGTGGGAAATTTCTATGTAGTATAGATCCATACCCTGTCTGTACAACACATCGCCTAACTTGGCCCGACCATGTGCCACGATTGTATTACAACGTGTCACCTACGTAGGCCCGGCCATATGTCACGATTGTGTTACAACGTATCGCCAACGTTGGACCGGCCATATTTCACGATTGTGTTACAACGTATCGCCTACGTTGGCCCGACCATTTGCCACGGTTGCATTACAGCGAAAGGACCGACGTTGGCCCAGCGGCCAAATCTTCGCTGGAACATGGTTGTTCGCCATTATTGGGCCAGTGGTTCGAACAACGTTCGGCCATGGTTGTTCCGACGTAGTTGTGCTATCTGGGTCGCATTAGTCATAATAAACGACATTATTCACGATTTTATGTGATAATTTTGTACAAGAAAATTGCTAGTGTCAATAATAGACTTAAAATCGATAACTAATTACATGTTTACCAAATGCTTGGGTCGCGAGAAATTATAAAAAAAAAAATTGGGTCGCGCTGAAAAGTAGTTGCGGACCCCTGGACTACACCGCCATGCGATACGATGTTATAAAAAATCATCATCAAATATCCATTAAATATCATATTTTAAATTATAAAGATACTTTATAGACACCCTGTATACTAATTGAAGTCAATTGATGGGTATTTTTTTGATAAAAGTTTTAATTTTCCCCATGACATTTTCATTGAAGGCCTATCCATATATATATGTTCTTGTTAATTGTTTTTCAGATTTAATTTAACTTTGGTATAATATGCTTCGTCTGTCGCTTCAGTAACGTTATCGGATACATTTTTTTTTATATCTCATACCGCATTATTCAGTATTTTTTGTGAATTTCAAACCGCCCCTAAATTTAGCGAATGTGTCTTTTATCCCACTTTCACTTACAATTCTTGCTTCTGGAAACAATGAGTAGCACAATCATTTTTAGATGCCATGTTGATATCACATAATAATAATATCAATTTATAAACGACCTTTTTGCATTAATGAAAATATGAACAGCAGTATTTAAAAAAGCTATACAATGATTAAATATCAGTTTAGGGAATTAATGAAACGATGACCAACTTGACTAACAATAAGAATCGTAACCAAACAAATCTTCAGTGGAATTTATTATGATCAATACCTCTTTCAGTGCGCGAGCGATCTTGATTAACAAGAAAGTAATGCTCAAATATATAGACACGAAACTTCCTTCGGTATCGGTACTGTGAACCGTTATAGCAAAGAGTTTGTTGAAAATATCGGTGGACGTGCGAGACACCAAAATTTCTTACTCAGTCAAAACATGTTAGTTGTTGATTGCAATTTGCAACCCAACCCCAACCTGAACTCCGAGGAATTGAATGACGTTGATACGCACAATTTTGTGGAGAAACGTACCGTACCGAGGGTATGTCTTCACAAGTCCGTGAACCGTGTGGCCTTCTCCTTCTCGACAGTCCTTTTCAGCGATAGGGAAAGTTTGGTTCTTTGTTTTTGAGGTAGGATAGGATTTACATATTTATTTTATTATTATTACTATTTTATTACTATCGTGAATTTTGTTTTTTAAGTTTGGCCCAAGCCTCATTTAATTGGGCTTGTGTTTTTGTGTGCGTGCTGGTGGGCAGGCACATGAGATACTTCATGTTTTAAACTTTTTGTAGGTTTTGCTTGCCCTCCCTCCATTTTAAATTTAGGTTTGTTATGGAGTTTTCGAAATAAACTATCTAACTAGGCTATTTATCCCGGGGGAGAGGAAAGCCGATAAGACGGCTTATCCATATGGCGAACCACGGCCTCTCGTCCGGTTACGGTACCATTCCAAGTCGGGTATGGGATTGGTTTTACTGTATTGTTTGTTTTCGGAAGCATGGACTTGGTGGTGGAGGAAGCCGTAACCGACCAGCGGTTACGTGAACCACCCAACGACGGCGAGGAGTCCAGCAATCCTCTCGCACATAACCATCCCTGCATGGGATTCGAACCTGCGAACACACGCAGAGTAATTAGAGGTGCGGTGGCGAGCGTATTCCTAACGCTTAGCCCGTTGAGCCACACCGCCGCGCCAGGTAATAAGTTTGGGTCTGGTATAGTCAGATAGTTTAGTACGGTACCACATATACTTCTAGTTGGCCTGGATCAACAATTTTTGTATATGTCAATCCTAACCCCCACCTGACTACGTCACCGAAAAATTACGTCAATTGGACGTCACAGTGGCGTAATAAAACCCACCGAAATATGCGGATGATCGTCCAAAACGCGCAGACGATCACCCGAAATCGAGCAAGCTATTTCTCTCGTTTTTTCGTCACAACGATCACCATAGGAGAGAGATCGTCGGCGTTAACGAGTTCGTTATCGGCGGCGCAGATACCATTTCGGGCGATTGTAATTATACTTTGGCAAGCCATATGACGTGATGGTGACGTCGTAGTGACGTAATTTTTGGATGGCATAGTCAGGTCTGCAGGTGGGGGTTAGGAATAACATATGCAAAATTAGGTATGCTACACCCACTGGAAGTACCTACTTGTGGTACTAAACTATACTAGACCCATAAGTTTTACCAGTTTCCGGGTTCTTCGTAGGATGCGATTTCGGATCTCGTGTAGTCTCGTACCTAACGTACTTCTAGTGGGCGTAGCATAACGATTTTTTGATATGTCAATCCTAACCCCCATCTGATTAGGCCATCCAAAAATTAAATCACTACGACATCACAATCACGTAGTTTCGTACCTAACATACTTCTAGTGGGCGTAGCATGACAATTTTTTCACGTATCAATCCTAACCCCCACCCGACTACATCATCCAAAAATTACGTCAACACGACGTCACAGTGACGTGATAGAGCCCTTCAAACTATACGAACTACCATCCAAGAGGCGCAAACGAGTGCCCGAAATCGAACACTTATTTCTCTCGTTTTCTCGTCGCAACGATTACAATAGGAGAGAGATCGATAACGTCAGTCAGTTCTTTATCGTCGGCGCCAATGCCATTTCGGGCGATTGTACGTATATTTGGCAAGCTCTATGACGTGATTGTGATGTCGTGGTGACGGTAATTTTTTGGTGTCGTAGTCAGATGGGGGTTAGGATTGACATATCAAAAAATAGTTATGCTACGCCCACTAGAAGTACGTTAGGTACGAAACTACACGAGACCTCCTGACTACACCATCCGAAATTTGGATGGAACGAATTTTGGGGTCTGGTACCGGTATAATTTAGTAGGAATTAGTAAATATATATATTTTTTTTTAAAACAGTTTGGTAGGCTACCTAATACCTAAATACAGTACGGCAGGGGTCGGCAAACTACGGCCAGGAGCAATATAATCCAGCCCGTGGCGCTTCACTGAATTATATTAACAAAACAGCTGTATTGATGATTATATTCTTTATGTCAGTATGTGACAGAATTTGTTTTGAAACACTAAATTATATTATAACCTAACAAGAATATAATTCACAATCACTCGTTTAATGAGCCTATAATTGATTATAATTAGACAAATGGCAACAGAACGTAAAAGTTGATGCTGAGTGCTAATGGTTTAATGACTCAGAAAATATTCAAATGATCATTCTTCACCCACTGCTTGTAATTTAACTTAGATTTGTGTGTAAAAATGAGATTCATTGGCCATTCCTTCGGTTTTTAACTTTCTAAAAATATGTGCTGCTCGCAACCTTTAATTTTGGCCCACGCACGACAAAAGTTTGCCGACCCCTGCAGTACGGTAATACCGTATTGTACAATAATATATTTCTGTGGTTTGCAAGTTCTGAAGTTTGTGAGTGTTGATTTTATCGCATTGATAATTGAGTCGAAATAAATTTATACGCTGATTGAATTGTGGCATAGTTTACTGGTTTAACTACACAATTGTGACGTTTAGCTGTTCATTCCTATATCCAGGATTTTATGAATTTAATTGATGCAAATTTATTTTGATGATGTACTTTTCTTTTTGCCTTTGTTAGTTTTCTAGGTCACTATTAATATAGTTGTTTAATATAAACAGATTTATAAAGTTTATAAAAAAAAAATACGAGAGTAATGGGAGAACCGCAGGCGGGTGAGCCATTATGGTGGAAAGCCCTAGAAAATCTGGAAATTGAACATGAAAAAATTGAAGATAATGAACTCATGTCAACTTGGAATGGTTCATCCCAAGGAGACGGTGTTCCCAAATATGGATGGAGAATCGCCCTCAGTCATAAATTTAGAGAAAAACGTACTCCATGGACTGTACCAAAAATACACCAGGTTCCAGCATTGGTGGGACTCTCTTACCGTTATATCAAATTTCATCGTAAATTAAAGCGTATTAATCGTCGTCCATGCATGGATTTCTTCAACCAACAACCACTGCGACAAATTTATGGTGTCCCTCTTGGGGGAATCGGGGGCGGGTCAATCAACCGTGGCTGGCAGGGTGAATTCTGTCGATGGCAGTTACGTCCGGGGGTTTATGAGTTTGTAACTACATTGGCAAATCAATTTATTGTTTGTATTCGTAAAAATGGAACCACTGTATATCAACAAGTTTTAAGTGTTCACAGTACCCCAGCGAAACATCTAAAAAGTTGGAAATGGGAGTTTCCTGGTTCCCAAGCTTTTTATCATGCTTTGTATCCGCGTGCGTGGACCGTATATGAAATTCCAGAACATAAAGTTGTATTAACCTGTAGACAAGTATCTCCTGTAATTCCCAATGAATATAAGGACTCGAGTATTCCTGCCGCTGTTTTTTCATGGAGTATTGAAAATAGATCTGAAAGTGATTTAGAAGTATCCATTGTTATGACAATGGAAAATGGTAATGGCACAAAAAAATCAAGACTACATCATTCTGGACATTTTAATGAAGAATTTGATGATGATAAAAAATGCAGTGGTGTAGTTATGCATAACTTTACATATGAGAAAATGCCGTACACAATGACAGTTGCTGCATCTGATAAGCCAGAAATGAAAGTTTCAAAATGTATTTCTTTTGACCCAACTTCAGATGGATCCACAATTTGGAATGAATTGCATGAACATGGCCACTTTGATTCTACAAATGACATAAGTGAAAATACTTCTCGTGGAGAATCTATTGCCTGTGCAGTTGCTGTTGAAACCACTGTAAAATCAAAAACTCTTCAAAAAAATGTTGATTTTGTTTTATCCTGGGATATGCCAATAGTATATTTTGGTTCAAAGGAAATTTCTCACCGCCGTCGATATACTCGTTTCTTTGGGGCATCCGGTATCGCTGGACCCAAAATTGCGTTGTATGCGCTTCAAAACTATCAAGATTGGGAAGAAAAAATACGATCATGGCAAGAACCAATTCTGTCAAATTCCCGCTTACCACTGTGGTACAAATCTGCCATATTCAACGAGTTGTATTACATCAGTGATGGAGGGACAATTTGGCTTGAAATAGATAAAACTGATACAGAATCAATTAGCATTTCAAATCATATAAATAAGCACAATGCATCAAAAGAAACAGATGTGGATCATCTCCAAAACAGTGAAATTTTGAAAAGAATTTGGAAGATTTGCGTATCTTGAAGGCCAAGAATATAGGATGTTCAATACATATGATGTTCATTTTTATGCATCGATAGCTCTTGCTGCATTATGGCCCAAGCTTGAGCTAAGCTTACAGTATGATATTGCTACAAGTATTCTAAGGGCTGATGATACACGATTTCGTTTTATAATGGATGGTCATAGAAAACCTGTTAAAACGACAGGAGTGGTTCCACATGATGTTGGGGATCCTGAAGATGAACCTTGGACGAGAGTTAATGCGTATTTTGTTCACGATACAGCATCTTGGAAAGATTTAAATCCTAAGTTTGTTTTGCAAGTTTTTCGAGATTACCACATCACAAAAAATCGTAAATTTCTTGAGGACATGTGGCCAGTTTGTTTGACAGTTATGGAAATGAGCATGAAACATGATAAAGATGGAGATGGTCTTATTGAAAATGGTGGAACCGCAGATCAAACTTTTGATGGTTGGAGTGTCACTGGTCCAAGTGCGTATTGCGGTGGTTTATGGATTGCCGCATTGCGATGTACCATCGAGGCAGCAAATATCTTGGACCGGCAAGAAGATAGTTTAAAATACAAGGAAATTTTAGAAAGAGCCACAAAGGCTTACGACAAAAAGTTATGGAATGGTGAATATTTCAATTATGATAGCAATAAACACAGCAATCATAGTGACAGCATTATGGCTGACCAATGTGCAGGTCAGTGGTATTTACTCGCTGCGGGAATAGCTGATGTCATACCAGGAGATAAAATTCTTAGCTGCTTGAGAAAAGTTTATAACTTTAATGTGGAATTGTTTGCTGATGGAAAACGAGGCGCAGTTAACGGAATGAGACCAAACGGGAAAGTTGATCAATCGAGCGTTCAGTCAGATGAAGTTTGGACTGGGGTAACATATGCTGTTGCGGCAACGATGCTTCATAAAGGAATGTTGAAAGAAGGTTTCAAAACGGCCCAAGGAATGTATAAAAGTGTTTGGGAAGAGACTGGTATGGCATTTCAAACACCAGAAGCGATTTTGAAACACAGTCATTACCGATCTCTAGCGTACATGCGCCCATTAAGTATATGGGGCATGCAATATGCACTGGAAAACACAGACAATGATGACATTGCTTCAGAATAAGCTTTAATTATTTTGGCAAGGGTTTTTAAACTAAAAAAATTTTTAATTATTTAAAATGTCATTACTTTTTGTAGTATAACCTTTTCATTTAAATCTTCATTATTTGAAGGTCAGTTTCTTTGATCAGTGATCAGCATTTTTTTCCTTCTTTTGCATATGTCCAACAACTATAATTATGGCATTGTTATTTCTACCTGTTTCCAATATGAAAGTACAGTAACACTTAGTGAATTACACATATCAATGAATTATGAATGTCCTTTTCATGTGATAGTGAAGCATTTTTTGCAAATAATTTCGTTTTGAATATTATAATTTTTTGTTTTAGAAATACTGAAAGCATTTCATGAGTATTAGCAAACTTAGGATCATTCACAAATCAACTTCATCCAGAAGCAGTAATTTTGCTCTTTTTTTACTTTTCCATTCAAATTTTATTTGGACTTTTATTTAGCTACAATTACTAAAAAAAATTCTTTGCTGTTTTAAACTTCACAGAAATCAATTTAGGAATTATACTAAATTTACATGGTGATATACATATTTAGTGAGTTCCTATTTCAAAATGATTGAGGTAGAACTAAAAAATTATCATTTGTTCATCATCCCACTATTGAATTTTCCATAAATCATCAAATATACTGATAGTTTCTATTGGTTATCAAACACACTGTGTGTATATTCGAAACACTGTGTGTATATTCGAAAATCGAAATAATCTATAGTAAAAGTTTGTTCACCTCCTTAGGCAAACAATGAAACATTCTAGCTTTATATGTAACTAATTTCGTAAATGAGAGATACGTGTAAGATGTGACTACTTTTGTCAATATCAAAAAATACTTAGCGGTATGTGGTCATGCGGATATGAATTGTTATAATTCCATATTTGGAAATTGGCTTATTTTGTGACGGTTTGCAAGTATATAACTGATGAAATGTTTTCAAACACTGAATGCACTTGACTTCTATGAATAATTCATGTACTGATGTGTATCAGGAAGATGACTCATTGTTAACTGATGAGTCATATTTGTTCAATTTTTTGTGCCATATTATGTAATGTATGTACATTCTACAATACTACTATTCATATATTATGTTTCCCTGAGCAGGGATATTGTGTATTATACTGCAGGCCCTTTCTCCTTGTTTACTTCCTACTTCAGATCTGTATGTATCCCTTACAACAGGAATGTTTGGTTGAGATAGTATTAAAAACCCTTCGCACATAAGAATACTTTTTTAAATATGGAATATAGAATAAAACCATTCAAATAAAAAGTTCTATTCTCAATATTTGGTACATTCATTTTTATTCGGAAGATATTGTACATTTGTGGAATTTTTTATTTCAAAATTCTGCTCGATATATAGATTCATTACATATATTTGGTTTATTATTCGTATTTACTAACACTCGCAAAGATTTATTTAGGCTTATCACAATAGTTTTAATTTATGGTTACTGGATTTTTCTTGCCAGGTATAAACCATAGATGCCTTGCCGGTATGTTTACCATTTTGCTGATATTTATCTGTTTAATTTTCCAATATGTATATAACAAACAATAAATAAGGGTGACAGTGTATTTTAAACATATATACGGTATCTCACACACTTCGTTCTGTAATCGTTCAATAGTACTTATTTTTTTTAATATTTCGATTTTCTGTTTCTATATGAAGCATGTAACCTAGTGTTATGTTTAGCATTTTTTTTAAATCAATTTTGGAGATATATGGATATTTTATGCAATCTAAAAAGTTTAATTTCTGATGGTATTTCTTTTCCCCCTGCCCCCCAAGGGTTTATACTCGATAAAATAACCCCCAGTAATGTTTGGAAATGAGCTAGAGAAATATTATATCCTTAACAATCACAATATATACCGGTATTTAAATAGGACTAGTTCATCTAAGATCTAAAATGTATATTGTCATCCATTAGATTTATAACATCCATCATGTTCATAGCAAGCACACTGTTAACTAAATAAAATACTTCAATTTATTCATAGAATGTTCTCTATCTACATCAATCTCATAATTTGCCATCACAAGTGCATAATTACTGGTAGTGGTATGTTCTTAATGGCTGCCACAGGTGTGCTCATAAACATCTGTTTTTACAATTATATTGAAAAACAGATGGCAAGCTTTACCATAAAAAATTGATAACTCTAAATTTGAAAATAGTCTGTTCTGTAGACGAGTATACATCCAATTGATAGAACAAGTGTGAAATATTTAGTAGTAGTGTAGGGGGCTGGCAATGCTTCTCTCTTTCCTCTTATTTATGGATCAAACGAAATTATGATTTGTGATCAATAAAGAATGTTAGATATTTACGTTTATTCCATTATCGTAAATATAGCAAACAATTCATTCTGATCTTTTTTTTGATTTGTTACTTACTTTTTTTTCCCCTAGATTTGCCATTCTTTAATGTGCAATGTCCATAATTTAATTTGCTAAAGTTTCAGTTTTTCCAGATTTAATTTTTTTTTGAATGAATTATATGAATCATTCTACTATATTATATAGTAAAATACTTTCTTGCTGGTGTCCATTTAATCACTTCGCTTTGATTGACTCTCAAAGAATTGAATCATTCTTCATTGATATATTTCTGTGAGTCATACACTCTATCATAATAATTAGCAAAGAAATTGTACTGAAAGTACTTTTTGTTTTCTGTTTCTAACAGAAAATCTTATAGTTCACTTATTAGGTAATCACGTTTATTTTGAGCATTATTTTTTTATGTTTCACTGTATAGACAACTTCTTCCTGTGACTATAAAGGATTATTACTGAAAATTTTAAATGTATCAGTTCCATTATTCTTCTGTATATGACTTGTTATTTATCACTAATGATACAGATTCATAGCATGATATACACCCTGATGAAAAAGGAAAAAGAAAAATATTTGAAAAATTGACAATTTTGTATTTATCAACTTTGGATAAAATAAAAGTATCTGTCATTGTCGGGGATGTTTTTCTGGCTCTGTTATGTAGCATTAATTAGTTATGGTTCAATTGGATCGTCTTAATAAAATTACCCAATTTACTACTGTAAAAATACATTGATATTTGAACTCATTATCATATGTATTCTTTGCATTTGCTGAGTGATACCCTTGAATTGATTCCTTAAAGAAGTAAGATTCGTTGTCATATCTTTGTAAGGAAATTTGGTAGCAATAGCAATATTACTAATTGTGGTTCATCTTTAATAAGATATAGTTCCCGGCTGTTCTTAACTTACTAGTATCATTTCTTATGCTTTGTTCCGCATTTTGTTGCAATAATATAAACCAACCAAAATTGATGATGCATATTGTTTTGTATATTTCATTTTTATATTTCTATTATTCTAGTGCTCATTGTACTTCATAATTACTCATTGAACGAGTTAAGCCTAGCATTATAGATTTTCATAAATGGATGATTTTGTACTCCTTTTGTAGTGTAATTGAGGTTAGAGACACTGAAAAGAAAAAGTGTATTCTTAGTGTCTTCATTGTAGTCTGTTTACTTGTATCTACATTTTTTTTTCCAAATAGACCTGTTATCTATTAATTTAAAATAATTTGATAAGAATGTACTAAAAATTTGAAATGAACTGTTTTGGTGTTTAAAAACTTTTACCAGCAGGTGTCAGTCGGCCATCCATACACAATGCTTGTAAAAGCATCTTCCGTCCAGAAAAAAATTACGGGAATATTTTTTACTTTTATTTTTGGAAATTGTTTCCTTAGTGTGTACATTAATCTATTTTCCAATAAATATCAAAATATGTATTTATATCGAATGAAGTTACCTGAAATGAAAATACCCCTCGATTGACGTGGGGGGTAGTGTTAGGATAGCATGTGGATTTTCACATTATCCCGCGCGATGGTCACTATCCTCATCCACGCACTAAGGCGACGGGTTTTTGCGACCATCATGTTCCTAATTGGGCACGAAGTTAACCGATTGAAAAACTCAGAAATCGCTGGGAGGCTATTGCTCTTTTCAGAATTTTTATCTGAGTACTATGAGACGCTTATATCTCACCGAAAAGTTATGCCCATCTCCCAGGTATCTCTGCATTTTGTTTTTTCCGTTTACTATTTGTATTGTTTATGTCAGAGAACCAAAATAAATGATTGCATAATTGTTAAACATCCGCACACAAGTGACTAGGGTTGGAAAATAAAATTTCTGCTGGTCGGCAGGTATAAGTAGATGTAATTGAGTGACAGATTCAGATAGTGCAAGAATCAATGTAAAGCAATAAATAAATAAACGGAAACACGGAATTGATTCATAGCAATTGGTGGGTGGTCGCGAACGACTCGATGAGTCATCTAGTAGTCAATGACAGTGTTATGAGTGCCAATAATATTTTCCGTTTTATAGTTATTTTTTTATCATGTTACATCCGAACAAGAGAGCTATGCTCAAATATATGGATACGTCACAAGCTGTCGCTATTTTTTTTTTTGACACATAAAAAACGAATCTCTTGAAGTCCACAGAAATTTTTGAAATAAGTAAAAGTAATAGCCTTTTGGCTAAAAAATAAATCTTTAACTACTGAAAATTTCGAAGCAATGGACCTTTCTTTGACCTTTGACCCCCGGAAAATTCTCTCTATACTTTACCATTGCAAAATTTTCAGGGCTATTTTGAGAGTGCTTTTGCGAGTTGGCGCCTGTAAAATGGGGTATGTGTTTCAAACCATCATTATGATTCATCACATACAGCAATCTCTTTTTTAAAATTACCGGTAAAGAATTTCAAGCTAGTCTACCACAGCTATTTCTACACTAATTTTTATTACTGCAATTGAAGTAAAACTCCTAGGAAGACAGAGTGATCATTGAATTATCTGATTTATATTTAAGTTTCCGAAACACAACTGAAAACTAACGAATAGAATTCAAAAACGCGAAAACGACGTAATGTTTACAACCACGCTTGAAATTCTGTCTGAGTGAGAAAAGTGTCTGAGCGGATGCGAAAAGGGGGCAATGTTACGTCACTTTTTGCATCTTGCTGATAGGCCAATGTCACGAAGTAAACAAGGAAGTCGATGCTCGGGGAAAGATCCATTGGTCCAGTAATCAAAAAGAAATCGACATTTTTTAAAAACTTGTCAAAGAACATGAACGGATATCGGCTTGTTGCAGTAGACGAGGGGTCTCAGAGATTTTTACAGCGTGGTTTTCATACGATGCTTTCTGAGGATTCCCCGTTTTTCCGGCGCATCGCCGGGCTCGCTCATATATTTTTGTGCAACCGTTCACTTGCAGTTGATATAAATGCACAATTGTTCCTATTGCGATAATTAGATTTCCTTTTAAATAATTGAATATACTGTCTTTTGAAGTTGTTGTGGGGTCGCGGGTATCTGCAGTCTTTGATTTTATGAAAAATTGGGGTCGCGAAAAATGTGGGTACCTCTGGGCTAGATCGTCGCAGGTCATCGAGGCTACCGATCATTTTATTTACACTGTTATGTGCAACGACAAACATACCGGTTATGTGTAACAGAAAAGATAAAAAACCTATGTTGTGTCGATCACAGGTGACTTAACTCAAGGTATCGATTGTTCCATTGCCTGTGCCTTGGGCAATAAGATATTTTTGCGCAATAACGTTAATTACCGTATTTCTCCGTGTATAATACGCACCCATGTTTAATACGCAGGGCTCTTTTAGAATGTGGATTGTATGAAAATACCAAGGTCCATGCATAATACGCACCGTCGAATTCAGTTATTTGCGTCGACTGCGTTTGGTATTTTCGAGAAGCCAGCCTAGCAAGTTTCACTGTGATTTAATAATATGTTTCAAATTTGTGAGCCTTAGGTTTGCCGATTGGCCGCAAATCAGAATGAGACAAAATGATTTAGGAACATTCAGTTTTGTTGTAAATTAGAGACGCCAGACTGGACGACACAACAATTAAACTATGATACAAACTGCCGTTCTCATCACTTATATACACTGGTTATTGAAATAGATGCGTTGTCCTTTGTTAGACAAGATAGTCCATTCCGTGGGTGTGATTCTACTGCAACAAGCATGATCTGGTTATAACGGACTTTGTCACATAAAATAATAGAAATAAGACGGCAAGGAAACATGTGCTAAGTATTCGGCAATTGCGTGTGAAATATCTATCAGGGTTTTTTGAATTATTTTCTATACCAATGTATAATACGCACCCCCTAATTTTGGAGATGAAATCCGGAACCGGAAGTGCGTATTATACACGGAGAAATACGGTGCGGCGGTGTGGCTCAACGGGCTAAGCGTTAGGAATACGCTCGCCACCGCACCTCTAATTACTCTGCGTGGGTTCGCAGGTTCGAATCCCATGCAGGGATGGTTATGTGCGAGAGGATTGCTGGACTCCTCGCCGTCGTTGGGTGGTTCACGTAACCGCTGGTCGGTTACGGCTTCCTCCACCACCAAGTCCATGCTTCCGAAAACAAACAATACAGTAAAAACTAATCCCATACCCGACTTGGAATGGTGACCGGACGAGAGGCCGTGGTTCGCCATATGGATAAGCCGTCTTATCGGCTTTCCTCTCCCCCGGGATAAATATGTAAATCCTATCCTATCCTATCCTATCCCGTAGTTCCTAAAACAACGGCACCTGGCGGCCATAATCGGAATCAGTTGCTATTCTGGTTCTGGTGCGGACATACCGGTACGCTTTACGGGTATGCTTTGATTAGCGGTTTCACTTTCCTCTGGGATAAATTCTATCCACTGATTATGCTCAGTGCTGCATTCAAAAAGCGTGCAAAATGGAAAGGTGTTCAGGTCCAGGTGGTTCTGTTTGCTGACTTCAATTGCAGGTCTTTATTCCCTGTTACAGTGTTGAAACATGTCAAATGATGGTACCGTAATGAACAAAATGACCTTATACTAGTTCTGTATTTGGGTCTAGTGTAGTTTCGTACCTAAAGTACTTCTAGTCTGGACGTTAGTCAGTTCTTCATCGGCAGCGACGATTCTATTTCGGGCAATTGTACGTATTTTTGACAAGCTTCATGACGTGATTTTGATGTCGTTGTGACGTACGGTAATTTTTGGATGGCGTAGTCAGGTGGGGGTTAGGATGGACGTGTCGAAAAATTGTTATGCTACCCCCACTAGCGTAGCACAACAATTTTTGCAAATGTTAATCCTAATCCTCACCTGAGTCCTGTCGTCCTGACAGCGTCAATACATATTGTCATCCAAGAGCAAGACACGCAGGAGGCGAGCACCCGAAATCGAACAGCTATTTTTCTCGTTGTAACGATCCCAATATGATAGGGATCGTGGACGTTAGTCAGTTCTTCATCGGCAGCGACGATTCTATTTCGGGCAATTGTACGTATTTTTGACAAGCTTCATGACGTGATTTTGATGTCGTTGTGACGTACGGTAATTTTTGGATGGCGTAGTCAGGTGGGGGTTAGGATGGACGTGTCGAAAAATTGTTATGCTACCCCCACTAGAAGTATGTTAGGTACGGGACTAGGATAGGATAGGATTTACATATTTATCCTGGGGGAGAGGAAAGCCAATAGGACGGCTTAACCATATGGCGAACCACGGCCTCTCGTCCGGTTACCATTCCATGTCGGGTACCGGTATGGGATTAGTTAGTTATTTGTTTTCGGAAGCATGGACTTGATGGTGGAGGAAGCCGTAAGCGACCAGCGGTTACGTGAACCACCCTACGGCGGCGAGGAGTCCAGCAATCCTCTCGCACATGACCATCCCCACATGGGATTCGAACCTGCGAACCCACGCAGAGTAATCAGAGGTGCGGTGGCGAGCCTATTCCTAACGCTTATCACGATGAGCCACACCGCCGCGCCGAGACTACACGAGACCCCTGTATTTGGCATAGATTTAATACTGTAATAAGCATGTAGCAAGCAAATTGGGTCTCTGGAAGTTTTGTACCTAACGTACTTCTTGTGGGCGTAGCATAACAATTTTTTGATATGTCAATTCTAACCCCCATCTGACCACGCCATCTAAAAATTACATCACTACGACATCACAAATCACGTCATAATAGAGCTTGACAAATATATGTACGATCACCCAAAATGGCATCGGCGCCGACGATAAAGAACTGACTAACGCCATCTCTCTCCTATTGGGATTGCTGCGACGAAAAAACGAGAGAAACAGCTGTTTGATTTCGGGTTCTCGTCTGCGCGTCTTGGATGGCAGTTCGTATAGTTTGAAGGGCTCCATTACGTCACTGTGACGTGGTAGTGACATAATTTTTGGATGGCGTAGTCAGGTGGGGGTTAGGATTGACAGTACACATAGAAAAAATTGTTATGCTACACCCACTAGAAGTATGTTAGGTACGAAACTACATGAGACCTAGCAATTTTATATCTAGAAAGTTTTGAAGAAAGTCTTAGTATACACTGATACACCCTAGCCATGCAGCAATGACTTTCTGCTTTTTCGCTGAATGGATAATGGTTATGAAGATGTCTACATCTGAAATTGCTGTGATACATCTGTACATTCAGACCTTAGATACATCAGTCTGCTCTGTGATATTTTCTAATGCGATTTTCTAATGCACACTATTCCATAATTAACAGTTACAATCACTGTGCTTTTTGTTCAAACAAATCTGCAATTGCGCTGCCATTCCGTTTTCAGCATTTTTTTCCATGGTCAGTTAGGACTCAAGATAGTGTTTCGCTACTTGATTACAAGTAACAGGCATGGAGCTCTCTGAAGCATTTGTCGCCGTGCCAAATGCCCTATTTTCAGAGACAAATAAAGTGTTTGTTTTATTGAACGAATTGTTGGTACATCTTGGAATCAGAGAACTGTGCCCTACTGGCCTTCACTTTGAAAAAGGACATTTCTCATTCTTACCAGTGATAACCATTGTGATACCAATAATCTAGCATACTGACTAGTGACTATATACTGCTTAAGGTTGCTTGTAAACCAGTAACCTCAAATATTTTATATTTTTCTTTATTCTCTAAAAACAGTGTTCAGTGTGAGTAAAATTACTATTATAATTGAAACAGTGAAATAGCAATTGTGTAAAATGGCATCTAGGGCCGAGCAAATGGATAATGTGCAGATTGCAATATCGGATACCAATGAGTTTCTGCAGGATTTTCCAAGTTGTTTTGAAGTTGGTAGCGATTCAAAACTGCATCACCAAATGGGAAAAGTCAATGTTTTCTCTCACAAGCAGAATTTCTTCGCAGATGCTTATCCGGAAGTTTTGAAGGTTGAGAATGTGGAAACGTTTGCTCTTTTGAAACAAAGACTCCTGTTTCTCCCAATATACATGCATGTACACTTGGAAAGGCATCGACGTAGTGGTAACACAAGGATAATCACTCATGGTGATTATGTTATTATGGTTAACACCAAGCAGCCCGATATTCAAGCCCAGCTTAGAGAAAAACTTGATGAAGCTGAGATGCTTATGAGAGAGGGCAAAAGGTTTGCTGTGGAATTTAATTTTGGTCCTGTGCTTCGTGAATGGTTCCAATCAAGATTCGATGGAAATTGGGGAAGCTATTATGCAAGAAACAGCAATTTCTGTATTACCAATTTCCATCAACGAAGTAAATGGTGTGGTATGCCAGTCTGTTGGATCCTTTGTCTCCCTGTGTGTCTTGTTGTAGCTCCACTGCATTGTGCTTATCGTGGTTTGATGTCCGATGATTCAACACTCACAATACGTTCCGGTGTTACCTATGTGAAAGGTACAACACCAGCACAGCGAAATGAGATTAGGCAACTGGTACGAGCTGCCTATATTCAAGGTCTTTCCCATAACCTTAACACCCAAGCAGAAGACAGATTACAATATGAGCAAGCATACAATCAAATGCCTGCTCCACCACCTAGCTATACTGGGCAGCCAGCTGGAAAACAAAGTGAAGCACCACCAGAGTATTCTGCAGTGGTTCAGCAGCAAAATTTTCCAAACGGTGACGATGAGATGCTGAGGAATGTGATATAGTTAGTCAGTGTTGTTGTTCAGAAATATGATTAAATTTCCCAGTGAATATCGATATTTATTTTATTGAGACATAATTTGCAATTGTTTTTTGTATATATGTTGCCTAAAATATGTTTGTATTCAATCTTACTATTATAAATATCACTTACCTTTATAAAAAGCATTTAGCTTTAATCAATGTTACATTGCCAGACACAAATATATATGTATTGAATAGAGATGCTTTTATGCCTTTATTTTTTCCGAGTGGTTCAGATGTGCAAATGGAAAAGTGGTTTACGTGTGCTTTGGTTAAAATTTTCATCATCTAAATTTTCTCAGTCGACAAGACTAATAAATCATTATGCCCCAGTGAAATGAAAGTGAATGAAACAAAATCAATTTTTCTATAATCGTGTTGCGCTTGTATACTGTTGAATATCTGTATTGCTTTTGCTCTGATATTGAGAAAGAGTTCGTTCGAACTGGGTTGTTGAGTCAAATAGGTTTGCCCAGGCTGATAAACCACCATAAAATGTAATTTCACCCATTTTGGATCTACTGGTTTTGCCCTCATGATAAAGACATATTATTGTTTAGCCTTCAACTTTGACGTTCATTTTATCTTTGGATATTCCATTCTTCTTTTTAGAATCATAAATTGTAGGTGCATGATTTTGTATGCCATTGCTCAGTTTACAGGATATGTGAAGAATTTGTTTTGCTTGTGATTTTGTAGCATTAAAATCAGTTTATTCTCAAAAGCGTAAGAGGTGCCTTAATGTTTTTTTAATTAAGTTAAGATATAGAACTCTTTAAATGTGTTTATTCATCATTTTTCAAAGCATGTCGCCTAATGTTGTTTTTTTGTTGTCATATTTCTATATTTCTTGGCCCTTTTGTTTTTTATTCTCTTTTTGTGTGGCATAATCTTGGCATAACTTTTTGCCGGGGTTCATTAGCATACGTAACTACTGACTACAGCTTTTTACATTTTCTTTTTTTGTGTATTCGTTAGTATGAATACTAAAATTAAATTTTTGCTGTCTGTTGTCTACTTTGAGATAAATCATTATCCACCAGGGTTGAATTTATTTTTGTTTCAGAAGCACTTATCATATGTAAAGTAACTTGTTCATTATTATCTAGTGATCAATAATCGATTTTGTAAACCTTATGTGGGACCGAGTAGTCTAGCAATCTTGTCTCAAATAATCATTCGCAGTCCAATTCAAGTCTGTGAATCTACAAATTCAAAGTACTATAGAATTGAAAAAGTTTTTCAACACCTTTCGCTTTGCATCAACCCCAAGCCAGTATGAAGATAAATACAGTACTGGATTATAATGATCTGTATAAATTTTAATCATATGATGTTCATGTATATTTTCTCTTTACAATTACTCATCGTAATTTTATAATCTTCTTTCTTGACGGTGTCATTTTTTCTTGCTTATTAATTAATGAAATATCAACTTTTTATAATAGGAACATGCATGGTGATCTTGGCAAATCGAACTTGTTTAAATCTGTTTACCAGTGATAATGAAACTTGGTAACAAAATCACATTTTGTTTACCTGATGTTGAGATCCATTCTGAAATGTTTTGGCATTTCAATCTTAAAAATTTTTTTTAATAAAATGTTGTGATGGATCAAGATAGCGAAGTGAATTAAGGCACTTACTTTCAATATCAGATGGATGCTCTTTCAAATGTGCAAACTTCATGATTGTGTTTTCTTATGTTCCTTGAAGGACAGTTGTATTTTTTTTTCTTTTGTATATACAAATGAATAAAAGTTAAAAGATTTCAGCAAAGATCCAGTGGATTTACACACATTGAAACAATTGTATTTGTCTCTGGTGATATATTATTTTGATCAAAGTTATGTAGTATGGGGTAGGACTTCTCTAAAAGTGGCTTTTTTCTGAACTCATTAAAAATCTATATCACAGAGTTCGTCAGAAAAACGCCGTCAATCTCCTCAAAGTTTGTCTGTTCGAATAAATATGTGAGACACATTGAGTGAAATATCCTGTCGTCCAGAACTCAGTAAAATCCCTATAGCGGCTTGATCTGTCTTCACGTTAAAAAAATTCGAAATTTAGTCCATCAGTTGTGAAGAAAAGCGATCTTTTTGTTGCCAACAACAGCAAGACCAAAGATAAACAATGTATAAGCTCACTTTGTGTGCAATAACGAGTAGCCTTTTGTACATTTTGTTATTGCCATCAGAGTTGAATCAATTGTAATTGATATAATTTTTTACACTTTTTCATGTGATTGAGGCATTTTCATTATGTGTAATTGTAATTTGCTAAACATTTGACTCAATGACACTTTCAATTAGACCAGGGGTCACCAAACTACGGCGTCCTTTCATCTCGCCCGCAATAACACGAAAAAGGGCGAACTATTTTTCCAAGGGGCGTTTCCCGGGAATCGACTTCCTTTTTCATTTCGTAACATTAGCCAATCAGCGAGATGCGAAAAAGTGACGTAACAATATGCCTTTTCGCATCCGTTAAGACACTCCGGCAGATTTTCAGTCGTGGTTGTAAACAATACCTCATTTTGCGATTTCGAATGCTATTCGTTAGTTTGCAGTTTGACGAAAACCCGTTTATGTATTGGAAGAAGATTATTTGGGACTAACAGTAACATCAGCCCCGTCAGAAAAAGTCTTTTCAATCGCGGGTAACTTTTATACGGCAGGAAGAAGTTTATTGGGGTCAGGAACTTTTTGCAGCCTAATTTTCATCAAATGCAACCCAACAGTTTTTGAGCAAGTGAAACAGGTTAGTGGACACTATGATCGTTCTGACCAAAACTTTTGGTATTTTGTGTTGTTGTTCTTTGACATAGTTCTTGAACAATTGCTTTTCTCATCGATTACTGGACCAAATGCTTTGAAATTTTCAGTGGTTAAATATGGAATTTTTTTTAGAACGTTATTACTTTTTTTATTTCTAAATTTCGTATGAAATCTGATATTTCGTCAAAGATTTTGCTGTATTATTTTATTCATGGGAACACTGGCTGTCTAGTTTGATCCTGTAAATTCTTGCTACACAATACTCGGAATTTTTTTGAGGGTAGCGTTAGCGTCAAGAGTAAGGACTGCTTCGCTCTGTGTAACGTGTCCATATATTTGAGCGTTGCTCTGTTGTAATTGTAATGTAATTAAAATATTTAAGGGAGTAATTGTAATTGAACTGAATTAATGTAATGTAATCCAACTCTGATTGCCATACCAATTATTTTCACTTTAAATGAAATACCATGGCAAAATCGGTATGTTAGTCGTTGGGCAAAACATATTACTGAGCACGCTATATGATCTAAAAACGCAGGAATTTTGCGGAAACAATATTTTCTAGAGGAGCACGCTCAATATGCTATTCCAAGCGACATATTAGCCCTCGTCGTTCAAGAATACCAGTCAGGTGATATCGCATTATGACGCAACAAGAAGATAATTTTTTAACAAATCGTTAAAATAAGTTTGATTCCATTAACGAATCGAAAAGCGATAAAACACAGACGTGTATTTTTTCGCTTTCGTTTACGGTTATGCCGACAATAATGTGTAGGACAGAGAGAAATAGTTACGACGAGGATGGAGGAGAGAAAGGCGAGGAAGTTAATTCTGAAGAACTAAAAAAGAAGAAAAAGGTCCGTTTTACTAAAAATTTTAGAGCTTCCAAAAATTCGAATTTTTGTTTAAATTAAATAGAATTTTATTTGAAGAAGTTGGTGAATCATTTTAAGATCGAGTTTGCGTTTGAAGTGCATGAGTAACATAGATGCCCATTTAAATATATTTGATAAAATGATGTTGCAGAATTATAAAAATTACGTTATAGGAATTTAGAGCTTTGAACGTATCGATATACATATATCTCAAATTTCAGAGAATTTGCCTAAATATTAGGCCATTATTACGTCATACTGGTTGAAGGTATCGTTATTGCGTCACAAAGAAATTTTGATTTTCCTATCATTCAACCAAAGCGTATAATATGATGCGCATTTTAAAATCAATATTTTTATGCTACTGGTCTTTTCCGTTTAAAATATATTGTATAAACATAGCTATAGCCAATCTATGGTGACGCCTATTGATATATTCGCTGTGTACAGTGACTACTAAAAGTCATTGCAATATTTATTCAAAATCATCCATGTCAACCCAACCCAACTTAACTCTGTACACGTATACGCAACATTCAAAAAGTATGATGGGGTTCAACCTAACAGTTGACATAAATAAACAGTTTGTAGAGAACCGGCATTTCAAACCAATAAAACTCCAATCTGTCGTCCATTACTCTTCGTCGATACCGCCAAGGGCTGCCACAATCACTAATAAATCGTCTTCAAAATGAAAGGATGTTATTTATTATGTCGTTGTCAACTTTACATATCTAGTTATATAATAATTACGTCACTGTTGGCAAGTATGTTGGAAATATTGGAAAAAAATAGAATACTTGTGGTCTAAACAAACAAAGATGTTATTTATTTTAGAAAAAAGAATACAAACTTTGCAATTGGATACGTGGAGCATTCTTGGTAGGTATAATGGGTAGTTGAATAGCATAAGACGTATCCCGCAAGATAGCTATGGGTATCTCCGGTGGGAAGGCTCAAGGAAAATATGCGATACTGAACGGTAAAAGAAAGACTAATCGAAACGACGACTTTTATTTTATTTCAATCGGTAATACTTAGAATCCAGAAATTATATGCTGTTGTACGTTCACTCTTAAACAGGACCACAGACAAGGTAAGAATAAGTAGCGAGCTACTATATATATGTTAAGAAAGCGTATATTTCTGAACAGTATTTCTTAATACAGACAGCCCGTTGCATTATACCCCGGATGGGATTGTAGGCCTGCAGTTTCAGATAGTAATCTTCAACGCGCACGCTGTAAACAGATAGGCCCAGATCGCTCCCTAATATTGTGAAACACTAATATTGTGTTTGTTTCTCCAGCTTTGCTTTGGTTGCTTTTGGGGGTCAAAAGATGATTCTGATGCTACATCGGTTCATAACTTCGGGGACGCGGACAAAACTTGGAGGGATGATGTGAGTGCAACATAATTAACAAGGGTCAACTGGGATACGTAAATATATATAATATATATTGTGTTATATATTTCAGATTAGCCTTGCATCGACAAATTCTTTGCAATTTCTTCATGGCAAGAAGAGAAAAACAAAGAAAACCATAAAGGTATGAGTTTACACGCCGTTTATTTAAACACTGAAGCCAATTTTTTATGCGATGCGATTACAGAGGTTAGTTGATTGTCTGAAAGTTGACTGTGCCAGAATTGCACTTCAGATGTTAAAGTAATGAGATATATCAAAATGACTGGGGCTTCTTCAAAGGCGCTGGTCCAATACAGATATAAAACGTCTAATATTTCACAAAAATATCAAAATCAGACTCACTACATAGTTTAACGATGAACGTAAATATGCAGCTATTTCTATTCTCATTTTCAGGATAATAAATATGAGGGACTACCAATGATGACAGCAGACAGAACCTATTCATTTGAGGTACTTGTGTACTTTATAATTGTTTGTAGTTTGTTATTGAAGTCACATTGATTATTTTTCATTTATTTAGAATCTCCCTGGCGCCGTATTTGACGAAAAAGAATTGGTTGTGTCTAAGATCCAGGTTTGTTACGATTCCTAATTTTTAAATATTATGGATTTTCATATATAAAAAAACGAATCAATTTCCGTACTTTTCGACATCGCAGTGAATTTTTTATATTGATTGCTTTTAACATATATATAATGAATTTTGGAACAATGTGTTTGGTATTAGTTATATGAGAAACACAATTTGTAAAATTCAGGGAAAAGCGAGACTTCGAAGACCTAAGACAGCACCAGCTAATCGAAGAGAACCTTCGATAAGACATTTTCCACCGGTTGCATTTTGGACACCAGTCAACATAAAACAGGGCGAGATTTATCAAATTAATCGTAAGCTTCCGGACTTGAAGCTGCATATGCAATCATGCATCGAGGCAAGAAAGGTCCAGGTAGATTAAAAATTTATCCATAGGTCATCAGAACTGAGTCACAATAATCAATCGTTGTTTGTGTTTGCAATAAATGTAAATTCTTCATTTCAGGGTAGACGCTTGAAACCGCTGAAAGTGCCACATACAAGTAGATACAAGAACCTTGGGGTAAGTTGAATCAAGCACTAGTAAATGTGATATGCACATACCCTACAAATTCTGCTAAAATATATATAACACGCTGAAAAATTGACTTCGTTTTATAACGAGCTAGTGGCGGAATATATAAATAACAGAATAAAGACAACAGGTCCCAGCTCCATTGTCACCATCTAATCAAAATTAATTAAAACGTCTAGATCAGGCTTATTAGTAATGGTTAGCATGGAAATAAACCACTGAATAATAACAGGACAAGGCCAGAACAATGAGACCAAAGACTGCACCTTCTGCTCGGGAGCGAAAACCATATTTACCACCGGTGTCATTTTGGACTTCATTTGATATCCAGAGAAAGGATATAGACAAGATAAACCATGATCTACCCAATTTGCAGGAATGTGCCGAAGCTCGCCCGAAATCACGAAGGAGCAAGGTATTATTTTTTTTATTGAGTCATATACAATCAATTATGATAAAGTTAGCATTGACATCTTTTGAAATATGAATAGAATCAATTGAAATGCTTATGAACTATTTCAGAGAAAACGAAAAGCAAGAAAGACAACATCGGGGGAAGAACAAAATGTATAAAAAAATAAAATTATTAAATAATGAGCAAAATAGTAATCTGACTTGTCATTTTCAAATATTGCAGATTGAAGATGGTGTGAAGGCTACGCTTGCAAACTTGGTCGACCAAGTTGTGATGATGGAAGAAGTAAGTTACGGTATTCAATTAATATGATAATAACAAGCAATAAATAAAAGTATTTCAAAATATTAATGAGTTTAAGAATAAAATAATTTTTTTTAACTGAAAATTATACAGATCATAAGTGACGTGTCTGAGGTCATGAATTCCATGTTGGATGAAATCACTCAAGGTGAAGATATTCGTGATATATTGGAAAGTCCCGTTGATTTCTAGTATGTTCGAGATAATTGTTAATATATTTCATTGTCAACTTTCATGATATTTTGTTACGTTCTTTCATTGATTCTTATTTGTGTTCGTCAGAATAATAAAATAAAGTATATTTGAATTTATTATGGATCGAAATTTATGATTTATAACTAAAGTCACTCTTATAAAAGCATAAAAACAGTGAAATTTTAGCCTACGAGATAATGTTTACGACAAAAGTATTTTAGTTAGTTTTGAATAACCTATCTCTTCGCTCACAGGTTTCAGCAAACATGTCAAATCTTTTGTGAGATTAAATCTGAATGTTCAAGTTTGTCAGACTTGTATTTTTATTTTGAAATATTTCTGTTCTATTTTGCTTTATTTTTCAAATAAAACCTAAAAAATGGGAGCAGTTCAGTTGCAGTAGTGTAAAATCAGGGCAGTGTAAAATGGAAGCCTAATCTGAAATTTTGATATATATTGTTATTTGGCTAATATTCAGGGAGTATTATTATTATTATTGGAGACGAAGTGTCCAGCCTTGTTGTTCTTGAAAAGATTTAGATATATATATCGACCAATTGATTTCAAAGGTTCTAGCATTTTTAAAGATGTCGTAGTCACCAGGAGGCTATCTTTTTTTTTCAATTTTGTCTTATCCGATATTTCATCCAAATTTCGCTGTTTCAATCGATTTCATGGGAACATTGTTTTTTATTCCGTCAAGCGGGATTGCTTCACGCCACGTTCGTCTTCTGTTTTATTTTGCGAACAGGTGTTGCTTGACCATGTAATTACTAGTATGTAATTGCATACCGAAATTGAAATTAACATTCGTTGATTTTGATTGACTTTCATATGGATAAAAGATAAAAATACCAAATTCCATATTGGTAATGAAATTTATTTTGGCAAAGAAACTTACAAGTACATATGCATATATTTTAGGAAAAAGAGTATGCCAATTTTGCTGCATACTGCCGTCTAATCATATTTACGGTCTAATCAAACTAACTTCGGGTGGACCAATTCCTTTAAATCTTCAGCAGTTGAAGCTTGTTGTTGTCGCTAGAAGGCTATTACCTTTATTTATTTTAAAAATATATGTGAGCTTTAGGGGATTCGTTTTTTACTTCCAGGTTTTGTGTGATGACCTGGTTCCGTGATCGTATGTCCATGATGTGGTGGTCATATTATAAAAGATTTGATACTACTTCGTTTGAGCTTTCGTGAACGTATATTTGAGCAATGCTCTCTTATTTAAATTTAACCAACAAAATGGGACGGAGTATTTAACTTCAATTAAATTTCTGAAACAACCCCATAACGTTGTATAATAATAAATATTTTTAATTAAATAAATTTGGCGTTGAATGTACCAAATAAACACGAAATGTACCTATGGGTCGTTTTGTTATTATATTGTTGTTGTTTTTGGTGGTATATATTATTTTTCTCGTTATTATTGCTATCGTTGTTGTAAAAAATAACTTTTCTCTTTAACCACTGGTTAAGCCGTTGAGTTAGTCCGTGCAGACTTGAATTCAGCATGATTGAATTATCGTCTTTAATTATGCTATTATACTTTTCTAATTTTTCTGATCTTGAATTATTGACGTCTCTTGCGAGTTCATCACGCTCAAAGCCATCAGCCGTCATGTTGGGCGACTCTTGCTGGGACATGGATTGCCGCGCTTTTCGATTTACAATGCAGATAGACAGGTTCATTTTGAGTTAACATTAGCAAGTTACGATGTTGGGATGTCCGGGCAGCGTACCGTAGCTTTCTAATGTATGAACAACAGACATATTGATAGGTGAAATTTGGAAATGAGTTATGTTTAATATTAACAACACTGAATGTTATTACAGTACTGCAGTACGTACCCGTATTATTGTGAGGTAAAAATAATTAGCCTACAGAGGCTAACTAATCCCATACCCGACCTGTACAGGTACCGGTAACCGGACGAGAGGCCGTGGTTGGCCATATATATATATGATTAAGCCGTCTTACCAGCTTTCCTCTCCCCCGGATAAATATGTAAATCCTATCTTATCCCTATAGATAGATTTTATTTCGATTCATTCGCAAAAAATTAAACAATACACAAAAAGAGAAAGGTGAAGAATCTGGAAAGTGAACAAAACCTAAAAATAAGTTTATAACGTATTAAACGCGTTCACTCACCGAAGAAGTAGGAAAACAAATCACAACAAATATAAACACTGAAACATGAATATAAACGGTTGGTCAATATTCTTCATATTCAGGCGTCTAACTTCATGATCAAATTACGTGCAATTATTTACAGCCAAAATAGTGAACTGAATAGCGGGTGTGTGTACGATGTGTGAGACGGCATGTGAAAAAACGTGTAACCTATGCCTGATGCAGCATTTCATGCTTACAAATATACACAAACTATACACAAAAACACTATCAAGTGATTGCCATAAAATCGACCATAATAACTACACAATAATGTGAACATTCTGTAATTACTCAATACAGCAATAAAAAAGGAATAGCCTACCACAGGTAGGTGCATTAGGCCCACTACCTACCTATGGTACCCTGTCGTACATTGCCTTACTGCCGGCCAATTCCTTGTCAGATTTCCAAGTCATTCCACCCACTACCACAGATTAAGGCACCTTAACCTTAAAATGTAAGGTAACTCAATCCATATGTCAGTAAAGCGGTTGAGTACTATATTCTGTTATGTACAGATGTATGATAAGTTAATTCATAAAATCATTTCGTACCTGATAGGACAGGGTGGTCAAAACCCAGGCCCGCCGCTTCATTATCTGTGGCCCGCGTCGCATTTGCGCGAGAGTGAACAAAAATCGCAATTGGTGTTGTTTCTTCAATAAAATAACTAGAAAAATCTTTTGACATACTGTTACATCACTAATGTCAATGAATTGTCTAGTTGCATGGTTCTGTGGTTAGCTGAGGAAACTAACTAAACAATACCTCGATTTGCGATTTCGAATGCTATTCGTTAGTTTGCAAGTTGACGAAAACCCATTAATGTAATGGAAGAAGAATTTCCCAGGCTTGCTTCTTTAGCCAAGGAAACTGTAAATACGAACCAAAATGTTATTGGACAGGTTAGTGGACACAATGATCGTTTTGCCCAAAACTTTTGGTATTTTGTGTTGTTGTTCTTTGACATAGTTATTGAAAAGTTGCTTTTCTCTTCGATTACTGGACCAATTGCATTGAAATTTTCAGTGGTCGAAGATGGAATTTTTTTTAGAAGGGTAATAATTTTTTGATTTCTAAATTTCGTATGAAATCTGATTTTTCGTCCAAGATTTTGCTGTGTTATTTTATTCATGGGAACACTGGCTGTCTGGTTCGATCCTGTAAATTCTTGCTACGCAAAACTCGGTAACTTGCTCTGTTGTAATTGTAATGTAATTAAAATATTTAAGGGAGTAATTGTAATTGAACTGAATTAATGTAATGTAATCCAACTCTGATTGTCATACCAATTATTTTCAATTATCTAAAGACGCAGGAATTTTGCGGAAACCATATTTTCTAGAGGAGCACGCTCAATATGCTATCCCAAGCGACATATTAGCCCTCGTCGTTCAAGAATACCAGTCAGGTGATATCGCATTATGACGCAACAAGAAGATAATTTTTTAACAAATCGTTAAAACAAATTTAATTTCATTAACGAATCGAAAAGCGATAAAACACCGACGTGTATTTTTTCGCTTTCGTTTACAGTTATGCCGACAATAATGAGTAGGACAGAGAGAAATAGTTACGACGAGGAGGGAGGAGTGAAAAGTGAGGAAGTAAATTCTGGAGAACTAAAGAAGAAGAAAAAGGTCCGTTTTACTAAAAATTTTAGAGCTTCTAAATATTCGAATTTTTGTTTAAATTAAATATCATTTTATTTGAAGAAGTTGGTGAATCATTTTAAGATCGAGTTTACGTTTGAAGTGCATGAGTAACATAGATGCTTATTTAAATATATTTGATAAAATGATGTTGCAGAATTATAAAAATTACGTTATAGAAATATAGAGCTTTGAACGTATCGACAAACCTATATCTCAAATTTCAGAGAATTTGACTAAATATTAGTCCATTATTACGTCATACTGTAAAGGTATCGTTATTGCGTCACAAAGAAATTTTGATTTTCCTATCATTCAACCAAAGCGTAGGCTCCCTAATATGATGCACATTTTAAAATCAATATTTTTATGCTACTGGTCTCTTCTGTTTAAAATATATTGTATAAACATAGCTATAGCCAATATATGGTGACGCCTATTGATATATTCGCTGTGTACGGTGACTACCAAAGGTCATTGCAATATTCATTTAAAATCATCCATGTCAACCCAACCCAACTTAACTCTGTATACGTATACACAACATTCAAAAAGTATGATGGTGTTCAACCTGACAGTTGACATGAATAAACAGTTTGTAGAAAGGCATCACTTTATTTTTTGACTCTCAGAACCGGCAGTTCAAACCAATAAAACTCCAATCTGTCGTCCATTACTCTTCGTCGATACCTTCAAGGTCTGCCACAATCACTAATAAATCGTCTTCAAAATGAAACGATGTTATTAATTATGTCGTTGTCAACTTTACATATCTAGTTATATAATAATTACGTCACTGTTGGCAAGTATGTTGGAAATATTGGGAAAAAATAGAATACTTGTGGTCTGAGCAAACAAAGATGTTATTTATTTTAGAAAAAAGAATACAAACTTTGCAATTGGATACGTGGAGCATTCTTGGTAGGTATAATGGGTAGTTGAATAGCATAAGACTTATCCCGCAAGATAGCTATGGGTATCTCCGGTGGGAAGGCTCAAGAAAAATATGCGATACTGCACGGTAACAGAAAGACTAATCGAAACGACGACTTTTATTTTATTTCAATCGGTAATACTTAGAATCCAGAAATTATATGCTGTTGTACGTTCACTCTAAACAGGACCACAGACAAGGTAAGAATAAGTAGCGAGCTACTATATATATGTTAAGACAGAGTATATTTCTGAATTGGTACAGACAGCCCGTTGCATTATACCCCAGATGGGATTGTAGAACTGCAGTTTCAGATAGTAATTTTCAACGCGCACGCTGTAAACAGATAGGCCCAGATCGCTAACTAATATTGTGAAACACTAATATTGTGTTTGTTTCTCCAGCTTTGCTTTGGTTGCTTTTGGGGGTCAAAAGATGATTCTGATTCTACATCGGTTCATAACTTTGGGGACGCGGACAAAACTGGAGGGGATGATGTGAGTACAACATAATTAACAAGGGTCAACTGGGATACGTAAATATATATATATTGTGTTATATATTTCAGATTAGCCTTGCATCGACAAATTCTTTGCAATTTCTTCATGGCAAGAAGAGAAAAACAAAGAAAACCATAAAGGTATGAGTTTACACGCCGTTAACTGGACACTGAAGCTAATTTTTTATGCGATGCGATTACAGAAGTTGGTTGGTTGTCTGAAGGTTGACTGTGCCAGAATTGCACTTCAGATGTTAATGTAAGAGGATATATCGAAATGACTGGGGCTTCTTCAAAAGCGCTGGTCCAATACAGATATAAAACGCCTAATATTTCACAAAAATATCAAAATCAGACTCACTACATAGTTTAACAATGAACGTAAATATGCAACTCTTTCTATTCTCATTTTCAGGATAATAAATATGAGGGACTACCAATGATGACAGCAGACAGAACCTATTCATTTGAGGTACTTGTGTACATTCTAATTGTTTGTAGTTTGTTATTGAAGTCACATTGATTATTTTTCATTTATTTAGAATCTCCCTGGCGCCGTATTTGACGAAAAAGAATTGGTTGTGTCTAAGATCCAGGTTTGTTACGATTCCTAATTTTTAAATATTATGGATTTTCATATATAAAAAAACGAATCAATTTCGGTACTTTTCGATATCGCAGTGAATTTTTTATATTGATTGCTTTTAACATATATATAATGAATTTTGAAACAATGTGTTTGTTATTAGTTATATGAGAAACACAATTTGTAAAATTCAGGGAAAAGCGAGACTTCGAAGACCTAAGACAGCACCAGCTAATCGAAGAGAACCTTCGATAAGACATTTTCTACCGGTTGCATTTTGGACACCAGTCAACATAAAACAGGGCGAGATTTATCAAATTAATCGTAAGCTTCCGGACTTGAAGCTGCATATGCAATCATGCATCGAGGCAAGAAAGGTCCAGGTAGATTAAAAATTTATCCAGAGGTCATCAGAACTGAGTCACAATATTCAATCGTTGTTTGTGTCTGTAATAAATGTAAATTCTTCATTTCAGGGTAGACGCTTGAAACCGCTGAAAGTGCCACATACAAGTAGATACAAGAACCTTGGGGTAAGTTAAATCAAGCACTAGTAAATGTGATATGCACATACCCTACAAATTCTGCTAAAATATATATAAATCGCTGAAAAATTGACTTTAGTGGCGGAATATATGAATAACAGAATAAAGACAACAGGTCCCAGCTCCATTGTCACCATCTAATCGAAATTAAAAAAAACGTCCAGATCAGGCTTATTAGTAATGGCTAGCATGGAAATAAACCACTGAATAATAGCAGGACAAGGCCAGAACAATGAGACCAAAGACTGCACCTTCTGCTCGGGAACGAAAACCGTATTTACCACCGGTGTCATTTTGGACTTCATTTGATATCCAGAGAAAGGATATAGACAAGATAAACCATGATCTACCCAATTTGCAGGAATGTGCCAAAGCTCGCCCAAAATCACGAAGGAGCAAGGTAATATTTTTTTATTGAGTCATATACAATCAATTATGATGAAGTTGGCATTGACGTCTTTTGAAATATGAATAGAATCAATTGAAATGCTTATGAACTATTTCAGAGAAAACGAAAAGCCAGAAGGACAACATCGGGGGAAGAACAAAAGGTATAAAAAAATAAAATTATTAAATAATGAGCAAAATAGTAATCTGACTTGTTATTTTCAAATATTGCAGATTGAAGATGGTGTGAAGGCTACGCTTGCAAACTTGGTCGACCAAGTTGTGATGATGGAAGAAGTAAGTTACGGTATTCAATTAATATGATAATAACAAGCAATAAGAAAAGTATTTCAAAATATTAATGAGTTTAAGAAGAAAATGAATTTATTTTTTAAATGACAATTATACAGATCAGAAGTGACGTGTCTGAGGTGATGAATTCTATGTTGGATGAAATCACTCAAGATGAAGATATTCGTGATATATTGGAAAGTCCCGTTGATTTCTAGTATGTTCGAGATAATTGTTATTATATTTCATTGTCAACTTTCATGATATTTTGTTACGTTCTTTTATTGATTCTTATTTGTGTTCGTCAGAATAATAAAATAAAGTATATTTGAATTTATTATGGATCGAAATTTATGATTTATAACTAAAGTCACTCTTATAAAAGCATAAAAACAGTGAAATATGTAGCCTACGAGATAATGTTTACAACAAAAGTTATTTTAGTTAGTTTTTAATAACCTATCTCTTTGCTCACAGGTTTCAGCGAACATTGTTAAATCTTTTGTGAGGTTAAATCTGAAGTTCAAGCTCGTCAGACTCGTATTTTTAATTTGAAATATTTCTGTTCTATTTTGCTTTATTTTTCAAATAAAACCTAAAAAATGGGAGCAGTTCAGTTGCAGTAGTGTAAAATCAGGGCAGTGTAAAATGGAAGCTTAATCTGAAATTTTGATATATATTGTTATTTGGCTAATATTCAGGGAGTATTATTATTATTATTGGAGACGAAGTGTCCAGCCTTGTTGTTCTTGAAAAGATTTAGATATATATCGACCAATTGATTTCAAAAGTTCCAGCATTTTTAAAGATGTCGTAGTCACCAGGAGGCTATCTTTTTTTTCAATTTTGTCTTATCCGATATTTCATCCAAATTTCGCTGTTTCAATCGATTTCATGGGAACATTGTTTTTTATTCCGTCAAGCGTGATTGCTTCACGCCACGTTCGTCTTCTGTTTTATTTTGCGAACAGGTGTTGCTTGACCATGTAATTGATTGATTCGTTTTTACTTCCAGGTTTTGTGTGATGACCTGGTTCCGTGATCGTATGTCCATGGTGTGGTGGTCATATTATAAAAGATTTGACACTACTTCGTTTGAGCTTTCGTGAACATATATTTGAGCAATGCTCTCTTATTTAAATTTAACCAACAAAATGGGACGGAGTATTTAACTTCAATTAAATTTCTGAAACAACCCCATAACGTTGTATTATAATAAATATTTTTAATTAAATAAATTTGGCGTTAATTGTACCAAATAAACACGAAATGTACCTATGGGTCGTTTTGTTATTATATTGTTGTTGTTTTTGGTGGTATTATTTTTCTCGTTATTATTGCTATCGTTGTTGTAAAAAATAACTTTTCTATTTAACCACTGGTTAAGCCGTTGAGTTAGTCCGTGCAGACTTGAATTCAGCATGATTGAATTATCGTCTTTAATTATGCTATCATACTTTTCTAATTTTTCTGATCTTGAATTATTGACGTCTCTTGCGAGTTCATTACGCTCAAAGCCATCAGCCGTCATGTTGGGCGACTCTTGCTGGGACATGGATTGCCGCGCTTTTCGATTTACAATGCAGATAGACAGGTTTATTTTGAGTTAACATTAGCAAGTTACGATGTTGGGATGTCCGGGCAGCGTACCGTAGCTTTCGAATGTATGAACAACAGACACATTGATAGGTGAAATTTAGAAATGAGTTATGTTTAATATTAACAACACTGAATGTTATTAGAGTACTGCAGTACGTACGCGTATTATTGTGAGGTAAAAATAATTAGCCTACAGAATTGACTTTAATTAGACAAGTCCATGCTTCCGAAAACAAATAACTGGCTAACTAATCCCATACCCGACCTGTACAGGTACCGGTAACCGGACGAGAGGCCGTGGTTGGCCATATGATTGAGCCGTCTTATCGGCTTTCCTCTCCCCCGGATAAATATGTAAATCCTATCCTATCCCTATAGATAGATTTTATTTCGATTCATTCGCAAAAAATTAAACAATACACAAAAAGAGAAAGGTGAAGAATCTGGAAAGTGAACAAAACCTAAAAATAAGTTTATAACCTATTAAACGCGTTCACTCACCGAAGAAGTAGGAAAACAAATCACAACAAATATAAACACTGAAACATGAATATAAACGGTTGGTCAATATTCTTCATATTCAGGCGTCTAACTTCATGATCAAATTACGTGCAATTATTTACAGCCAAAATAGTGAACTGAATAGCGGGTGTGTGTACGATGTGTGAGACGGCATGTGAAAAAACAGCCGAACAAATTGTTTGTAGATGAAATTGTGTAAACCTATGCCTGATGCAGCATTTCATGCTTACAAATATACACAAACTATACACAAAAACACTATCAAGTGATTGCCATAAAATCGACTATAATAACTACACAATAATGTGAACATTCTGTAATTACTCAATACAGCAATAAAAAAGGAATAGCCTACCACAGGTAGGTGCATTAAGCCCACTACCTACCTATGGTACCGTGTCGTACATTGCCTTACTGCCGGCCAATTCCTTGTCAGATTTCCAAGTCATTCCACCCACTACCACAGATTAAGGCACCTTAACCTTAAAATGTAAGGTAACTCAATCCATATGTCAGTAAAGCGGTTGAGTACTATATTCTGTTATGTACAGATGTATGATAAGTTAATTCATAAAATCATTTCGTACCTGATAGGACAGGGTGGTCAAAACCCAGGCCCGCCGCTTCATTATCTGTGGCCCGCGTCGCATTTGCGCGAGAGTGAACAAAAATCGCAATTGGTGTTGTTTCTTCAATAAAATAACTAGAAAAATCTTTTGACATACTGTTACATCACTAATGTCAATGAATTGTCTAGTTGCATGGTTCTGTGGTTATGTGAGGAAACTAACTAAACAATACCTCGATTTGCGATTTCGAACATTAGTGGACACAATGATCGTTTTGCCCAAAACTTTGGTATTTTGTGTTGTTGTTCTTTGACATAGTTATTGAAAAGTTGCTTTTCTCTTCGATTACTGGACCAATTGCATTGAAATTTTCAGTGGTCGAAGATGGAATTTTTTTTAGAAGGGTAATAATTTTTTGATTTCTAAATTTCGTATGAAATCTGATTTTTCGTCCAAGATTTTGCTGTATTATTTTATTCATGGGACACATGGGAGTAATTGTAATTGAACTGAATTAATGTAATGTAATCCAACTCTGATTGTCATACCAATTATTTTCACTTTAAATGAAATACTATGGCAAAACATATTACTAAGCACGCTATATGATCTAAAGACGCAGGAATTTTGCGGAAACCATATTTTCTAGAGGAGCACGCTCAATATGCTATTCCAAGCGACATATTAGCCCTCGTCGTTCAAGTATACTAGTCAGGTGATATCGCATTATGACGCAACAAGAAGATAATTTTTTAACAAATCGTTAAAATAAATTTAATTCCATTAACGAATCGAAAAGCGATAAAACACCGACGTGTATTTTTTCGCTTTCGTTTACAGTTATGCCGACAATAATGAGTAGGACAGAGAGAAATAGTTACGACGAGGAGGGAGGAGTGAAAAGTGAGGAAGTCAATTCTGGAGAACTAAAGAAGAAGAAAAAGGTCCGTTTTACTAAAAATTTTAGAGCTTCCAAAAATTCGAATTTTTGTTTAACTTAAATATCATTTTATTTGAAGAAGTTGGTGAATCATTTTAAGATCGAGTTTACGTTTGAAGTGCATGAGTAACATAGATGCTTATTTAAATATATTTGATAAAATGATGTTGCAGAATTATAAAAATTACGTCATAGAAATATAGAGCTTTGAACGTATCGACAAACCTATATTTCAAATTTCAGAAAATTTGCCTAAATATTAGTCCATTATTACGTCATACTGTAAAGGTATCGTTATTGCGTCACAAAGAAATTTTGATTTTCCTATCATTCAACCAAAGCGTAGGCTCCCTAATATGATGTACATTTTAAAATCAATATTTTTATGCTACTGGTCTCTTCTGTTTAAAATATATTGTATAAACATAGCTATAGCCGATATATGGTGACGCCTATTGATATATTCCCTGTGTAAGGTGACTACCAAAGGTCATTGCAATATTCATTTAAAATCATCCATGTCAACCCAACCCAACTTAACTCTGTACACTTATACGCAACATTCAAAAAGTATGATGGTGTTCAACCTAACAGTTGACATGAATAAACAGTTTGTAGAAAGGCATCACTTTATTTTTTGACTCTCAGAACCGGCAGTTCAAACCAATAAAACTCCAATCTGTCGTCCATTACTCTTCGTCGATACCTTCAAGGTCTGCCACAATCACTAATAATTCGTCTTCAAAATGAAACGATGTTATTAATTATGTCGTTGTCAACTTTACATATCTAGTTATATAATAATTACGTCACTGTTGGCAAGTATGTTGGAAATATTGGAAAAAAATAGAATACTTGTGGTCTAAACAAACAAAGATGTTATTTATTTTAGAAAAAAGAATACAAACTTTGCAATTGGATACGTGGAGCATTCTTGGTAGGTATAATGGGTAGTTGAATAGCATAAGACGTATCCCGCAAGATAGCTATGGGTATCTCCGGTGGGAAGGCTCAAGAAAAATATGCGATACTGAACGGTAAAAGAAAGACTAATCGAAACGACGACTTTTATTTTATTTCAATCGGTAATACTTAGAATCCAGAAATTATATGCTGTTGTACGTTCACTCTTAAACAGGACCACAGACAAGGTAAGAATAAGTAGCGAGCTACTATATATATGTTAAGAAAGCGTATATTTCTGAACAGTATTTCTTAATACAGACAGCCCGTTGCATTATACCCCGGATGGGATTGTAGGCCTGCAGTTTCAGATAGTAATCTTCAACGCGCACGCTGTAAACAGATAGGCCCAGATCGCTCACTAATATTGTGAAACACTAATATTGTGTTTGTTTCTCCAGCTTTGCTTTGGTTGCTTTTGGGGGTCAAAAGATGATTCTGATGCTACATCGGTTCATAACTTCGGGGACGCGGACAAAACTGGAGGGGATGATGTGAGTGCAACATAATTAACAAGGGTCAACTGGGATACGTAAATATATATAATATATATTGTGTTATATATTTCAGATTAGCCTTGCATCGACAAATTCTTTGCAATTTCTTCATGGCAAGAAGAGAAAAACAAAGAAAACCATAAAGGTACGAGTTTACACGCCGTTTATTTGGACACTGAAGCTAATTTTTTATGCGATGCGATTACAGAGGTTGGTTGATTGACTGAAAGTTGACTGTGCCAGAATTGCACTTCAGATGTTAAAGTAATGGGATATATCGGAATGACTGGGGCTTCTTCAAAGGCGCTGGTCCAATACAGATATAAAACGCCTAATATTTCACAAAAATATCAAAATCAGACTCACTACATAGTTTAAAGATGAACGTAATATGCAGCTCTCTCTATTCTCATTTTCAGGATAATAAATATGAGGGACTACCAATGATGACAGCAGACAGAACCTATTCATTTGAGGTACTTGTGTACATTATAATTGTTTGTAGTTTGTTATTGAAGTCACATTGATTATTTTTCATTTATTTAGAATCTCCCTGGCGCCGTATTTGACGAAAAAGAATTGGTTGTGTCTAAGATCCAGGTTTGTTACGATTCCTAATTTTTAAATATTATGGATTTTCATATATAAAAAAACGAATCAATTTCCGTACTTTTCGACATCGCAGTGAATTTTTTATATTGATTGCTTTTAACATATATATAATAAATTTTGGAAAAATGTGTTTGTTATTAGTTATATGAGAAACACAATTTGTAAAATTCAGGGAAAAGCGAGACTTCGAAGACCTAAGACAGCACCAGCTAATCGAAGAGAACTTTCGATAAGACATTTTCCACCGGTTGCATTTTGGACACCAGTCAACATAAAACAGGGCGAGATTTATCAAATTAATCGTAAGCTTCCGGACTTGAAGCTGCATATGCAATCATGCATCGAGGCAAGAAAGGTCCAGGTAGATTAAAAATTTATCCAGAGGTCATCAGAACTGAGTCACAATAATCAATCGTTGTTTGTGTCTGTAATAAATGTAAATTCTTCATTTCAGGGTAGACGCTTGAAACCGCTGAAAGTGCCACATACAAGTAGATACAAGAACCTTGGGGTAAGTTAAATCAAGCACTAGTAAATGTGATATGCACATACCCTACAAATTCTGCTAAAATATATATAAAACGCTGAAAAATTGACTTCGTTTTATAACGAGCTAGTGGCGGAATATATAAATAACAGAATAAAGACAACAGGTCCCAGCTCCATTGTGACCATCTAATCAAAATTAATTAAAACGTCCAGATCAGGCTTATTAGTAATGGTTAGCATGGAAATAAACCACTGAATAATAGCAGGACAAGGCCAGAACAATGAGACCAAAGACCGCACCTTCTGCTCGGGAGCGAAAACCATATTTACCACCGGTGTCATTTTGGACTTCATTTGATATCCAGAGAAAGGATATAGACAAGATAAACCATGATCTACCCAATTTGCAGGAATGTGCCAAAGCTCGCCCAAAATCACGAAGGAGCAAGGTATTATTTTTTTTATTGAGTCATATACAATCAATTATGATAAAGTTAGCATTGACATCTTTTGAAATATGAATAGAATCAATTGAAATGCTTATGAACTATTTCAGAGAAAACGAAAAGTCAGAAAGATAACATCGGGGGAAGAACAAAAGGTATAAAAAAATAAAATTATTAAATAATGAGCAAAATAGTAATCTGACTTGTTATTTTCAAATATTGCAGATTGAAGATGGTGTGAAGGCTACGCTTGCAAACTTGGTCGACCAAGTTGTGATGATGGAAGAAGTAAGTTACGGTATTCAATTAATATGATAATAACAAGCAATAAGAAAAAAGTATTTCAAAATATTAATGAGTTAAAAAATAAAATAATTTTTTTTAAATGTTAAATATACAGATCATAAGTGACGTGTCTGAGGTCATGAATTCCATGTTGGATGAAATCACTCAGGATGAAGATATTCGTGATATATTGGAAAGTCCCGTTGATTTCTAGTATGTTCGAAATAATTGTTATTATATTTCATTGTCAACTTCTATGATATTTTGTTACGTTCTTTTATTGATTCTCATTTGTGTTCATCAGAATAATAAAATAAAGTATATTTGAATTTATTATGGATCGAAATTTATGATTTATAACTAAAGTCACTCGTATAAAAGCATAAAAACAGTGAAATTTGTAGCCTACGAGATAATGTTTACGACAAAAGTATTTTAGTTAGTTTTGAATAACCTATCTCTTCGCTCACAGGTTTCAGCAATCATGTCAAATCTTTTGTGAGGTTAAATCTGAAGTTCAAGCTCGTCAGACTCGTATTTTTAATTTGAAATATTTCTGTTCCATTTTGCTTTATTTTTCAAATAAAACCTAAAAAATGGGAGCAGTTCAGTTGCAGTAGTGTAAAATCAGGGCAGTGTAAAATGGAAGCTCAATCTGAAATTTTGATATATATTGTTATTTGGCTAATATTCAGGAAGTAATATTATTATTATTGGAGACGAAGTGTCCAGCCTTGTTGTTCTTGAAAAGATTTAAATATATATATCGATCAATTTATTTCAAAGGTTCCAGCATTTTTAAAGATGTCGTAGTCACCAGGAGGCTATCTTTTTTTCAATTTTGTCTTATCCGATATTTCATCCAAATTTCGCTGTTTCAATTGATTTCATGGGAACATTGTTTTTTATTCCGTCAAGTGTGATTGCTTCACGCCACGTTCGTCTTCTGTTTTATTTTGCGAACAGGTGTTGCTTGACCATGTAATTACTAGAATGTAATTGCATACCGAAATTGAAATTAACATTCGTTGATTTTGATTGACTTTCATATGGATAAAAGATAAAAATACCAAATTCCATATTGGTAATGGAATTTATTCTGGCAAAGAAACTTACAAGTACATATGCATATATTTTAGGAAAAAGAGTATGCCAATTTCGCTGCATACTGCCGTCTAATCATATTTACGGTCTAATCAAACTAACTTCGGGTGGACCAATTCCTTTAAATTTTCAGCAGTTGAAGCTTGTTGTTGTCGCTAGAAGGCTATTACCTTTATTTATTTTAAAAATAGATGTGAGCTTTAGGGGATTCGTTTTACTTCCAGGTTTTGTGTGATGACCTGGTTCCGTGATCGTATGTCCATGATGTGGTGGTCATATTATAAAAGATTTGATACTACTTCGTTTGAGTTTTCGTGAACATATATTTGAGCAATGCTCTCTTATTTAAATTTAACCAACAAAATGGGACGGAGTATTTAACTTCAATTAAATTTCTGAAACAACCCCATAACGTTGTATAATAATAAATATTTTTAATTGAAAAAATTTGGCGTTGAATGTACCAAATAAACACGAAATGTACCTATGGGTCGTTTTGTTATTATATTGCTGTTGTTTTTGGTGGTATTATTTTTCTCGTTATTATTGGTATCGTTGTTGAAAAGATAACTTTTCTCTTTAACCACTGGTTAAGCCGTTGAGTTAGTCCGTGCAGACTTGAATTCAGCATGATTGAATTATCGTCTTTATTTATGCTATTATACTTTTCTAATTTTTCTGATCTTGAATTATTGACGTCTCTTGCGAGTTCATCACGCTCAAAGCCATCAGCCGCCGTCATGTTGGGCGACTCTTGCTGGGACATGGATTGCCGCGCTTTTCGATTTGCAATGCAGATAGACAGGTTCATTTTGAGTTAACATTAGCAAGTTACGATGTTGGGATGTCCGGGCAGCGTACCGTAGCTTTCGAATGTATGAACAACAGACACATTGATAGGTGAAATTTGGAAATGAGTTATGTTTAATATTAACAACACTGAATGTTATTACAGTACCGTACTGCAGTACGTACCCGTATTATTGTGAGGTAAAAATAATTAGCCTACAGAATTGACTTTAATTAGACAAGTCCATGCTTCCGAAAACAAATAACTGGCTAACTAATCCCATACCCGACCTGGACAGGTACCGTACCGTACCGGTAACTGGACGAGAGGCCGTGGTTGGCCATATGATTAAGCCGTCTTATCGGCTTTCCTCTCCCCCAGGATAAATATGTAAATCCTATCCTATCCCTAGAGATAGATTTTATTTCGATTCATTCGCAAAAAATTAAACAATACACAGAAAAGAGAAAGGTGAAGAATCTGGAAAGTGAACAAAACCTAAAAATAAGTTTATAACCTATTAAACACCGAAGAAGTAGGAAAACAAATCACAACAAATATAAACACTGAAACATGAATATAAACGGTTGGTTAATATTCTTGATATTCAGGCGTCTAACTTCATGATCAAATTACGTGCAATTATTTACAGCCAAAATGGTGAACTGAATAGCGGGTGTATGTACGATGTGTGAGACGGCATGTGAAAAAACAGCCGAACAAATTGTTTGTAGATGAAAATGTGTAAACCTATGCCTGTATGCAGCATTTCATGCTTACAAATATACACAAACTATACACAAAAACACTATCAAGTGATTGCTATAAAATCGACTATAATACCTACACAATAATGTGAACATTCTGTAATTACTCAATACAATAAAGGGCTATTCCAAGTGACACTACAGGACAATTCCAGAAATTTTTCAAGTTGTTGGATGCAATATATTTTTACATTTTCAGCTACATGTTTTGTTTCATTGTCCAATCAATTGCTTTTTTAAATATGGAAAAAATTGCACAAAAGTTACACCCAAGACATACTTAGTGGATATAAAAAATATAGCAAAATATAGCGTGACACTACAGGACGGCAAATCCACCATGCACTAACAGTACGTTGTGTTATGCTGTAAATTTTTGCGATCCTACAGCAGGAGCCCATAATATTTTCTGGTGCAATAGCTGAACTACCCCTCTATGTGTTGCTCAATTCACCTAATGTAACACTGTAAATCCATGCCAATAATGTGCATATTCTATGTGACACTACAGGACGCGACACCATTTTAGGCCATTTTTTAGAAACCATCAAAAACCTGGGTGAAATTTTAACTTTTTCGGTGAAAGGAATGCAGTTCAATAAAATTCCAATGTTTTTTGATATCAAAAACACAAAAAAATTACTTTCACTACACTTTTAAAAAAATTGATGGAATTCAACTTTTGCTTGGAATGGCCCTAAAAAAGGAATAGCCTACCACAGGTAGGTGCATTAGGCCCACTACCTACCTATGGTACCATGCCGTACATTGCCTTACTGCCGGCCAATTCCTTGTCAGATTTCCAAGTCATTCCACCCACTACCACAGATTAAGGCACCTTAACCTTGAAATGTAAGATAACTCAATCCATATGTCAGTAAAGCGGTTGAGTACTATATTCTGTTATGTACAGATGTATTATAAGTTAACTCATAAAATCATTTGGTAGCTGATAAAACAATATTCTTGATTGATGTCAATATTTTTTGATTTTTGATTATAATCTGTATACATAGCCGGGTATCGTGTAGTTTTGTACCTAACGTACTTCTAGTGGGCGTAGCATACCAGTTTTTTGATATGTCAATCCTAACTCACATCTGACTACGCCATCCAAAAATTACGTCACTACGACATGACAATCACGTCATAGAGCTTGCCAAATATTCGTACAATCGCCCGAAATGGCATTGGCGCTGACGATAAAGAACTGACTGACATTATTGATCTCTCTCTTCTTGGAATCGTTGCGACGAGAAAACGAGAGAAATAACTGTTCGATTTTGGGTGCTCGTTTGCTCGTCTAGGATGGCAGTTCGTATAGTTTGAACAGCTCTATTCTGTCACTGTGACGTCGTGTTGACGTAATTTTTGGATGGTGTAATCAGGTGGGGGTCAGGATTGATACGTGAAAAAATTGTCATGCTATGCCCACTAGAAGTATGTTAGGTACGAAACTACATGAGACGCTATATAGCCTACTTTACTGCAATAACAACATATTTAAAAATTGTAAATCAGTAAATATTCCCAACTTTTGAAACCAGTATATTTTTTATATTTCACATGATTCTGTGATTAGGTAATTACTATTCGGTCTGTAACCAATATTCCAACTTTAGGGCAATTTTCTATGTCTGTATTTAGTTAATATACAGATATACAAGGGCTGGAGGAGTAGTCTATATACCTGTCGAGCAGTGTTCCCTCTAAGGTGTGCGCGTGTGCGCGCGCACACAGCTTTCAGAGGCCGCGCACACGCATAGATTTACTGCGCACAGACGTATTTCGATGTAAAGTAACAATGTTCTTTTGTGCTCTTTTTTCACCCTTTATTTGAATTCAAATTCATTCATCTGTTACAATCAATTTCATTTATTATTTTCCATGTATGTTCATTGTTATCTACTGATAACATATAGCCTTCACGAAAGCATTTACAATCTATAGAAAAACTTATTGAATAACCAAAATTTTCTTAATAAGCCCACTTATTACTCGGTTAGAACTCAAAATTTCTTCATTGGTTTTTGCACAAATATTAGTCATTTCCAAAAAAGTGCGCACACACCAAAATTTCTGCGCACACATACTACAAAAATAAGAGGGAACATTGCTGTCAAGCATTTACATAGACCATCTTACAAGGTCTCGTTTGGCGCTTTCGGGATGGTTGCGATTCCATATTTATCCTTAACTCATCCTTTTTTATGAAAAACACTGAACCCGGAACATCAGACTGTCAGAAGACTTATTCCGATACCAAGATTAATAACATAATAAGTGCCACCTTCTTCAAATTCAAAAAACATCAATTTCATATGACAGTATGAGTATTGACAATTCCCTGCCTCTGTCTGTCTGTGTCTATAGTCAAGTTGAAACTTGACCCATTTTCTATTATCCATTCTGGTTATGTTTAGATATGAATAATTATTTTTTTATCAAAACCAATTTCACAATCCTAATTGTCAGATTATGATTTCAATTTTACCAAAATATCTAAATTTTTTAGACTTAAAAATAGTTGAATACTTTTTGTTGAACATCATGGAAAGTGATTTTCTTTGCACACAAGCAATTGACGATGATTTGGACGAAACTCATGATGACGAATCTCAGTCTTCTGACGAAGATGCTAGGAAGGAAGTTGCAACATTAAAAGTAAGAATACAAAGTAATAGCTGGAGTTATTTCGATTACTGAGAATGGTAATTAATTGGTGGCGAGAAAAAACACAGCCGATTCACTGGTTGCACTTGAATCCACAGGTCCACGGTGCATATTTTGTGGGGGAGGCGCGCTAGCAAAAGTTTTACTATATATTATGTAAAATAAATTCACTGTGATTTATTCGAAAAGACTGACATGAGATTTTAACCTTGATTCCATCACAGTTAAGTATAACGCTTAAGCACTAGGCTGCTGGCCCTGGCTTTCTTCGTTTAAAAGATATGACGCTAACCTATTCTGAAGAGCACCCCTTCCTGATTGTTTCGACATCTTCACATTAGACTGGATTCTTGAGTCAATTGGTAGTTCCCAAGTTTGTTGACATGTTAAATTTATTATTCAATCTTTACAGGTGTTGCCAAATAAGAAAAATGGGATACCCGCCATTGAGTTTTTCATCTATAATGAAGAAAATGTTGTAGGTTGGTAAACTCCCTTCATTATTTCTGATTTTTCTCCCAAGTCCAAGTAATTATAACTTATCGATTTTAAGTATGTTGATAGGTATTTGTCTGTCTGTCTGTTAGATGCACGCGGTATCTCACGAAAGCGAGATTGAATCTGCTCCAGATTTTGCATGTGCATTCATCATATGTCGTACCAGAAGCCTATTGATTTTGGATGAATTATGTCGTATAATTAGCGAGTTATTAATTAATTAGTGATGGGACACAAGGTGTCACTATGGAGTAAGAGCACTGTTTTGGGGCTCTCGATTGATAAGTCTTCGGTCTCTGACCGATATGCTTGTTTATACGTTCGTCACTTGCATATTTCAATCAGCAGGGATTCTGCATCTGGCATCAATTGGCTACAAACTTGGCGCATCAGGCTAAGCATACGGAACATGCTTTCCCTTGCTACTCTGTTTAGTGATTACCCTGCATGGTTTTGCAGGTTCAAACCTTGTGGGATGTGCGATAGAATTGCTGGATTCCTTGCTGTCATAGGCTGGTTCACGTAACGACTAGTAGGTTATGGCTTTCTCCACCATAAAGTCCATGCATTTGAAACGAATAACTGGGGAATCTAACTGATCCCATTTCTGACAACGACTGTTATTACTCTAACAAGAGGCTGTGGTGCACCCTATGATTAAGCTGTCTTAACGACCCTTTTCTCCTGTCGAAGAAATATGAAACTCCTAATTTGATACAGCTGTTAGGCTGTTATTCACTTCAAGAATAGCAGAATTTGCCCATCGCATGGTGAAATTGTCCAATAGACTATATTTATTTTTGTGAAAAATCATTTTAGAATTTTGAGGGCTTGAGGCACTCTTCCGTAGCACAGATTAAACATGAGAAAATGAATTTGACACTTTTTCTGTTGTACGAGGTATATATAAATGAAGCTTATATTTTTAGGTCGCCACACAAATTGCAACATTTCAATTCCATGGAGCATTGCATTGAGCAAGCAGCATGCAGTCATAGAGGTAAGTATCTCATATTACTGGTTGGAATATTACAATCCTGATGCGTATGTGGGCACAGTACCGTAGTGGTCAATAAAGCAATAATGGCATCGCAGGTAGGGATGGGCAATATAGAATACCGAATCCGGAGGATTCGAATCCCTAAGTATTCGAATCCAAAGGGATCCGATAACAGGATTCGGTTTCCGCCTCTCCGGCGCCAAGCGTCAATTTTTGTATTTCGGGTTTCTAATTTATCAATTAAAGACGAGCGTTTTTTCTCTCGTGGAAATCTCTCTCGTTTAACATAACTTGCGTCTGCTCGTAAAATCGGTAAACATCAAACACTGTAATCTCAATCTGCATATTCAGAACAAGAAGTCGGCGAAGTACACCTCACGGCGAAGACTCGTTATTGCACCGTTTTTGCGTTCTACTGATTTGCCATATAGCCAACGTATAATAATAATAATTTTATTTTGCAAAAGTTTCATCCAATCATGCTGGACTTACTAGCGATATTCCGATAATCTGATTGCAACAATCTTCAATTGTTTACAGACGTGCCTTGCTTCATTTTACATTAAGATGTCTCGAGACCTGCGAGTTTTACCAAAAAAAGATGCATGTAAACCAAAAGCCAGGCGTTGAATGTTATAACATGCTTGCGATTAATTAAGATCAAATATTATTTACGAATAATTTATTACACCGTTTTCCGAAATACAAAGTTATCGCAATACGTGAAAATCTGTCACATTTAAATTTCACTCTCAAAAGATTACCGGTACATATTTTTCGGTCCTTCCCTATCGTTCAAGATAGACGCACGTTTGATCAAGTGTCTGTAGTATTTTAGTCGCCGATAAATTTAAAAAAAGTGGCCGCATCTGGCGAAGATAGTGACGTATTGAGTTTATGCACAGCCAAGTCTGGGTAGATAAAGTATGTAATGATCAGGGTTGTCCAAAACAAATAGCCAAGTCTGGGTAGATAAAGTATGTAATGATTATGACAATCATAGAAAAGGAATTAGTCTTTAGATGTTATTACCTAATAACTAAGTACGAAATCGCGTTCACGGAAACTTGGTTTTACTAGTCTTGCTCTCACAGAAAGAAAAGTTGATTTTAATTGATAGTGGTTAAATTTAATATTCTACAACGGCCGCATAGGTTGCAGTGGCCAGGGATGGCCAATTCCAATAAAGTATTCGAATGTATTCGAATATCTCGTCATTCGAATATCGGAATTCACGTTCATAAGAATATCGGATATTTGTGTGACGTCACACATTTTTGACGCCGCTTTCAAGACGTTTCCGTTGAATGAAAACATTCTCGAAAGAAACTTGCGCGTGATTGTTTTCATCACTCATCAGCGTAACGTGTTATTTAGGCCCGTAAACGCCTTTACGATTGTGTTATTTTCTCTAAAACGAAAATTTTCCACAAATTTGTTCCACGATAACGATAACATTTATTTTATTTTTGTACGCGCACGGAATTGTGAATCTGGTAAATACGTTCATCGGCGGTGAGTTTCTAAAGACAACGCAACTTTTTGATTGAAAAGCGGAAATTTAAAATACTGAAAATAAAACCGTAAACAACATAAGTTTTATTGAGGCCCGCGAAAATTTAAAAAACGCTTTTCTAGGCAGTGAAAATCGCAAAATTTTGTATGCTTCTGGCACACATTATGTTTGGTCGGCGTTTACAAACATATCGTCACTAATTGAGGGCGGGATTTGCCTGATTATCCATTACTTTAAATTGCCGTCGAATATTTTTGGGTTAACACGATACAATGTTTGAAACGCGACTTTTTCCCTGGTTGTGAGGATGTATATAATATAATTATTCTAAAGTATATTCAATCAATTTTATTGTGATGAAATAAATTTTACTCTGAGCATTTCGATCGAGCGGAGTCACTGTTAACAAGTACATCAAAATATTTGGCGAATTCGCAAAATACGGATAAAAACAATATTTAATCGGACAGTTTACCTCACGTTTTTATTTTTATGGCCGCGGATTGCAATGGTATATAAGAGTGGTGAGGATTTTATTTTGTCGACGCAACCGCAGGTTAAATTGAAGACAATTAAATTAATAAGAGCAAGACATTTTAAATATGCCTGTGTCGGTCACGAATTCATCACTTTGCACAACAGAAAAATATATATTCGTTGTTATATTATTTGTTGTAAAAGTCGACTCTTTTAACAGGTGGCATAATCGCGGCGATGAATATGTATTTTTAATTAACTGCTAAACTTTATATGTATATTCATTGTATGAAATGAATTATTCTCTACACTTAACAGGATTTTATATAATTATTTGAGATTTTTCTAATGGCGATAACGAGTTGGCAAGATTGCAAAAATACGTATTAAAATTAAATACATCAGGCAGTTTATCTCGTAATTTTAGGTCACAGATTGCCGTGGACCGAATAGTAATGTTTTTTTTTTGACGTAAGAAGAAGCAACCGCGAGTTATGTTGGACACATTAAATTAATATATAAAGATATTTAGAATCTCTTAGTTGTCATGGATTGAATATTTTACGTAACAGAATGATCATTATATGCTGACAAGACGGCTCTTTTAACGAGCGCGGGATCGCGGTGGGTGCTACAGGCGCCAATGAGAATTTCCGATTTCGAAAATCCTGGCTGCGCGCTGGCAGTGGTCGTCATCTATTCTCTACTAATTTATTTCTAACTCCAAACACAACAATATGTTACACATAATAACAATATGGTTCACATAAATTTATATACAAATATACTGGTAGGTAGTAGAATGCTCTAGGCTTAAATATTAGAATTTTCAAAGGCATAATGGATTTTCGATTGTTGTTGCCTGTATTGCCCATAAATTTTATTACTCTCAGAAAATATACACAATTATCTGAATAAAAGTAGTATTTTTGTCAATAGACTCGACTATTATCGTAATATCATGGTACCAATGATAGAAAGCGTCAGACAACTCCTTGGCTATCTTTTCATATGGTCATGTACAAAGTGAATAATTTTAATAAACTGACTGTGTCACAAGTTGCTATTATTTTTTATTAATAGCTATAAACTATCAATTACTTTGTGTACATATACTGTTGGTCTGTGGCTTCATTCTGATATTTCTATTAAAGCTTATTTCCTAATTTACTGGGTTTCAATCAACTAAAACAAAAATGTGTTATTTTCGATTTTAGAATGTATTCGGAATTCCAGATTCGAAAACATTATTTTAGAATGTATTCGGAATAGTTTAGTATTGGGAAATGGCCATCCCTGGCAGTGGCCACACGCTGGTCCTGCATCTAATTAATTCTCAGCGGGTATGTTTTAGTTCACTAGGCAGACTAACATTAATAATGATTTAATGCCGTTTCATATCTATTTTGGTATATACTTATACCGCTTACTATTAAAGTGTGTGAAGCGTGTCTTAATTTAGCATATCGGTGTTTAGGGATTACATACATTTGGAACTATTGAAGGCAAAAAATATTGTAATATTCTTGAATTTTATTGCCCTGAGAAATGCCCGTTTAATCCAGTGTTCAGGACATTTCCAAATAAATAATACATTTATAGTTATACATTTAAAACTTTTTAACATCTAAATCCAGCATTGTGGAAATTCCCACTTTTTGAATAGGTATGAAAATAGAATAGGATTCGGTATTCTGGATTCGGTTTAACTATTCTAGAATATTCTAGAATAGTAAATTATTCTACATTGCCCATCCCTAATCGCAGGGTAAAATCTTGGGTTCAAATCCCAATATTCAATACCCACCACCTTACCCAGGGTGTAATAAACTGGGTAGGCAATGCCAGACAAGGAAGATCCCGGTCCTTCCAATATAAAATAGCTCCTCACATAACAGGCTGTCTGTGCAGTGCCTTGTTCAGAGCAAAAGATGCCATATAAAAATATTATTCAGTAACGATGATAGACCTCTAGCGGAGCAAAATTTGGATCAGATATATATTGAACAATAATGTTTATAGAATTTTCAAATATTTATTGTATTGCATTAATGGTAATCTTTATTTAAAATAAAATTCAGGCTGTTTCAGATACATGCTTCGTCTCGGACTGTGGAAGCAGTAACAATACTCGACTGAACAAGGTGAAGCTTACACCTAATGTAAAGTATGGACTTCGTGATGGGGATCAACTTGTCTTTGGTGATGTACAATGTACATTCGTGCAGGTAAGACTAATTGAATAGTTAATTAAAGGGACCCAAAAAAAATGAACCCAAGTCATTTGTAAAATATTCTTGAAGATTATATCTTTTGTGAAACATGAAACTTCTGGGTACAATCATATGCAAACTGACACAATCTTTTTTATTTTTGTATTAGAACAGGGGTCACCAAACTTTTTCTGACCGCGGGCCGGGTATGACTCAAACTGTGTTGAAACGGGCCGGATGAATATTTTTGTCAATGCAATACAATAAATTCACAAAAGTTGGGAAATCCATTCAATTCATTCAACAATATATATTCTACATTTCTGAAGACTTGAATATTAAATTCTATCTATATCGCAGAATAAAGATCGAGAACATCCCAGGAAAACAAATATACAAGATATCTATATCTAGACAACTATCCTGAGTTTAGCTGTTATTAAAACGTTGCTGTCATGAATTAGAAATGTTACAAAATCCGCTTTTTCGCGCCAAAAAATGTACGCAACACGTCTGCCTATTACCGTTACGCCGTGTTGGAATACCGCTCATAAAAATGACTACGGATTGCCTGCTGTATCTTGGAATTCCATGAAATTGACATAATTTAGATAAAATAAATAACTATTATCTGGTATTTGAATTTTTCCATTAGCGCATAAATTTTCCAACATTCGGAGCTTTTAAAAATTACGCTCCAGTTATACGTAGTGCAAATTAATGATATTGTCTATGGACACCAATAAAATTTATATGGACGTGTGTATTTCTTGCCTAACTTGATACTTACCAATTTTTATGAAGTTCATACAATCAGAACATCGTTAATTATAACCCACAATTAACCACTGTCAAACTATCATGCACAACTCCAGCGTTTATTTGCGACGATCTTTCGGCGGTGTCAATGACCGTTGCCAGGATAAAATCCTGAAATAGTCTCAATATTCCATTGATGTGACGCACATCGAAAGATTGGTGATTGATAAGTGTTCATTTTTCATATTTATTACAGTTCTTATCAAAAAAGTAATACAATCCTTATGGAAATAATTGGCCTGTCGGGCGGTACTAAAATTCCGATATCCGTTATTTCTTGACCGTTTTTATAAAACTTTTTTCTTAAACTTTTTATAAAACGTTACGTGCCGGTAGAGAATTTTAGTCTATTTTGTCACAGCTATTTCTAGACTAATTTTTCACTATACTATTAAAACTACAACTCCTAAGGAGGAAAATGATGATTGACTTATTTGATTCATACTCCAATTTCCGAAACACAACCAAAAACTAACGAATAGCATTCAAAGCCGCAAATACGAAGTATTGTTCACAACCACGACTGAAAATCTGTCAGGGTGACAAAAGTGTCTGAGAGGATGCGAAAAGGCCTATTATTACGTCACTTTTTTGCGTCTTGCTGATTGGCCAATGTTACGAAATAAACAAGGAAGACGATGATGGGGAAAATCTCCATCGGTAAAAAATTTAGTCATTTTTGCGTGTTATTGCGGGCCGGATAAAATGACGCCGCGGGCCGGATCCGGCCCGCGGGCCGTAGTTTGGTGACCCCTGTATTAGAAGATATAAATCTCGATTCCCACTCCTAGGAATCAGTACTTCAACTCCTGACTTCTGGTAAAATCAGACACTGACAGCACAGCCAGGTTTAAACCCATGACCAAATTTGCTACATATTTGAATTGTATAACAATCGAATGATATTAATTTTTATTAGTGGTATTTCACTATTTGTAGTTCCTATTTTTTGTTGTGGCTCATTCTGACTGATAAAGGGTTTGAAGTTTCATTTATATTCACTATTATGTTTTAGAAGCGTGATGAATCTACTGCTGAGTCTGCGAGTGGAGAACCTTTTACAACTGTAAGTATAAAGTGTAGTAGACCTATATCTCTTATGTACAATATATTTTATTTCATGCATATGAATCCTATTTTTTGTTCTTTTTCATGGATGCTATACATACAATCTGGCATGGGGGTCTACATGCCCAACATCTAACCCAGGTTGTTAGAAAATGGGGAAACAAGGCCTTCCAAAAATAGTAGTTCCTTACTTATCCTCACACGTTAGCTTTCAGTGGATGCTTCTGCAGGACCTTGTTCAAAGTGAGACAAGAGCGTATATAAAAATCTTATACTGCTATTTATATCTAATACTCCCTAAGGCCTAAATGAACAAGTTAAAACTCTTCATGTGTCTCTTTTAAAATTAGCATGCCACTACCAGCAAGCTACCACCAACATCGAGTACTCCAGCAAGCAACAAAACTCGTATTCTTGCTACAGATACACCAGAAAATTTGACATATACAAGTATACATGCTAAACTGGATGAGTCATCAGCCGTAAGTTTTTCAATTTTTTGAAAATATTGACATAATCAATCTAAAGCAAAGGAGTCGTCAGACACCTTTCGTGTGATTCTTACTATATTTGACTCATTTGTTCGCCAATTCCATGCTGGTTGCCACTGTGATACATAAATTATGTAAAAAAGAACAATTTGCAGTTGAAAACTACTGATCTTGAAAACATCTGTGTGTTGATTTTTTTAAATTTTTATACTGTCCTTATCCAGACATTCTATCAGATTGTGATTATTACCTTATTTCCCGGCGAATAAGTCGCTTTTCTAGACCCAAATTTTTGACCTGATTTTGGGGGGCTTGTCTTTTTTGGTGTCGCCTTATTATGTATTAGGTAATGTTCTTTTATGGTGAACGCAATCGCGAGCTGAACACAATTAGATTAAAATTTGAAGACAGTTTGAATTCCTGTAGTTATTATGGATTGAATATAACGCTACAAGAAAACTTCATTATAGGCTATTTTTACCAATGCGCAAATGTGGCGACGGCTCAAAAGGCATTGCATGGTAATTTGAGATTCCGATGTTGACTCGATGTTACTACCCCGACTTATTGGCAGGTTATATGCAAATACCCATTTTTTCAGTCTTAAAAACGAGCCCCGTCTTATTTGCCGGGAAATACGGTAAATGCTGCAATGTACATAGTAAATATATTCTAACATTCCAATTGAGAATGGCTTATTATTTCTCTGTTCTGATATTTTGTCAATACCTACGTTCCAGAAAGAGCATTCAATTACACTAACAGTATTACGATACTTTAGTTCTAGGTACCTTTTTTGAAGTTACAGTAATTACTTTGATGATTACAATTGGATGTATGCTCAGGAAAATCCTGATTTCTATAGCCTTTACCAAGGCCTTTGTACAATGAAGTCATTTCTGAGCTGTTTTTCTACTTGTTGCAGTTGCTAGTTTCTTACCCATTTCGTTTTCAACTATTCATTCTGTTTAATATTGTGTTGATCAATTTGAAACTATTCACTAGAGTCCATTATTTTGTGTGTCTTATTCAATATTTCAGACAATCCCAGAATCTCAACCAATTTGTGCAGATACACCTTCCACTGTTAATCATAGATTTCAAGAATCTGTCAATGTGAGTATTCCTTCATTGTTTTTCAAGGTTCACATTTATTTTCTATATGATCCTCCTCCAAGTACAGTACCTGGACACTGCTTACTTGACGGTAGCGCCATACTTTGTAAGAAATTACTATTTGTGGTCTCTTGGTTTTGTACTAATTACAAGTTCTTCTTTACAAATCAGGAACAGATTATTCTCAAATGCGCTACTTATCTTATGCAGGAGGCTTATCAAACAAGGATACTGTTTTAGGGTTTGTCTATTAGCATTGGCCATAAAACAGACTTATATAATTAGACTCATTAGTATTACTAAGATGTCTTGTTTATATAAGAGATATTTTATGATACTACTTTGTATGCGATTTTAGCAGTTGTGTGATCTCAGTGATTATATTTAGGGTTTGGGTTATGAGAATCATACCAAAGAGGCACCACAATTGGTGCCACTTTGATATGCGATTGATAAAGTCACATTTAGCATGTGAGATTGCATACCAAAGTGGCACCTATTTTTTTGCTTGAAATACACAAGTTATTCAACCATAGAATATTGCCTGCAAATTTGAAGGAATTATTTTCCTGAATGTTGGCAATTCTGCATAAATTGGTCTGACTAAACCCAAAGCAAATGTTCAGATAAAAGATCACATGGATATTCGTTTATTGAAGAAATATGCTATACATTGAATAAAATAATTTTGTAACACAGCGATTTAATAAGACACATATAAATAATGACAGGTAGGCTAATCATATTAAATGTAAAATTAAACTTTAAATTTTTGAATTAATATCAGAAAAAACTTTCAAAACACTACAAACTGAAAATGATACATTTTATTTTTTGTGTGAGTATTAGATAATCATATGGTTAGGATCTGAAACTAAAATTATTGGTATCTCCAGCTCCGTGTAATAGGGTAGGCTTGGCTCCACCTTCGATCCTCGGACCTAGTTTGTTCAGTATATTTATTCTATCAAATAAGATAGTTGCAGAGTTGGAAAGTCTATTCTCTGTGTTTCAAGAACTTACTACAATCTTATTAAATATAAGCTGATCACAATCATTAAAAATGAACACTTCTGGTCAGTTTTTAAATAATAAAGTTTGGAGATAATATATGAGGTAGGACAGAACTATTGTTTGTAGGTTAGTGCCTTGAAAACTCTGTATATGTAAAAACAAAAAAAGCACTTCAAAAATTTGACTAATACAAACACTCTATCAAAAGGTTTAATAATGGTCTCTATGCGAACGAGAGATTGGCAAAACATTTATGGTGGTATCCTTTGTTACAGGTACAAATTCTTCAAAATAAGTTCATTTGAGTTCAGAAATCTTATTCAATGAAAATGCTGCTCATATTACTTAATTATTTCTTATAGCTTTAAAGCTTCAGGCACTGTGGTATTCAGTACATACTTTGGACTCTGTTCTTGCTTTATCGTAGTTCATTTTTTTGTTGGGTCGCATGACTAGGACATAGGTAAGCAAATGTTCATAAAATGCTGGAATGTGCTAGCTTTCATCTGTCTAAACTTGAAAAGGAAAACAATAAAAAAGCAAATCAAATTTTGTTATTGGCGCAACTCAAACCATCTTGATCACAATGCAAACAAATTGAGAAGTTATTTTGATGGAATAAGTGATTTTCCAGGGAAACTTCTAATCAGATTGAATTGCTTATGACAATTTGAGGTTATATCCTATCACTCTTCCTCTCACAGTGGATATGGAATGGCTATACATACAAGTGTATCAATGTGTAGAAAGGCTTTATGAAATTGATCTTTTAGTTAGAATATTCCATACTGCCAATACTAAAGCCATTTTTAGTACCCATACTTGCAAGGAAGGATTTTTGAAATATAGGCACTGGACAGCATGGCAGATTTGGATCATTCAGAACATGTATCTGATGGTTTTACACTATGCTCTTGCTTTCGTGTCTTCCAAATTTTCACAGAGGTAAACCATCCTACATAGCACAGAAAGTCGAGGATTTCCATGATTGACATGAAGCTTGCTCCAAGAAACAATCCTGCTGCTCCACCGAAGTCACAAAGCAATTTTTCTACACTATATGCTACTTCTTGTATCTGTGTTTTGTACATCATTTTTGCGAAATAAACTCTTATTTCTAGGGCACCTTCCCTGAAAATATAAGATTTGGGTGAATAATGATGTTTTCTTGATATTCTTTAGATCACCACAATTTCATATTAAATAACAATAGCATAATCTCATTCCATGAAATGGCAAAAAAATTAAACAGTTTCTAAACAGTTTTTAAGCAGAGAGCGATTAGGTTTAGTCTTACATCAGTATTGTCTCAATAAAGCATCCTTGTGGTAACATACAAATATATATAGAGATGTACCTTCCGTACAATGCACAAAATGTTAGCACCCTCAATTTCGTAATATTTTACATACCAGACATCAAATCCTGGGAATGCGCCTAACACCAAATCTCGTGTACCGTTGGTATACTTGGCATGTGTCGCTTTTACTTCGTACTTTGTTTTCTGGCATTCTGGTGGACAATCACACAAATCCAACCCCACACCTGCCAAAACATGCGCTGAATTGGTAAATGATGGAAACAGTTTTTTGTGTTGCCTCATTTTTATGTGTAAATTAGTTTCCCATCTTTTCAATTCTGCATATTCTACCAATCACCTTACATCCTAGGTAAGGTGGTTGATGTGGGTTTTGACCTCCAATGCCAATATTTCAAGATCTAATTGATCATAAGGCTATTACATTCATCTGGAGTCAATGGTGTTTAATACAGATGCGCTGATGTTGATACTCCGATATTTCAAATTGTCAATTTCAAATGCAAAAACAGCCTCAACACTAATCAACAATAATCAAAGCATCACAGACGTTTCATTGCGCACAAGCACTAGGAATCGCGGTACTTGATTAAATGACCCAGTCGCTATTATCTGTATAATAATCACACTACAAAACATCGTTACATCTCTAGTGTTCAATCAACACTTACTGGATAAATTGGCAAAGAAATTTGCGCTACACGCCCTCAGTTGTATATTATTACATGTTTTTGTCGTGTTTTCTCCTCTCATGTAAGCTAATTTGCATCCACAGTAACTGATGTATTGCTGTAATCCACATTCTTGTTGACAAGCTACTTGAGTGTATTTGTCAAAATATTGCAAAGATCTTGTGCCACATTGTCCGTGTGGTGGAGGCTGCATGAATTATAACAATAATTACTGAGAAATTGGAGGAATGGTAAGCTCTGTGCTAAGCTTTAGGAATATGCTTGCCGTTGCATCTCTGATTACCCTGTGTACTGTAGAGTGACTAACGCAACCGCTAGTCAGTTACGGCTCCCTCCACCATCAAAGCCATGCAAATAACTAACTAAACTAGTCATATACCTAACATTGGCTGTTGTACGCCACCTGATTGAGCCATCTTATCGGCTTTCCATTCCCACCGAATAGATATTAAAATCCTATTTGTTATGATGAACTTTTCTGTTTTAATAGTTACCGTAATAGAACAGTTAGCTTCAAGTTAACCTTAATTTTGGTTGGACAGTTGCGTTAAGTTAAAGCAAAATGTACGATAATATGAAATATATTTTGGAAATAAATTATATTTTCTTACCAAAAGTGTAACGTCTGTCCTTGAAACTACTAAGTTCACAATATATCCCATTGGAACATTAATTCCAAAATTTTCCACCATTACAACATCTTCGCCAGGTTCATGTACCATTGCGATGAAACCTTGCGAATTCATGAAAGGACCCGGAGTCCACTGTTGACCGTATTTTGCCAATCCCATATTTAGTCCGCCTTCGCGTCCTGTTAATAATGTGATCTGGTTTAATGGCAGAAATTTTTGGTATTATTTATTTACAAATTGTAGGATAGCACTGGGACTGTAGTGGGGCTTCTTAATATCTGTATACCGTATTTGCTCGTTTTGTAGCCCGGGCCCATTTTTTTTTCAACCAACTCACTGACCGGGCATTTTTTCAAACCGGCCTTATTCAAATACGTGGGCGCTTGTATTTTTGATCGTTACAATAATTAATATATTGGTATTTCCAGTTCTCAAGTATGATTTAAACGAGAATAACGAAAATTTTGACTTTTTCTACGCACCGCAGGTACAAATCTGCAAAAGAAGAAAAGTTTTGCGACGCCCTATCAATATTGAAACGACGCATTTGGGTGTCGCGACGCCCAGTTTGAGAACCATGGTGTTACGTAATCAATGCTATCTGTTATGTACTTGGACACCTAGGGCGTGAGTGTTATCTACCGGCGCTTAAAATTCAACAGCGTTGTGACTAAAGCGCTTCTTATTTCCTATTATTCTCTACCACTGAAAAATCATTATGTTCTGTTCACACAGGCGGCTATTCAAACATGCCCTTAATCAAGATCGGGCGTTAAAACGAGCATATACGGATACGGTATGTGAAATGAAACAGAAAAGTAATAGGACATGCTAAACTACTTGTAGAAATGTAAATTTTTTTGGGCAGCAAAAGTTGTATAAATACATGATATACAAATACTCTAGGATGGGCAATTTTCGAAAATGGCAGGCTTGCAGCAAATGGAAAAATAGATAAGATTGCTTCGGTTCAGAAAAATTACAAGAGCTCTATAATATTTCTATTTCGCTATATCATCCCTCTATGACAAATGTGTTGAAATGGCTGCTCAGGATAGTTAAATCAAAAATCTGTTCAGTTTAGCAACAGGTGAAGCATATATAAGATGACTTCTAACTTCTGTTTTGAAAGATGCCATGGGGTTTACAGATTTTAGATTTTGCCAAAATAGTTCCTTCTTGTATCCACAACTCTTATGCTTGCTGATTGAACGATAATTCTTGAACTTTCTGGAGTATGGTTTTCAAACTTTACTTTGTTTGCTTGGACAGTAATGTGACATCACAATTCTCACATTTATATGCTATACCTATAACTCCATACCTGCTAAATGTTGGTAACTATAAAAGCCATGTTGACTAGGGTCAAAGGTTATGCAGTTTCCAACATCTCTCAATTGCTGGTATGTGTGTGATTTATTACAGCTTAGGGAGTGGTAGAAACAGCTGAAATACAATATTAGGAGAAATTAGATATGATAATATCAACTGTATAGTTCAGTTATGGTCACAATTTATGAAGAGAGATTTTAAGAAAACCTTTTTATTCTCATAACTATTTATCCAAATCGCGAAGAGATAAAGATAAAGATTATCTTACTTTCGCTGTATTAAAGTTGGATAATATTCATGAAATGGGTAAATTATGTAATGATATTCAACTCAGCCCAAAGAAGGCAGTGGTTCTCACACGGTCATGACTTTTGGCCCCATTCCGAAGACTCGGCGCTTATAGCCTCTTAAAAAACATAGCTTTATTAACGCAGTCATTCCTCAAACTTCCAGAATCTGTTGCCCCCTTATGACGAACTTTCAACACTTTTGGCCCCTTATAATAGATAGCTCCACCGCAGTCGTTATTAATCTTTCAGGATCCATGACCACCTTCTGAAGACTCATTTGTCGCTTCCTGCTCTCTTATGAAATAATTAGGGAGGCCACAGAGAGGAAACACGTTAAAAAATTCTCTGCTGCCTCCTAAAAGGTCCGATAACCCAATTTGAAAAGAAATCCTGAATGGAATAATAGCAACATCCTCAATATTTATTGGAATCCTAATATAACTTACTGTGAAATGTGAATTGTACTCATAAATTAACATTGGGGATCAGTCAATTTTGGGGATTTATTGTGTTATAATTTAATTTCACTTACAAGTCTAAATCATAAGAAAATGAAGCATTTATCATCAGTTCTGCCATGTCCACGTGATTGTATCTTTCTGGGTCCTTTCCAGTTTCATTATACATAAATTCATATGGCATATACATGTCCAATAGCATGTCATATTCTTCTTGTGTTATTCTGCTTCTTCTGTATTTTGTAATAATACAGATAATAATACTAATGCAATGAATATATAAGTAATATTAATAAAATTAGAAAATAGAAATTAAGAAAAATTTTGATAATTTTTTTTCACTCATTAGGACATTTAGAATAGTCTGTATTAGACAATTTGTTCTATGCTGTAGTATATTTGTGTGTAAGGACACAAGCTGAGTTGCTGGTTCAAAATCACAATGTCTTCAGCTCCAGCTCCAAAACCAAAATATATTCCAACTGTGGCTCAAGCTCTGCTTCTGAAGCTTTATTCTTTATCTCGAATCGGGCTCCAGTTTCGGCTTCATAAGCCAGGTTTTTTGGTATGACCACCACCATAAAACATTAGTCTGAACCCTGATTGCAGTTTCGTGGAAGTGAGACTCAAAACTATGATATAGAGCAGGGGTCGGCAAACTACAGCCTGCGAACTAATTTTTTACGGCCCTCGAACGACCCGACTTTAAATGCATTAAACGAAAATTGATAAATTTCTTATTGCTTCCATAAGGATTTATGTGGTAACAAGTACTGCTGTGCGGCGCTTGTTTTATAAAAGGTAGTGTCAGTTCTATATCATTTACTTGATAAACGCCAGTGGTTGGAATTAAAGGTTACATTCATTTTTAAATTCAAATATGTTTGGAAAATGGTTTGCGACGAAGGTCGAACATTCCAAAGTGCCTGGACGGGAAAATATTTTTTTTTGCGCTTTTCAAATCGTAGTTATTATGGGATATGTTAAACTTTATTACGAAACATGTCATTGCAAATACGAAATTTAACCCGGGGCTTTCCCACTGCTCTTATGTGCGTTAGTGCTAAACATTAAATGTACACGTTAGAAAGCACATATTGCTGTGAGCAGCTCTATCTAAAATGCATTACACTAAGAATAAATTTCGAACTCGCTTGTCAGATTGTCATTTAAACAACGTACAGATGGGCAATGAGGTTGCCATTTGATTTTAACGCTTTGACCATGACACAGAAACAACATCATCCTTTACATTGATAATAAGTAAATATATAAAAACAATGCATTGTTTGATAATATATTAAAAAAAACCACATACACGTCTCATTGTGGCAGGCATTTAACACAGCAATATAAAGTAGAAAGTGCGCCATAATTTGAAGTTTAATGTGGCGATCGTTCGTAGGCGAAAATAATGCGGTTGCACGCACAGAAATATATATATTTGGCCCAAAAGTACATAAAGTTTGCAGACCACAGATAAAGAAGTTTCAAGTTTTAAAAGGGAAACTTTAAACTTAAAATGTACAAATTTAATTTGAGATTTATAAATTGATCTTGATTGAATTTAAACTTACTCGTAATTCAATACTTACTGGAAAATATTGTAATCACAAATTGTCACTGCTGGGAAATCCAATTGGGTCACATAATGAGTTGTTGTTGTTGTTATTGTTGGATAGTCATAGAAGTTGTTAACATTACTGATTGTCACATATACACAATATGCTGACCCAGCTAGCAGAAGACAGAGCCATATTAGTCTGCAAAAGAGAATGAGTATCAACTCAAACATTACATTACAAATTTTACTATTATATCAGTCATACTTTGGCCCTTCGTGATACAAATTTTTGTATATCTAATTCATCAAGTCCATGCTTCCCAAAAACAAATACCTGGCTAACTAATCCTATATCTGACATGAATTGGTAACCGAACGAGAGGCCGGGATTCGTCATATGATTAAGTCGTCTTATTGGTTTTCCTCTTTCCGGGATAAATAGGTATGTAAATCCTATCATATCCTAACTTTTCTAAAATCTTAGAAGTGTGATTTTGAATGCTTTGCTTTGAATGCTTTGACAGGGTTTCTATTTGATGGAATTAATGGAAAATTTAACTGAATTCCAGCAAAGTGGTCGCAGTGCCTTAGTGGAGTTAGAGTTAACTAGAATGGCAGGTTAGAATCTCTAGTAAAAATCCCATGCCCACCACTTCACCCACTGTGTAATAAATTGGGTAGGAAATGCCAAATTGAAAAGGTGCTGGTCCGTTCAGACGATAGTAGCTCTTTACTTACACTTACCATTGCCAGTTTTTGCAGAGCCTTGTTCAGAGCAAAATGCGTGTAAAAAAAATTTGATGAGATCTTTGTAGCTACTAGCACTTGGTCAGTGGTCTCATTTCAGTAAGATTCTGAATTGTAAGCTGTATCTGATACGATTGTAAAATTCAATTATGTAAAGGTTCCTGTATTGAGAAGTTTCGAGAACTAGAAAATCAATACAGATTAATAATAATTGTGAATAAGAGTGTTGAAATTATCATACCTTCTTGTCCATGTAGTATTTCTCATGAAAACATAGCGCAATCCTTGCAGTCCAACATTTTCAATAAAAGCATTAGCATATTGTGATATTTGAAAATTCCTATAATTATCTTGGGTGTCATTTTTATCAAGCTTTTTTGAATCTTGGATTTGAGCTATCTCTGGAATCTTTCGTTTCACTGGTATAGTGGTTGGATATCCATCAAAATTTGTCTTTGGAATATCGTTCCACATTTTGGTTGTTGCATAATCAGATTCCAAACAAAAAACATTCAATTCATCATTAGCCATAGTTGGATTACCACTTATTTACTTGCATTTCTGTAATGATTGCTAAAAAATAAACCAACCATGACATTGATTGACTTACAACCTGTTTATATGGTTTGCTACCAAAGTATAAATAACAGTGCTGACTAAGTTTCAATAAACGTGTACAAGTTCAATGTAAAAGACATAAAAGCATTATGGTTTTTGAAACATCTTGTTTACGGTAACTAATATTAATGTATGAATGCATTGAGAAACACTTCGTTTAGTGGAATAGTACTTTACAATTGTTTCTTTAAATATAAGATTTTTTTCAAAGAAATTTACTGAAGCAATGTCATTTGCACTCTCTCAAAAACACAGGAAAGTTACCGAGGATTACTTTTTTGAATTTAATATAGACAGATTTATCACTCTCACTGGGAGCACCAGCCCAATTGCCCAAATATGACAGCAATACATGGACGCACAGTGAACAGTAAGATGGTTTCTCACACACATATAGAGTAGCAATAGCAACTATTGTGCATGGCTTTTAATTGATAAGTCTCTAAATATTGTAATTTAGCCAAATTGAGCGAAATTATAAATGATTTTCTAGTTCTTTATAAAATTATTTTTGTGATTGATATTGAAAAAAAAGATTGGTTCGATTTACTTAATGGATATAAACAAAAGAGTAAAATTTAGTATCGAAAACATAATAGGCACTATGGCCTAGCAATTAAAGTATTGGACGCAGCTTGCACTCTGATTCAAATTCCATCCGTACAAAATCACCAGGATGTAATAAATTGGATCGGCAATACCGAACTGGAATGATTCTGGTTGTTCACCTAATAGTAGCTTGTCACATATTGTTGGATATCGATGGCTGCTTGTAAGGGCCTTGCTCTGAGCATATGGCGGGAATAGCCGTCATATAAAAAAAAACGATATCCTATGTTTCATTTTTTGAAATTTTTGAAGCACACCAAACACAATTGGTATAAAAAGTATTTGTGTATAGAAATATTCGATGTGGGTGTGTGGTGGCGTGGTGGTTAAAACGTTAATAAGACTTATCTTTGATAGAATTACGCAATCTCGGGTTCAAATCCCATGCTGGCCACCTCACCATTGGCGTAATAAATTGGTAGGCGATGCCCAGGCGATGTGTAGAGCCTTGTTTAGGAAAAAAGTCATATAAATATGTCATATGTGAAGGGAATCATTGCGGTTTATGATTGATAAAAAGAAGTCGTGTACTAAAAACATATCATGAATTGTCAAGTGTTATAAAAAATATAAAAGTTTTTTAAAAAAATACTAATTTTCATTATTATTTAGTAATTGAACAGTGTGATACATAAGAAAGTTCAGTGCAGCGTGGGCCATGAAACATAGCAGGTTGAGAATCACTGCAGTAATAAATATAATCTCATCATACTGCATGTTTTATTAAGTTATGAAAAAGAAATATTGAATATGTATGTGCACAGTTCTTTTGATTGTGAAAAAATTATAATTGAAAAAAAACCACACAAAATTCCACTAGATTGAGAATAAACAATATACAGGTGTATAATTTAAGAGTAAAGTTTTCTGATTTGTTTCTAAAAATTTGACTACCGTATATTTACAAGTTAGCAGAGTGTAATACAGGGTGATTCAAAAAAACAGTATCAAGGTCATTTGGAACATATTGTACAGATAACACAGCTTTTGTTTCCTAGATTACTGAAAATGTTGGGTACACAAACTAAAGTTTAAGCTGATGATACCTTGTTTTTTTCTAAAGAAGCTCAGCATTATTCTTGCTATGAAAGAAATTAAGTTATTTTTATTTATCACCCTTATACTATCTTGTTCAAGCATCCTTGTGGCAACAGACAAATACAAATCCCAAATAGGAAGTAGACAAGGGAAATGCAGCTGCAGTTCAAGACACAATATCCTAATGCTATTCGAAAAGGTATTTTCAAAGTCGCTCAAAATAAATACGATTTTGAGAACGTTTAACCATGTATGAATTAAAATTATGCTGTGTTTTACAGAGTACAAAAGAAATTCATTATGGTAAGTTTTGTATGGCAGAATTTCAGAACATTTGATAAGTAATAATGGAATATTGTTAGAGCTACAGGTGTACATTTAGTTTCGTCATATAATAATGAAATTTATTTTAAATTATTAAGAGTAAAAAATAATATTTAAATTAAAACTATATTAGAATATGAAACTTCTCAAGTAAGGCAATTCTTTCAAGTTATCCACAATATGATTTTAGCATAAAAGAATGATATTATTATAAATAATATAAATAGTATAGTCTTCATTATTTATGCTACAGCATCCTCTCATTATACGCCTATCGATCTATGAGTGCAGAGGCATAGAGGAGGAGTAGAAAGTTAGTCTTGCGTAACCATAACTAGATACGCATTGATTGCCATTTTCTAATTTACTACCATATTGTATAAATTTTTATCAAACATTCATCCTGAGATCTTTCACTTTGTTTTTTCTTCTCTTAAACCATAACTGAATTGATGATAACCACAAAGAATAGACCATGAAATCCAAAAGTTCAAAGAGTGAGACAAAACTTGCTCCAAGAAATAAACCGCCTGCTCCACCTATGTCACATAAAAGCTTCTCAATAGAATAGCTTGCCTCTTCGATTTGTGTTGTATAAGCAAGCGATGGATAGAACACTCGAATCTCAACTCCGTGTTTTCTGGAATTTAGTAGAACAATTGAGATTTAATAATGAAAAAAGATGATTCTAATATTTGATCACTATCATAATTTCAAATAGTTCGAATGGCTTTTAGTTAGAAAGAGTCAAACACTCTATGTAACTCTAGCCCCGTCTAAAGACTTGACTCAGAACAGGACGAGTCTTAAAATGAGCAAAAAATATTACCACATTTATAAATGTCATATTGAATAAAAATTGACTATTGTAGCAATAATAATTCAAATTAAACCAGGCTGATTCTGTAAATGTTGGAATGTCCAATCATTCCTATTTATCCATTTCATTGTTGTTTATGAAATATGCTACATGTAAATGATGTAATGACTTGAACATGTAACTTGAAACAGAAGTGACTTTGCTTGGGTCTCTGTGGTACACTGACTAAACTTGACGTGGAACTCAAACTCTAATGTTACTCCAACTTCTCTTCCACCTCGATGTTTAGAGACTTATACCCAGCTAATGAATATTTAAACATATATTGGTTTCAGATGTTAATAATGGTGGAGACTGGAGATATTGGTAGAGAAACAGAATAGTATTGTTATGTTTATTTCAATACCTCATGTCAAATCCAGCAACAAAGTTTTTTATAAAATCTGTGGTCCCATGTGTCATTCTTGCTGATGTCACCTCCATATCATACTTGATACGATGACATTCTGGTGGACAATCACATCCGTCAAATTCATATGCACCTTAAGTAAAAAGTTAATCAATTATACTTTTGTAGAATTAATAATGTTATGAATGAGAATTCTTCAATTAGGTAGTCAAACTTATAGGGATGTATAGTTTTGGTATATTTCACTAAATAGGGTCCAAATATAGATGGCATATAAGCGCTCATTTCATTTGGTGCAAGGATTATGGATAGCAAGCCAGGAAACCTCCGTTCGTTTTAGTAAATCATTCGAGACTAGAGCAAAATGGGGTTGGAAAAGGCGTATGAATTTATGTCCTGCAAATGCCGCAAAATTTCATTCAAAAACGTTGAAAATTTTGAGGGGGCCACGGTTCGTAAGGCCCCTCCTGGCTACTCCTATGCCACTCAGCACAAAGTTCTGTACAAGCATCTTTTGTTATGTATTAAGAAGCTCTGATATTTCCAGAATGATTGTATCTTCATGGTATCTCTATGTTTTGTTCTTTGAAGAGTGCCTATTTTCGCTTCTTCCGAACAAAGCGTCTGCAAATTGTGTATTTTAACCTTGGTCATGGTATGTTATTTATGTAACATACAAACTCACCATTTAAAATCTTAGGCACACAAGCATCAATCATAAACTGACTGCAGATGGGGACTGTAACATTTTCTGGCCAATATTCAAATCTGCAGCCACAAAGGGGTAGCACAACTTTTGCTCTGCACTCCTGCTGACAGGCTGCTTGGGAATATGTTGAGTAATACATAAGCTTCTTCTCTCCACATTCACCATGTGGATAAGGCTGGAAAATGCAAGATCTTTCAATTAGTTTATTTCTAGGCCTATACTTAGCTATATAGAGAACCTTTGTAAATTGAAGGAAATACTATTTTGATACAGCAATTATATAGGGTGCCCTGTATTAAATTAGGTAAAAGAACTTTGATGTGCTTCATACAATTACCGGTAATGGGCATATATAGATTTGCTTTTTCCAATTACTACTAACATCCTTGACAAAATGTATGTATTGTGAGCTTACCAACAGTGAGTGCGTACTTCTTGTAACACTTATGCTGACCGTGGAACCGATTGGAATATTTTTTCCGTTTTCTACCATGACTATTTGTTCACCTGGATCATGTACTACTACAACAAATCCCTCTTGGTTCATAAATGGGCCATGGGCCCAATCAGATTCATTTGTTCCAAAACCAAACATTAATCCGCCTTCTCGGCCTAAATATAATATTTTTTTTCAAGTGAGTGATGTCTATTTTATTCTTTCTTTGATTCTTGAACCCCTGGGGCCCGTGTTTCTGATTACTTTGCGCATGTTCAAATACTGAGGAGAGTAATTATGTGTGAGATCGTTGTCGGACTTATCGCTGTTGTAGGGTGGTTGACTGATCGGTTATGGATTCCCTCTACCGTCAAGTGCATGCATCAGAAACAAATAACGGATTAACTATTGCCATACCTAACATGAACTTGTAACCGGTTGAGAGATCGTGGTTCGCCATATTATCAGCCATCTTATTGGCTTTTCTTTCCACCGGGTGAATATGAAAATCCTATGTTTTCTCATATACTAATACATATCGTATGCAGATTTCAGGTTGAAAAATTACATTTTTGGATGGATTTCTTCGATTTTATTCAATGGACATACGGTTGCATATATTGATAAATACCTTTTTTGTCTGTATTACCTGGGAACATTTGATACTTCCTCACTGGATCTTTACTTGGATCAAAAGTGAAACAAACTCCAACGTCTCTTATTTTTGTGTAGAAGTGTGACATATTGCAATATCCTGACTGATAGGAACATCTGTGAATATATATCAAGTATATTTAAAAAAGAGTTTGAATCTGATATTGTTATATCACCAACACTGATAAGTGCATGTGCTATTTAGATTCCACTTCTGGCATATTTAGTAATTTGGATGTTTTGTGTACGGCAGTTTGAAGATTAGTAGTAGATACTCCAACTTACAGTCCCATTTGGGAGAAGTAGTCATATGACTTGTTGACAACGAATTCACCCATATCAACATGATCATACTTTGAATAATTTGTATGAGTGTAATTCTTAAACAAATCATATGGTTGGTACATTTCCTCAATCATTGCATTTTCTTCATCAGTCATCTTTGTACGTCTGTGATATAGAAATTTAGATCCAAAAATATTTGGCATTATGGGTAATTTATGGCTCAGTGTAATTTAACACTCAATTTCAATCACCGTAATATCCTCGCATATAAGTGACCCCTTAAGAACGGCGCTAAAATGGTGAATTTATAAAAATATGCATCTAAGCCGACACTAATAAACCGTGGCACCTATTAACAGTACACATACTTTTTGACATGGCTAGTTTTATTATACATTCTAATTGTTCATCGTCAGCGCCAGTGTCATTTAGTTCACCCACATCGTTTAGCTAAACGCCACAATCATACTTCCTTATACCTATTAAATATTGTGCTACCACTGGAATTAATTTTTATTTTGCTCACAAGACTATACATTATTTTAAAAAATGCAAATGTTATAATGCGATCATCGTCATAATCAAATGAGTAAACCCGATTTCTAGCTGAAAATTACGGAGTAACAAGACTTAAAAATGGTGTTTTATTTTTCAAGTCTGCATTTTGCTTTTGATCATACCGCCAAGCGCCAATGCCAACTTAAACTGAATGAAATTGTCAACAACGACGCTGGGATAACGATAAAATCTGTGATACTAAATAATATTTAAGAGCTATATGCTGTAAATCTCATAAAGTCCTGTATTAAATTAGGCATTAATTAAATTAAAATAAACACAAAAACTGGTTCTGATATATTGAGAACTGACTCTATAACAAATTTATGCTGTAAATTGCAAGAAAATTCCCCTTATACTCGTCACTATCAAAACTGAGGATTAATTAATAACGAAAGCAATTTGCTTATACATTTGTTGCTGTGACCGCCCACACCATCTCGAAATATGCGATAATATTTGTAAAATAATTTCAATCAAAAGAATCTTCGCCGTGTCATAGGTACTGCTTGTCGGCGCTAAAATCCTTTCATGTCGACTGTAATTTATTGCTGTGATGCACGATTGCGATAAAACACAAAATAAAATAATTGTACTGTATAACCTTTTCAATCAAAAATGTGGACGGCGGCGCTAGGATGTGTGCGCGTTTTTTGATATTCTTATAATACTAAAAACGATATTCGAATTCAACATTTCTGAATTAAGACGATAGGTGGATTTAATTTCAGAACTATTTTACTTTTATTCTCCGAGAGAACCCTATAGTTTTTGCAAACTATCCAACTAATATTGTTGAAGATATATACCATATTTACTCGAAATTACGCCTATATCGCGAATAGGCCGACTCCCTAAAAACGGCCTTGAAACGGCGATTTTATAAAAAATCGCGAATAAGCCGGTCGGTCCTTCGAATCGTTACACGCGGGACGCCTTAAGAAAAATGTAGAGAGAGAACAAAATTACTGTAACGCAAACATTTCTCACGTTTATCGTTTCAGCATGTTAGCGGCCATAGGTGGATTATTACACGTAACTCTTACTTGGTAATGTATGTTAAATAAAGTCTATATTGCTTTTCAGTGCGTCGTGATTGTGTCGGAAGTTTAAAATAGAGTTTCTGAATCAGCATATAACAATTTCCTTTGATCGCCACAACGGCGATTAATTCCGTTCCTTGTCTGTTTCAAGGAAAGAAATACCGCTGTATTAACACATTCTTATAAATCGCTATGAATCTTAACACGCCAGACGCCTTAAGAAAGGCGCAGAAAGAAAACAAAATTGCTGTAACACAAATATTTCTCACGTTTATCATTTCTGTTTGTTAGCGACGGCCGTAGATTCTTACTCGTAACTCTTACTTGTAAATTCATGTTAATAAAGACTATTGCTTTTCATGCGTCGTGATTTGTATTAATGGAAGGGATTGTTGTCGAGAGTTTAAGAGAGTCCCTGAGTCAGCATAAAACAATTTCCTTTGATCGTCCACAACGCGGTTAATTTCGATAAGACCTTATCACCGCCCCTTAACGGATAACATATCGTAAAGGTGATTTAAAGTTAATTGCCTTTGATAAGACAATCACACCTGCACAAGCGAGCGAAAACAAACCAATCACAGACTGTACAAGCGTCACGTGTTAAACAACCAATCACAGAATGTACAAGTCATGGTATGAAGCTTTTGGAATTACCGGCAAATCAGCATAATGTCATCTTGTTGCGTGATCAAATTCTGATGCGCGGTTGATCTGATTTTTTGGTGCAATCTTGAGTTATGCGCGAATAAGACGGTCCCTTAGTTTGGCAATTTTTTTTGAGTTTTAAACTCGGCCTATTCGCGAACATATACGGTAATTATTAGAAATTACATTGAAGAGCCATCAGCCCACCTGATTGACGGGGTGATCACTTGAAAAGGTTGTGGCTGATAGTTTGATCATGAATTCAAAAAATAATGATATATGCCAAAAATTAGACTTTGTTAACATAGATTGAACTATAATTTTAGTTTGATAATAGAATTTTTTTTAATTCCCAAATTTTAATCAAGCGAATTTCGTTACTGTGAGAATTGAGCCATGTTTTGAATGTTTTAGAGTTGTGAGTAAAACTTGTCTGACTCCACTGATTTGATATTATAGGGGTGACTCAAAAAACAGAAAGCAGGTCATTTGTAACATATTTTAGAGAGAACATCAATTTTTTGCAAAACTCCTAGACTTCTGAAACCGTCGGACATTATCATACATCAACAGAAGTTTAAATGTTGAAATAATTTTTTTCATTTTTATAGAAGTAATTAAGAAATTTATGGTTTTTTTTTAGGTCACCCTGTTACAGTATTATAATCCCAAAAAGGACATTTAAATTCATCAATTCGAAACCAATTAAAATTAAAACTTCAATAACCCTGGTTGTATAACCGCTTGATTGTTATTAGTATTGAATTTATCAGTCTTCTCATCCCCTCTGACTGATTAGACATTGAGTTAAACTGTGTTACTAGCGGTGATTTGATAAAACCCAATTCTCATACAAATTACCCTCTAACTGAACTTACTGGAATATATTATATTTGCATATTGTGACAGCTGGAAATTCAATCTTCCTGTGGAAATGTCTTGTTGTTTTGGTTGTGGTTGGATATGTCAGGTAGTAGTTAATATTATTCAATGTGACATAACAACAGTAACTTCCACCAGCAAGGATGAGAATCAACCAAAGCATTCTGTTAATGAGATAATAACAAAAAATTAATGGCATATTATTTGAACTTAACGAGTATTTAAAAAAAAGATTTTAAGCTGAGTCAGCTGGGCTGTACAGTAGAAAAACATTTAAAAGGATATATTATTATTATTTCTTCCTGGACAAATGGTTTTAATGGCTGAATTTATTCCTAACAATCTCCTGATTTTACCATATCAAATGTTTTAAATTAAGAAAATCAATGAACACCCCCAAGCACACTGATAACAACTTTTCAGTTTCTTTTATCTTAGTTGCTTGTAAATTTTTTTTTTTTGCAAATAACATACCTTACTTCCATGTATTACCAAATACTTACCAGGTACTTGTTTTTGTACAGAGTGACCCCCATCCCCCCTCCCCAAACAAAACAGCACCCAAGTCATTCCGAAGAAATTCTAGAGGCAACATAACTTTTATGCGAAGATGGAGATTATTGAAAATTTTGGGTAAAATCATACGCAAACGGAGTTCTATCATAATAAAATTTTCTACTTTGTTATAGAAGTCACTGCAAAACTTATTGGTTTTTGTGTTTGTTACCCTGTCTGACTCTTTACTTACCGTCTGCACCATGTTGTATCCCTCATGAAGATATATCGAACTCCCTGTACTCCAAAGTTATCAACAAACCACTGTGCATATAAAATTTGTTTCATGTTTCGATACTCTTCTGTACTTTCTTGTTTTCTTTGCTTTGAATCCTTCATATTTTTTGGCACTTCCAGCCATGATTTATTATCCGATACAAAACTTATACTCCTTTCCAAATCAATGATTTCTAGGTTATCATTATCCATATTTATAATATTATATCCTACGTAGTAATAAAGAAAAGAAATCAAAGTTATAAACAATGCAATCAAAATTAGCATATGCATAAGTTTAGAAACTTTTGATAGGCATTTTAGGTAGTCATAAATATGGAAAATGTTTGAATTGTATTTACCAGTGAGCACATGTAAGTATTTCAGTTTTTTTTTGGAATAACTCGGTGGTAACTCGCTGGGGTAAATATGTAGCATTACGGGTTAGATATACACAGTTCAAACCCCAGTTAGTTTATCTTTTAGCTGAATCCCACCACCTAACCTTGGAGGAATAATCTATACAATCGGATAATCTATACCAGAGCACTGGAATAATTCTTTCAAACAAAAAAAATAATTGAGTAGCTTTCTGTATATATGCTCCTTCAACTAATTTATAACAAATTATAATATTATAAAAACACAGCAAAGTAGTGCATAAATATTAAAAAAGTGCTTAAAAGTTTTTTTTTACATATACATTACGGTGGGTTCATAAAGTCCTGTTACAATCAAATTTTGTTTTGAAGTCAGGTCTCAATATATCCTAACTAGGTTTTAATCAGTGTTTATTCAATTTTTTATTTGATTTAATACACTGTTATATGTCCGCCTTTAGTTGCACGAGCACATCATTTTTCTTTTTCCGAACGTAATACAGGACTTTATGAACACACTGTCTAACTAGTGGGTATCATTGACTGAGAATAATTAATGGTAAATAAACGACACAGCAATTTTGTGAATCGTGTTGCATTATCAAAAATTTTGTACATGAATGTAAAAAGACAGTATAAGAATTTTTAAGGTTAGCAGACCATTTAACATCACTTCTGATTCCCAATTTTCTTTCATTAGGTTTCTGGAGGTAGTTATTTGTATGGCAATAAAAGGTTTCTGACTAGTAGGCAAGAAGAGTTAAATATAATACACACTGCAGGGGATACACTGCATATGATTATTATCACACTTTATAATAAATTTTAGAGCAGCATATAGAAATGAGGTTTCAAGTTTTCTTGAATAGAATCAGGTACCTATCGAACAAGTATTTTAGAAAAATTTACAGTTTTTTCAATCTTTTATTTTGGAATGGTTTCTATTTTTGCTGAGAAATATTTCAGACCCAATTTATTGCTGAATATATATGTATATAACGGCGACTTGGGAGCTGGAGTCATGACGTTTTGTTGGATCTCATGCGAAGCCCACAATAAGAAAGTGATCTGAAGCTGCCAGGAATTTTAGTGACTCCAGCTCCTTACCTTTTTGTCACATTCAAAATTGTCTAATACTACATAAAGATGATAAAATCTACATTTCATCTTATAATTCTTTTATCAATATATAATTTCAAATATTATTAATAAGTTTCAAGTTAAATTTCTATTTTCAAAAATTGAAGTTGTATTTTAAGATTTGAAACCCTTATATAATAGATTTGAATCCGGCTTCTCGAAAACTGCTATTCTTGATTCATGGTAGTAGTCACACCAAAACACTGCCTAAATGGGCTGAGATCTAGTTAGAAGGCAAAAAACGTGTTTCCAGAGCTGTAGTAAGACCAGCTTCCCAGCCCTACATATAGATCCCTTTTTTGAATTCTCTCATATAAATAATTTTTTAACTTTCCGCTATCTTATAATATTATTTACACTACTGTTAATTGAGCAACTAAAAATACAAACAACAAAGTGTACTAGCAAGTTTGTTTCATAATAAATAAGTGTGCTTAAAGAGTGCAAACGATATTTGTAAAACTTATATTTCAGGTTTTAGTGTTTCTATTGTCATTATCCGAAGTATTTTGTATATTTTTAAAAGAATGAAAAGAAAGTAAACAATGACAATTTCTGTCTAAAATTGAATTTCAAACAGTACATGGAATAAATTGGTAGATATTGTTCACAATAAAAAATATATCTCGTGAGAGCTCGCTATGTACTTATAAGAAAATGTAGAAAAGGACACATTTCACAAAAGTTATGTTTCTTCTAGAACAGTGTTTTAAAATGGTGGGCCGCGTCTGACAAGGGGGGGGCGTAGACAATTTTTGGTGCTCCCGAAGTATGCGAACCAAGATGGCGGACATCGGAACGTAACAGGTTAGGGTTAGACGATAATTTCTTTCCAATTTTCCTTATTTTAGTCCTATTATCAGTTCGAAGACTAGCCAAGAGCCTCGCGTAGTATTTATACCTAAAATTATGGCCTAACCCTAACCTAGTACACATATTATATTCCGATTCGGGAGCCCCCAATTTTTGATGGGGCTTGAAATTATTTAAAAATAAAAATATTTGTTACGTTTGATCTTGTCTGCCGTATTTTGGATATTTACTTTTCAGAACTTTTCATCTCTTTCATTATTCTCATTCTTCCCACATATTTTCAACATGTTTTTTAAATAAAACATACTTTTGTCTTATCATCTGTTATTTGTAGCTTATTATCAGCTAGTTATTTTCGAGGTGGGGCACGAAACTTGACAAATTCAAAAATTGGGGCTTGAAATGTTTGAGAACCACCGCTCTAGTATTATGACTCAAATGACCTGGGTTCCTTTTTTTGAGTCACTCTTAGTTATTAATTTCATACGTAGTTCATCAAATTCCTCAAATTTGTGAATAAAGGTCCACAACCCCTTTTTTTTCAAATTCTTTCGTGGATTTTAAGCTCTTGCTTGTAAATCTTGAATGCTTCTATGATTCCTACGATTGCATCCTCGTATTGATCCAATCCAGCATACATAACAGATGAAGTCGAAAACCTCAGCTATAGTTAAAAAACTGGCTCCGAGAAATAGACCTGCTGCTCCTCCAACATCACATAGTAATTTTTCAAATGAATAACTCGCTTCCTGTATCTCGGTTTTATAGGAAAGTGAGGAATGATAAACAACCAATTCTATTCCACTGCTCCTAAATTGAGAAAGGAAAGGACATTTTAAATTTATAAAAATAATACTCTAAATGAATATATAAATTCAATTTCCCCCCAATTTGGCAGAGTTTTTAAATTTATCTATTGCAAAAAGTACAACAATCGTCTCAGAAATATATATCCTTTTCTGATTCTCCTTAGTCATATCACAAGATCGGTGCGTGATCAGGTACAATAGCAGTAACAGATATGATCAAATTAACATTGTTTTGTCATAAACTACCACTAAAGAAGAAAAATCTGATACTTTTAATTAAGTCAGAGGCTGTCTAGCCAGTAACATCCACACAATGCACCTAATTCGTTTGGTCTTTTGTTTCTTAGTTTGACCAATTTATTATCACAAGATGTGACTTTTATGTCTCACGTACGTCTATTGTTTTTCACATTGTCTGAAGATCATATTGTTTTGTAATTTTGTCTGTCCTTAATGAACTGTTTTGAGAAAGACTAGTTAGTTCTGTGTATTGTGTATTAGATTCTTGAATTAATACAATGAATTTTTCACACTGTCCATCAATCAAACTGTCCACTCATCCATCAATCAATTGTTACGTTTTAACAGAAAGTCGATAATGGCATCGCCGGGTAAAATCTTGGGTTCAATTCCTATGCTCACCACCTCACCCAGGGTTTAATGAATTGGTTAGGCAATGCCGAACTGAACAGATGCTGGTTCTACTAAATTGGGTCGTGTTCGGTAAAAAATAATGTAATTCTAGTGCAGGAAAGTTGTATTTAACAGTAATTTGATAGGTTTCCTATTCTGTATAGGAATCCTATATCTGTATATATCCTAAATCAGGGATGTGTGACATTTTTTATTGGTGGGTTATATAACCAACTCCTGACATCTAACTGGGCCAGAAAAAAATATGAAATGCACTCAAGACAACCAGATCGCCACAGGAAAAGCAAGAGAAGATAATGTAGCTATTGTTTAGCTTTACCTCGAAAAAGGCACTGGGAAAAAAGGTGGAAGATTTAACACAGCGACGAGAGCAAAAAAACATGTATTTTCACCCACGTGAGCACCCTTTCAAACATAAGCTTTATGAGGAAAAATCTGAGTGTCGACAAGGGCCACACTAAATGGCTTGGCGAGGCGTGTTGTGCCCTGCTGGCCACCTGTTGCACACCCCTGTCCTAAATTATTTCAATTATAAGGAGGTTGAAATATTGAATGTTGTTAAATTCGAATCAGTTCGGTTATGCACTGAAGTTTTAATAACACTGGCTAATGGCGAGCATCAAAGTCTTTTTTTGTCCGATCCTTTCCAACGAATCAATATTATTAGAAGTGAACACTGCTTCTCAGGTTAACTTTTTTTTAATCTTAAATACTTACTCTATATCAAGATCATAGCTGCTTTGTACCAATCTTCGTACTCCTTCTGTTATCTTCCTTGTTGTGGCTTTTATCGTATATTTTACTTGAAAACATTCTGGAGGACAGTCACAAAATGCATTGAGACTACCAGTGTCTCGACCTTTATTGTAAAGTAAGAATAAATAGGAAATTGTCTTAGATTTTTTGTAAATTTTTCAAATCAAACTGTTGTCAAATTAGTTGGATATAAAAGTATTTTAATTTACACTTGTAAAAGTTTGGTACCTTTTGGTACTATAATAAGATCTTGGATTTTAAGTTACTAAATGTAGAGAATAAAATATCTGATAGAAGATCCTCTTTCACTGTGTTAAATGTTCCTGGTTCAAGCCCATACTCATCACCTTAACTCAATAATAAATTGGATAGGCAATGCCGAATCGGCAAGAAACCAGCCTTTCCCAAAAATATTAGAAGCATCCTACATATCACAGACTGTTAATACGATGCCTTGTTCGAAATGAAAGCATGAAAACTCTATGAAGAAAATCTAGTTTAACTTACTTGCATTTAAGAAATATTCATCCTGACATTCAATCAGATTTAATTTGTTACAATTCCTCATTGAACTGTTTCCTGCCATGAAATCATATTTGCAGTTGCAAGTCTTCATCATCATTTTCATCGCACATTCTGTTTGACATGCTTGCTGGGAATATTTCTTATAATATTCTAATTCCTTTGATCCACATTGTCCATGAGGTGGTGGCTGGAATATTATTTTATGTTTTTCAATTTTTTTAATATATAGATTCTATCTCAAAAGATTAGACTGAATCACTGTGCCTATTAAGCTTAAAGATTAGACTAAACCACCTCGCCTATTAATAGCGCATATTTACATAGATCAGCCTTCTGTTTTTATTGGGTGATCCGACTAGATTGATTTTATCTGTTTTCAACTAGTATTTTATAGTGAATAGATTTTGATCATCTGAGCACTTCGTAAATTTTATAAATTCTGTTTAAACAGTTGAATCGTTAGGCTTAACTGTGCTAACATCTCAGGGGCCTTCTTCAGAGAGAAAGGCATGAACACAATCAACAAAAAACAAATTATTTCGATCTCTGGAATTTATAGCTCTCATAGGAAGTATCAAGATTGTACCAGTAAAGTTATTTCTTTTTTGCTGACAAGTCAAACTTCATAGATTGACCAATTGGTAATGCTGTCCTCCAAAATATTCAACTTTTACTGGATCCATGTAGGTTCATGACTATGTGTACGAAACCATCATGAGTTCATGTATGGGCCGGTTGTTCCTTCACTCTCAATCGTGCCATTGTTATTAAGAGACGACTGCGTTTTCCTGTGAAATATTTTATGTTGTAATTGGAAAGTTTTGAAAAATTTTGATAATCAAATGTTTGTCTATCACATTTGGAAGTTTTATGCTATTACAAGATTTCAAACCTGACACGGTTTAGATGCTTGAAGGACTATTCATTTAGAGAATATTCACCATAAGTGGTGGCATAGTTGAAACTAATATTTAACTTTTTTAAATAGCCTATAACGATCAGGTCATCCCACAAATTTAAAAACCAAAATGAAACAGTAACAGTCCTGTAATTCAGGCCACAATAAATGATGATTCGACTTGAAAACTGCCTTCCGGATAGCCCCTTTTTAGGTCATTTTTGCAACAAATTATCAAAGTACATATATGTCCAAAGGTGTACTGGAAGGCCCTTTGTTGAATTATTATTAAGGATTCAATTGTCCACGACTTTCCAAACATTTAATTACAATGTGTACCGCCCTACCACATTTTTTACAGTTTCAGAAGCTTTTGGCATTCTTGGTGAGTGTCTGAGTTCTATTAAATCAACATAGGTTCAATTCACATTTGTTAATTCGAATTCAATGTAAATTCAATACCTTCCATGGTTTGATATTTATATCTCTCGTCAGTGCTTGGATCGAACGTTACGCAATATCCAATATCTGTCAACCTTTTGTAGAATAGAGACATATTGCAGCGTTTTCCTTGGTATTCACATCTATATATGAAGAGTGTACAAAAAACAAATTTAAAGGCTGTTATGTGCTATTCCTAGACCTGAGGTTCTAGGGTTAAATTTCTCCCTCGGAATTTTTGATGTTGCAGTTTCAAGCTAATGCTATTGTTACAAAAAGTATTCCTATATACAGGGTGTTAACAAAAATAACCAAAATTAACAGATGTTGAGGTGAAATGCTATTTAAAACATTTAACAACAGACAACTTTTAAGAGTATTGAATTACTGTGAAATGTCATTTAAACGTTTCACGACTGACGCGTTTTGGCAGCTACTTTCATAAAGTTGCCATGACAAAAAATTTTACCTTAATTCCACCTAACTTTTTAACACCCTATATATATTTTAGAATTTTCTATCATATTTGCCATTTTTACATTTGTTTGCAATCAAGGGCGGTTATTGTTATCGGCACTTGCGAGAGAAATGAAAGAGGCAAACTAACTGTATTTCATTACAACAATTAATTCTTATCGCTGGACATATCTTTTCGCGTTATAGGTTTCGTGCAAGGCCTGAACATGATTTGATGACAAAGATCATAGCATTTATCATGTCGAAACGCTTATTCGACTTTTCAGACTGCAGGAACTATCGGAAAAAGATAATCGTTTTTGTGTTCGAGATAAGAAATATTAGCCAATTATTCACCACACTCTCGTGAAATAGTGCAATTTACTAAATTTAATGGAAGGTTTTATTGTGTTTCGTTGCAGCAATGTTTGAACTAGCAACCAGAGCGATTACTGGCGTGATTACTGATCGCTAGTGTGGGCAAAATAGAATATATATAGAAACGTGTTCAATAGATAAATTGCAGTCTGCAGATATCAGTACATAATATTAGATTAATAGTAGATAAACAATGCTTATATTTATCTTCTATTTGTGACAGTGTCGAAAGTAAAATCGAATGTCTTTTATACCCGAGACTTAATTTTCTATTGCTTCTATAAATGAAAATATTTCAAAAGTTGTTGTCCTAAAATTATATACGGTATTTACATTTCTCAAAATCGCCAATTTAGGACAAGATTGCTAAACTCCTTGGTGTTGTAGGTAGGGCTGTCCAAGCGAACCAAATATTCGAAATCGAATCGCAAATTATTCGAATCGTTTTTCGGCTAATTTTCGAATCGCTAAGATTATACCAAGACAAATAATTGCACTCTTGAATTTTGAGGGCAGTTGTACACTAACAATATTATAGTCATCAAATATTATTGTCATCAAATTAGCTTTGAATTTGTTAAATGCAATTTTGAATTTGAGCAACAGTTTTATCTATATGGGGTGTACCAGGGTATTGTGTATTGAACTGCAGGTCCTTTCTCCTTGTTTACTTTCAATAGTTTTATCTATATTAATGGTTGTTATTATTTTGCTGAAAATTACACGAAAAAACATAAAACTAGTGAGTAGGATTAAAATAGCATCTACAGGCTTTACATGTCCTATTAAAACTGAATTCATTAGAATTGGGTTGCAATTTTTGAATAGTGCAAATATTACTCTTAACACTCAACAGTTTTCGAAACCCAAATTTTGGAGTCCTCCAATTGTTTTGACCAGTTCATACAAGCGTGTGATCTCCTTTCATAAATCTGAAAACATTGTATTGCAAAATACCAGCAGTAAGTAAGATGTAACTACACATACGTTACCACAACATCGAAGGGCAGGCGTTTTTTGTATATTAGAGACAGATTTAGGATTGTGCAATAATATTCGATTATTCGGTTCGATTCGGCAAAAATATTTGATTCGATTCGAATCAAAAAAATATTCGATTTTGGACAGCCCTAGTTGTAGGGTATACAATCGCTGGTCGGTTGCAGCCTCCTTCAACATCAAAGTTCATGCATCTGAGATTTAAACCTGGCTAACTATTCCCAAACCCGACATAGACTAGTAACTGGACTAGAGGACATGGTTTGCCATATGATTAAGCCATCTTTTCACGTTTCCTTTCCTTGTATAAAAATCCTATAATATCAACTCACATTCCCATATGGCTTGCATAGTCGAACGAAGTCCTATTTGCAAAGTCATCCATGTCAAAAGCATCCCATCTCGATGGTTTTTTATCTTCATTTCTTCGGAAGATAACATATGGTTGATACATGTCCGAAAGCATCATATTTTCCTTCGCTGTCATTTTACTTCGTCTAAAATAAAAAGGTGGACAGTTTGATAAATTTCTGTGGACACTCAACTCAATACTCTAATAAACAATGTATAACCTCATACTCACAACCTCACTACAAAGCCCAAGCTCACCCTTTCAACCGAGGTGTGTTAAATTGGATAGGCAATGCTAAACTGGGAGATTCCAAATTTTCAAAAACGATACTTTTTACATTCATTGTCAGCTTGTTTAGTGCTTTGTTCAGAGGATGTATCTATTGCAGTGGTTCTTAAACTTTTTCGAGCGCGACCCAAATCTGAGTTTTATGAATACTCGCGACCCAATCCTAAATAACGCAAAATGTGTTTTTAATGTTAGTACAGTTTGACTCAAATACAGACAACTATTTATTAGAAACAGTCCATTGACTCAGTGAGATTGATGAAACTGAAATTTCCTTTTCATTATATCTTCAATACACAGCTCTATTTTACTTAACGCAATACGCAAGTTGTCACGGGTATCGAGGCGATTGCGAGCTTAGTTTTGATAACCGTCAGTGCCAAATATCCTCGCTCGCACAAGTGCCTTGTCGCGAATTGTAGCAGAAAAGGCGTCCGCTGTCCGTCGCAAACACGACATCCTAGCTGGCCTTCGGTATCTCTCGCAATATACAACTTTTTACTCATCAAATGTACACACACTGCTTCGTTCGCGGTAAATGGTGCCTCGAGATGAAGTCACATTTTCTCTAGATATTGAATAATCTAATGTCGAGATTTTTCATTGCGTCGTCTATTACAATTTACATTACCAAAAAGACACCCATTTTTGGTTATTTTAATCCACTAAGACGACATTCCACGCGGTCAACACAACGACTAGCGACGTGCCTGGTTACCGATACCATAAAAATAATACACGTGACTGGCATATCAGAATTGTGATGTAACAATGAGCTCAAGACAGTTCTTTCCGTGAATGAAGTTTTATATTTCATTATTTTTAAATACCAGAGTTTAGAAGCTAAATTGAAACATTGGGAAAGCTGAAAATTCTTCATTCTCCACTTAGGTTGCCCTTGCATTGACGACCTTGTTGCGACCCATTTTTAAACCTTTCGCGACCCATACTTTAAGAACCACTGATCTATTGGATCAATTGATTTCAAATATCTATAAAACATTTTAGTTTTTTTTCACTGACTTATTTATTTTCTATAGATATCTAAATTTTCTGAAAATTTTTATAAAATCAACTTTTTAAAAACCCTCATTTCTCAGATAAAAAAAACCTTTGTGCTTTAATTTCATTGAGTTTATGTTTTTTTTTAAAAACCTACAACACAAATACCTGAAAACTCATTCTAACTCAAACAACATGATAGGCGGGGGACCCTTTCAAAATTTTTACTCGTAAAAGACTTTCCAGAAGGCCCTTTTCAAGTCTATTTATGATTAAAAGATGGAAGAAGTGACTAGAAGGCTACCGGACCCGATATTTTATCAAATTTTGCTGTCTTTTTAGATTAAAGTGAAACACTTTTTAATGCACATTACTTCTGTATTACTTGTCCACTAATGGTGCTTTTAGTGATTATTGTATATATTTGAGCATGGTCCTCGTGATGTGGTTAAAGTGTTAGACATAAGTATGATGGCTTTGTTGTTGAAAATCGTGGGATCGAATCCCATTTTCACCACCTCGCCCAAAGTGTAGGTAATGCCTTGTGAGGAAAAGGCATATAACTATGTCATACACAAAAAACTTCGGGTGTTTTTTATGATAAAACCTACTTACTGATAAACATTGTAATTGCAAATAGTTACAGCTGGAAATTCCATCTTGTCAACGAAATGTAGTTCTAGTTTTGTTGAAGTTGGAAATTTTTGATAATCAAGTAGATTGTTTATACTGATGTAAAGAGAATACGTTACCGATGCCAACAATACAATCAACCAAATCAATCTAAAAAGAGATTACATGGATTGTAAATTATAGACATTAAATGAATAAAACACAGTCAGACAAAATTATTCATTTAACTCGCTAAAACTCATAAATCGTTTTAATCATGGTAGCTAAAAATCCAGAACCTTGTCAAAATCAAATGGCCAAATGGTTAAAGCATTAGACTTACGGTAACTATGATGGCATCACTGGTTTTAAAAAAGTCCCGGGTTCAAATGCCATGCCACCACCTCACCCAGGATGTAATAAAATGGGCAGGCAGTGCCGAAATGGGAAGATTTTGTTCCTTCTAAACCACAGTAGCTGCTATGCTTGTACAGGACCTTGTTCCAAGCAAAAGGCATGATATGCAAAAAAAATCTTTTGAATTGGTAATTACATCATGAAACGAGCAGAATGAAATACATCAAGACTTCTCTGTCAGTTTGTCTGTTTATGTTTACTAATGCTGGACTTACTTTCCCATCCTGTATTTATGATGTAAAAACACAGAAAAAAAATGACTTTCACATATTTTTATTGGATAATATCATTAACAAATTTCAGTTTGGGTACCTTTTAAAACCCATCTTCTGAACAGCGCTAATCAGAATCGACATACGAGACCTAAAACTAAGACCTAAAGAGCGTATTAAATTGTCGAGTGAATCATCCTAACAATGCCAAATTTCCAGTTTTTTATAAATAAAGTCAAATCATGTTTTCATCATAATTAAAAGAGATAAATTTGATTAATCTAAAATTATAAAAAAAACTTTTTTATAACAAAACTAACCTTCTATACCAGCTAGCGTTTCTTCTGAACACATATCTGATGCCTTGCATTCCAACATCTTCTATGAATGAGTTTGTGAAAAAAGTAAACGATAGATTGGTGTACGCATTAATTCTTTCTGCGTTTGTTTCTTTTTTTATCATACTCTAGTTCATTTCTTTCATTCAACGGAACGTCGACCCAATTTCTTTCTTTTACGAACGTTACTCTGCCTCCTAAGTTATTGTTATTGTTTTTTTTCAATAAATTCATTATGCTCAAATATATCCTACATAACGGCCTGCAAGTTTTTATTTTAAAGAAAAGTTTGTTTGAAAAAAAAGGATTAATTATTTCGATACTCTGGAATTTGGTTGACTATATTATGAATAAATTTTTGATTTTGGAAAAATTGTGAAAAATCATGAATTTGAGTTTTCATTTTCAGCACTTAAAATATATCGATTGATATCACTGCACTTTTGAATGCAGTCTCGCTAGTTTAAATCCATATCTGTGAATCTAGATCCTATTATCACATGATCTAACATGGACTTATATTCTAATAAGATGATGCAGTCAAGTATTTATTTACCGTGATAATTACCTATCAACTTTCCTTTCTGAATAAAAATGAAAATTCTATGCTAATTGATTACTCCTATGAATAATATAAAATAAAATTTATTTTTAAATTCAAAATGTTTCTGCTATAAAAATGCTTCTACTTGATAATCGCTAGATGGATATACGTCTTCGGCCTAATAACTAACTAGTGTGTACCTTATCACATGTTTCATGCTAGCATGTCATTTCTCTCTTTCATTGGATCACAAAATAACAATACAATGTCAAGACCTATTTTCATGCTAGATTTAACCTCATAAATTGTACTTTTCTTCATGTCACGTTTTCAACAGGAAATGTTTTTGGTTTTGTATGACAGTTGTTGACAAAATCTAAATTAACCATGACTTTTTTTGTGACATATTTTCTCCTGAAAACTATACATTGTGTGCAAAAACTAAAAAGAGAAATTCATTCTAACGTCAAATTCTAGTCAGGTGTTCGTATCTTTCAAAATAGAGGGTTTAATTAAAGTACCAGTTTCACACCTGTGGTTTATCACATTACAATTGTAAATTAATTCCATCTAAACATATCTGAGATATTGGCATTTATTAAATTCGTGGGTGCTATGGCCTAGCGGGTGAAACATTTGGCTTAACTTTGTTGACATCTGCAAGTTACATGTCACAGGTTCAAATCCCATGCACACCACCTAGCACAGGTACTTCTAAAAGTAGTAGCCCCTTACCTGCTTGTACAAATCCTTGTTCAGAGCGAAAGGCATGAAATAAACATGGTACAAAAAAGCTAATATGCTCGCTAGGTTTTCTACAATGTAATCTTTGTTAAAATTCAATTTTAAACTTGGCCATCTCTATTTCATGTATAATAAATGCAGAAATGTAATTCAAACTGTATCTTTTTTACATCTTACAATCCTGAACAAGGCTTTACACTAGAAAGAAGTTGTCGTTACTATCTTCCCATTCTCAGTCATGCTGACTTGGTGAATTACATCTTTATTTAGGTGATCTAACTTGATAATCTCAATAGTCTTTCATTCCAATTTTTATCTTAATATCTGTAACTCTTGTCCTTCACCTAAATATATATATATATATATATGCGTACAATTTTTAACCCTTTTCTGCCTTGTTCTGTATTTGATACTTTTATCTAAATGCAATGGGGAGAAAGGGTTAGATTCAACCAGTAAGAAATGAAAGTTCAACTGTACAGAATCATGTTTGTTTTGTTTTTTACGTCATCTTCGCCATAATAATCGATTCCAATTTGAATCCTAGTCCAATTCACGTGATCGTAGATAGATCTATAAACAAGGTTGCATGACATTGTATTATTGTTGTGTAATCCGCATTTTTGGAAGAAAAATTCTTCTATGAAATATTAATGATTAGTCATCAACATCACAAGATCATTTTAAGCTCTTTTTATACTTATTGTCGTTTTCTTTAATCTCGCGCGTAATTCAGATCTAAGATAGAGCCACATACATTAATATTTCAATATGTCAACCTCATGACATTTTCACATTTTTTTCTCAATACTTTTTTTCCTATGATTTATTGTGCAATTATCTTCCATTATAGGATTAATTTGCCCTCGATTGTGTGGTTTCCAAAATACTGCCTTCACGATATTAGCTTACAAGTCATTTTACGGTTCACAGACTCAGGTCTTTGTAAAGAAAATATGATCCAATTTAGTCTTTTACTGCCCGGTAAATGATGCTACTTTTTCTATAAATGGTCGGCTTAATATCATGAAAATTGTTTCAATATGAACAAGGTGTAATATAGCCATTATCTTGCAAATTTTAGCATCATTTTTGTGGCATAATTTGGGGTGTTGACAAAAATTATGCACGGCACACTGATTTGATAATGCCAGAAATACTTGAAGGCCATTTTTATATGACACATTTATAACCCATTCACTCTTCACAAGGCTCTGCCCAAGCTGTCACTGTTAGATAATGAGCTACTATAGTTTGAAAGGACTGGAGTTTTTCCAGGTCAGCATTGCCTTCTTAATTTATTACATTCTGGGTGAGGTGGTGGGCATGGGGTTTGAACCCACGTTTTGTACTTGTGCCCAAATCTTTGGAATATTTCAATTGTCACTTATGTCTGATATTGCTGGTCGGATTTTTGTTTTCGACGTTGATATCAAGTTGATGATTGCAATGGCTGAGTCGTTAGAGCCATGTTCAGAGCAAATGCATATGAATATGTTCAAAAACAATTAACTGCACATTTAAGATCTTGCATTTCAATGTTTATTTTGTCTATATCTACCATCTGTTTTTTTTTTTTAGGGCTAATAATAACTGGTTTGCACTTTGTTGAATTAGCGAGATTCTGCTCAGTTCACACACTGTAACTCAAGTCTCATTAATGCTTGCAGGCCTCAACCCTAAAGCCGTATCAAACTATGTAAATTAGTAAGAAATATTTGCTAAATATCAGATTAACATTAAATTTTTTATTTCAGGGAAAAGCAACAGCTTCTACTTCATCTCCACTTCCGATATTTAACTTGGATGAAACCATAGAAAAGGCTCAGGTACAAATTCTTAATAGATTTGTTTCATATACCGGTACATATTTAATGTTTATTATAGATTAATAATAGATCAATTTCTAACAAGGCAGAAGCATACTTTATTCCAGAAACACGTTGAAAATATCTGGACGAAACGTAAATAAATGAAAGTTTGAGAACCACTACTATAGAGGTTCCTATATAACACAAAATTCATTTTTATTTGAATTGTGTATTAACAAACTCACTTTGTCATAATTTGGTGGTGGAGGACTAGTGGTTATTAATAAAGTGTTAGACTTTGCTATGATGGCGTCACAGATTAAAATCTTGGGTTCAAATCCCATCCCCACCACTGTAGCCAGGATGTAAAGCGTTAGACTTAGCTATGATGGCGTCACAGATTAAAATCTTGGGTTCAAATCCCATCCCCATCACTGTAGCCAGGATGTAAAGCGTTAGACTTAGCTATGATGGTGTCACAGATTAAAATCTTGGGTTCAAATCCCATCCCCACCACTGTAGCCAGGATGTAATACATTGGTCAGGCAATACCGGACAGAAAAGTTTCCGGCTTTTCAAACTAATATTATCTTTTTACCTGGCATTGCCTGCTTCTGCAGAGCCTTGTTCAGAGCAGCCATTGTAAAAAAACAATTGAAATTTGCAATCAATTTACACTGGCACAATGTTATATTTTGTTCATTATACTCTCACAGCTAACATATAGTTTCATAAAGTAAGTTTACATTTTACTAACAATTTAAAATATTATTACAGTCAAATGATGGACAAATAACAACTTCAGGTGGTGCTGATTTACCCGCAAATGTTTCTCATGTGCCTGCCAGTGATGCTAGCGATGATGAAACAGATTATCATGAAGATAGCGACACAGGTTGGTATCTTTAGGTATTGCTTTTCATTGTTGGACACGTAGTGGACATAACGAATAACGATCATTTCAATATTATGTTGTTCGCTTTTCTCTTTGATTACTTGACCAATTGCTTTGAAATTTTCATTGGGTAAAGATTATATTTTTTGCTAGGACGTCATCAAAATTATGTGGGCTATGTGTCCTTATATTTGAGCATAGCTCTCTTATTAATATTTTGGTAGTTTTTGGCATTTTTGTAGTAGATTTTTGATTTTTTATGCAAATGTTCTCAATAATTTGTAGGCACGATGGACTATTGGTTAAGATATCTATGGTTGCTTGCAAAGAGCCTCGTTCGAAGCGTATGGGAGAATGTATTATGCCATCAGATAAACACTTCTTTCTTTCAATTTTGATTTGATTTTCAGACATAGAAGACAATGCAACCATTGCAGCTTTCACAAATCAGAAAGGCGATTTAGTATCAGAAGATGTTTATGAAGCTGATACGATCGAGTTGACAAGTGGAAGAAGTTCTCAAGTCTCCGCTGATACTAATGATAAAAACAAGGATTCTGTGAAACTTAATATCGATAATATTTCTGATAGTGACACTGAAGATGAAGAAATGTCTATGATAAAAGATGTAAGAATTTGTTTTTTTTTTCATGAAAATGCAATGACGCTTGGCGCATCATTGTAAGCCTTACACTTCTGAGTACCCCATTGTGGGTTATCCGGCACAAATCTCACAGTGATAATTATGTGAGATAGAATTGCTGTACTCCTCATTGCTATGGTTTATGTAACACAAGTCAGTTATAGCTTCCTTCACAATCAATACCATGCTTCTGCAAGTGACTAGGTTGCTATTTCCGTATCCCACTGAAACCTGCTTGAAACCGGTCTGGAGGCTGTGATTTGCCTGACGATTAAGCCATCTTGTCGGCTTTCCCTTTCCCCTGGGATAGATATGAAAATTATATCCTTATTATGGTTTGCATTGGAGTGTACCAGACGTCGCCAAAATCAATTCTTGCTATTAATTTTTGCATATTGTCGGATTTTCATCAGTTTGCACTCTGCAGCATCATGTACATGAGAAGTTTTAATACAGCATTGCAGGTGTATTTTAAATACAGCTGGGGCAATACAGTATTTTTCTTTGTGTGGACTTGATGCTGGAGGATGTTGAAGCCTGTAACTGACCATTGCTTACGTGAACCGTCCTATTATGGCTAGGTTACCAGCAATCTATTCACACATATCTTTCAACAAAATTAGAACTTACACATATGGTAATCAAAGGTACAATTCCAAGCATTTTCCTAACAGTTGTGCAATGCGCCAGTAATCGAGCCTGTATGTACGGACATTCAAAATGTTGTTCAATATCAAAGTCATTTGCCATTACCTGCTTGTGCATTATTGTATACAATGAAAACTAGCCACGCATATGCCATGACCATAAAGTAGGCCTGCAAAACACACAGCCCGCTGGATACTTCTGTGCGGCCCGCGGATGATTTGGGAGCACGCCACTTCTTGGGTCTAACAAACAAAGTCGGCATTGTTATGCAAGCGCGCCGCTACTCTGATCATAATCGAAATCGTGATATTTATGTTTTGCACTAGTTTTAATAAATATCGATCTTTGTGTGAAATAGGTGTGCCCTTCGCGACCCCTAAAATTTGTCGCTCGACCCCTTCCCCCCCAAATTGGGAAACCCTGATTTAGATATCTCAGTATTCAGACTGAATCACGCTTAAAACAATATCTGTATACAATCTCACACCCATTAGTGCATATTAGCAACCTATTGATAGCCCCATTATTTTTAAGCGGTTTATGAAACTGAAGTTTGTTTTTTGATTCAAATTTAGAACTTAAAAAACAATTCCTTCATTTATGAATGGTGCAAAAATTCTCGCACAAAAGATTTTGCTATTTACTGTAAAATTTCAAATAAATTGGAGCAGATTTTGTAGAAAAATGTAATTTAACAGTCAAAAAAGCGCAACATAAGGAATTTTCTTTGCTACTAAACGGATTGTTTGTCTAGCCCAGGGCTACTTAACTATTTTCACCAAAGGGTTGTTTGGGAAAATTCAAAATTATCGGGGTCGGACATTATAGAAAATTTATTTCATTAAATAAACGAAACTTCAAATGCAATATTAAATTAAATACAAGAGTAATGAATAGCTCGCAAATATGGACACAAATGTCGCATTGGTACCAGTACGACACACTGTGTAAGTATGTAAATGGTATCAAAAATCATCTAAAACTATAAAACGATGCTTATGCTGCCAAAATAAACAAGCAGACGCGGTCCAAATTAAATAGTCGAAAGGTCCAGATTCGGACCGCGGTCCGCCAGTTGAGTGGCCCTGGTCTAGCCTACAAGGAAATATCCAATAATGGTAGATAGGACTAAATAAATTGTCATACATATATTTGGGACGATTTTACAAAACTGAACCTGAGTAAAATATTTTCCTGCAGTCAGTTTATACTGCAACACGCAATACCTAATTCTAATAAAAAAGAAATATTGAAAATTAAGGGTAGGTTTTCAAGGTAGATGAACCACTAAATACATATTTGCCATCTCATATGCAAAAATACTGTACCTTGTTTTTTACTCAAGAAAATAAGATTCTCCATATTTTTAAGCTCCACGGTAATGAAAGTGTTTCATCAAATTTAACTGTTTCACAATAATATTTTGATTTGTGATTCATCTTGTGAAATATGTATGTGGCAAAGTTTGCGGCCCACCGTGCCTTCAGATTTATGCTTGCGGCCCTCGTGGTAATTTGAGTTGTGCAGGCCTGCCACAAAGCATTCATTTTTTCATATGTTTATTTATTGTTTTCAGCTGGATACACTTCAAACACAGATGTTCTCGATTCCATCTAACAAGAATAAGACATCTCCATGTCCTGAAATTGACATTCCTGGACCATCCTCTAAAGCAGAGAATCCAGCTGGTTCTACTCATTCCTCTGACACTGATGATGAAGCCATTTTATCTGTTAACTTGGATTCTCTTGCATCCGAAGGCATGGAGGAAGAAGCTGGAGGTGTTAAAGATGTTGAACAGGATAATAATGAATCAAATGATGATTCTTCTTCTCCAGTAATGCGTGATGCATTTGATGACTTATGCACCCAAGGATTCTCAGGAGGTGCATCACGGAATATGGAAGACACTTTAGGCATGATGGAAACACAAGGTTTTGGTGCCAATCTTGTTTCAGAGGAAGATGAGGATGCAGAAGATGAAGGAATGGTAGATTCTATGATCTTCAACATGGCTACACAAGCATTTCCAGGATGCATGAAAAGCCCTAAGTCTGCAACAAAATTATCTGCAAAGGAGCGAGATGTTCCAAAGCAGGAGCATATGCCAGATGTAGGAGATTCTATTATTCAAGATTTAGGAGAATCTACAATACCTTTAGAGGAAGATGAAAATATGGAAATTTCAACTAAAGATAGATTAGATGATTCTATACAACCTAACGATTCTTTATTGTTACAGAGCTCTACTATCAGTGCAGATGAAAACTCCGGATTTAGTGCGGCCGTTATTAAAAATGAACAGAGTGGTCTTTCGGAAGTTACAATAGACACAGAACCCTTCGATACCATACCCCTAGTTACTAAAGAAAAAAATAAACCGCAAAACGACAGCGATGATGTTACTCTACCTTTAGTTAGGTCAAATGAGACGACTGTGGATGCATCCATGTACACAGAGCTAACACTTGATCCTACATCGTCTGTGGATCAAGCAGATAGTGATGGAAATGAAAATCTGTTGAATCGCACTCTTAATGCATCTTCTAACAGAGAAAGCGTTGCATGTACTGCGACGACCAATGAAGCGAATCAGAAAATAAACAAGGAAAACAGTTATAATGGAGATACCATTGTTCCATCAACAAACGTTAATGTTCCTGATTCTGAGAATGATGATTTTCTTATACCAAAGGAGAATTCAAAACAGAATAATAATGAAGGCACCATATTACCTGAAGCTACTTTGCAGATTAATCTCCCACCAAAGAAAGATGACTCTAACGAGTCCGAAATACAATCAAGTTTTCATAAAGATCAATTGTTGGAAGAAGAGAATATTGATGACCAAGAAACACAAGTTTATGATTTTGATGATCTTGATGCCACTGAAAACGATGAAATTAAAGGTGTTTCGCCTTCAGATAAAATAGAAGACAATGAATGCGAAACTCAGGTTTATGAAATGGATGTAGATATGTCTGAAAATATTGCGGCATCAACTTCTTCTGAGATAGGCCAACAAGGAACTAAAAGTACAGATTTGCAATCTTCTGAAGCTGAACCAGCAAATGTTCATTCCAATGTAAATTTACCTTCAAATGTTTCAAAAAAATATACGAATAGCGATACCGATCACACAGTTTTCACGAGTGATCAGGATATTCAGGGCAATTCAAGAGATTTATCTGATAGTGTGGTAATAGATGAGAATAAAAATGTTGTCAAAGAAAGTTTTCATCTTAAGCGAGATTATAAAGACGGAAGTACAAATGTAGAAGTTGAAAATTCGACTTCTTTATTGATCGAGGAACCTGTTGTTGACAAAAATCTGGTTCTACATGGAAGGAAGATGGATTCTGCTAACTGTCATAGTCAACAAGATAACGACGAAGCTATGGCTGCGACGCAGTCATATATTTGCCCTTCTAATTCTGTACTTGAAAAATTGTCATCAGTTCCCATTGTAATGAATAAAGAGGAATGTGAAAATGATATTACGCCGACACAATCTCATGCTATAATACAGACTACCAGCTTTAAATCAAAAAATTTAGAAAATTCTGAGGAAATTGAGCCGACTCAAAGGTACATTAAAAACAACCCATCTCAAAAAGATGACATTACTGAAGAAAAAAACATAAATCTTCATCGTATAGTAAAACAAAATGATCAAATGGAAACCCAATCATATGTTTTACAACCATCATCTTACTCAGATGATATCAATCAGGAATCACATTCTGAGCTCTACAATGTCTTACATGCTGTTGAGGATGTTGGAACAAAATCGGCAATTAAACCTGTCACCACTAATAATAAAACTAAACCCAAAATTAGCAGAAGACAGAATTCTAGAAGTGCTTCATCGACCTTGACAATAGATGCTCCTATAGAACCTGTACGGAAATCGAGAAGGACTTCACGAAAAGATTACGCTAGTATAGCGAAAGGAAAAGAAGATAATACTGAAACATTGTCTTCTTTGAAAGAAGAAAAAAAGACAAAGAAATCTCTCAAATCTGATTCGAAAAAGAAAACTGAAATGAAGGCAACTGAAAAACTATCTACATCCATGACCGTTTCCGAGAACACTACGTTGACATCTGTTGAAGATGACAGTTCAGTGAATCCAAAAACAAGAACTACCAGAAAGTCACAGTCTAAAAGAACGGAATCAAAAGAAAAAGATGAAGTGATATTGAACAATAATGAACCGGAAAATACTGAAAATCGAAAATACAGTCAGGATGCCATCAAATCAAAGACAGACTCAATTGAGCAACCGTCTCCATCTTTGCCAGTTTCTGAAAACACTGCATCGACTGAATTTACAGAAAGCATCAGTTTTGTGGAACCTATGACAAGAACCACAAGAAAGTCACGTTCAAACACAATAAAATCAAAAGAAAAGAATGATGTGATATTGAACAACAACTCAAACGAGCAATCATCAACATCTTCGCCAGTTTCTGAAAATGCTGCACCGACTGAATTTACTGAAAGTAGCAGTTTTATGGAACCTAGGACAAGAACAACCAAAAATTCACGCTCCAAAATAAACTCCAAACGCAGCAATGAGGTGCTGTTGAATGGGAATCAACTAGAAAGTATTGGAGGTGGCAAATTCAGTAAGAACTCAGAACTAGTTTCAATAGAAAAGCCATCTTCGTCCTTTTCAATTTCTGAGGATGCTGTTGTGACCGAATTTACTGAAAATAGCAGATCAGGGAACCTCAAAACTGAAAGTTCAAAAAAAGGTAACGAACCTAACCATAGTCGAACAAATGAAAATGCTCAAGTGAAGTCGAGTGTTGCAAACATTTCGACCAAAAGCAGTAGAAAAACAAGGAATAAAGTAGATGAAATCAAAGAAAACATTAATGCTAATTTACCAACATCTTCAAAAGTCATTAAGGAAAAAACAACTCGGGCAACAAGAATTCAAAATAAAGTTGCTGGAGTAGTTTCAGAAAACAACATAGAGGATGAAAATGGCGACATACATATAGAGGAGAAAGAGGCACCAGGATGTAGCAACATCACTGAAAAAGGTAATCACATACAAACTAATACTATATTATAGCAACGGGAATAAGTCTCACAGTTACACTCGATTCTGCATGACCGTGGTGGTTACCAAGGGTCAGTGCTTAGCCCTGTTTTATTCATTGTGTATATGTAGATATTGTAGGATGACTGGAAATGGTAAAAAAACAGATTCCATTTCATAACCGGCGGAAATTTTAACTTATAACTAGTAGTGAGTTGCCTTAATTAACAGTCAATTTATTTATATCTTAACAATCACCCAGTCTGAGCCCAGGAAAGTTTACATTTAACTCCCAAATCCGAACAAGAGAGAATTTTTGGTTTCAACTCCCGGCTCTGGTTAAAAAAAGTTTTGATTTGTATGCAAGCTTTCCTTATTAGACTGTTAAGAAGAACTCTTGGTAAACTTGATGCTTTTTAATTTCTGTAGAGAATTTTGACTTCTTTTATTACCATTGTGAGAATTTTGATAACCAACTTCAACCAGCGGGAAATTCAGAATTTTGAATATCAACTCCTTCACGGTTAAAATTTGACATATCGTGTTAAAACATTGATTATACAATTTAGTCTTTAATTCAGTTTACTAGGCATTAAAATCTAATAGTTAATAAGCGGTGCACTTGCACAAATGATAACCCACAGTTTAGCCTTCAGTTCAATTTACAAAGCAAAATCTAATAGTTAAATGGTGCATGTGCGCAGATGGTAAATTCTATTTTTAAATGTTTCAGATGCTTTTGAGGCTATGACAACAAAACAAACCAGAAATACAAGAGCTTCAAAAAGTCATCATATGGTTGATGAAGTACCTAGCTCTTCTAACAGAAGAATAAGCGCAAGAGCAAAGAAAAAACAGGATGATGTCACTGTTAAACAAGAGCGTGTTACCAGGTAAATGTTATCTTGCTTATAGATCGATACAACATCTTGATACAACCTACCGGTATGTGTACTTTTTTGGCCTTGCATCTTAGACAGTGTAAGGTACAAGCCCCCAAATCGTGGGTTGTGAATCAGGTAGAGTCATCTTAGTCAGGTCCAATACCTACTTAATTTTGAAGTTTGAGACACTGCATTCAATAACATATTGAATTCATAGTACATTTCCCAAATGAATTTCATTGACAATGATCAAACCAACGCTATTTTGAAAACTCAAACCAGGGTTCAATCATGTAATGACAACATTTTCATTTGCATCAACATGAGGCATTTTAAGTTACTGCTGCAACAAGCTTGTGTGAATATTCAAGTTTTTCAAAACAACATTCATTGGTGTGGTATATTGTATCTCATTGCATTTTTCTGCTATTTGATATACTTTCTGAAAATTGAATTTTGGCTATCGAGTCTGGTTTAAGTCATTTTGTTAACATGACTCAAGTTTCCTGTGAGTGGTTTTAATTCTTATGATATAACAAGTAATATTCTTCAGAGGCACAACATTAACTGTATCACTGATAGAAACTTGATAACTAACCAAAACCCTTACTTACCATTGTAAATCAGTTTCTTTAAATAGTTGAAAGCTATATCAATAATGTGAAAGAAGGGTTAACTCAGGAGGTATTACAATATAATATGCCTATTTTAACTGCTAAACCACTACAAATTGAACTAGATGGTGAATTCTTTCGCTTTAATATTTGTAGATCAAATCTTTCTATTCAACTTATTGCGGCTAAAGGAGTATTCTACTAATACCACCGTTGTGTGGTATTTACTCGACAAAGTACAAAGTTTTGCATTATTCATTTTGTTTATCTCTGCATAAGGTTTACCTATTTGTTTGTTTTTTGGTTATGGATTATTTCCGAAGTATAGTTCGACCGTAGCTTCGAATTTTGGAATCTTATGGAGAAAAAAGTCTCAATTTTTGTTATCAGTAACATTTCAAGGATCTATATAAGGAGTATTGTTGTATACAATAGCCATTCCAAGGACCGTAGTTCCCATATTTATGTACCATTGAGTAATACCTCTGGTGGGAAGCCAGAGCCATGGAGTTATGATATTTTGTTGCAGCTGGAACCAAGCATACCATAAAACTGGAGCCAACTCTACCAGAAATGTTAGTGGCTTCAGTTCCTAAACATCCATTTCTTTTACATTTAGATTTTTTTTTAATACTCCAAACAAATAATAAAATCCTTTTTAATTTATAATTTTTTTTTTCAATTTAATTTCTAATATTAGTTTGAAAGCTTCAGGAAAGATTCGTATATTGAAAAGTTGAAATTTAAAACTTGAAACTTCTATTTCATAGTTATGGGTCCAGCCTCTGCAAAACTGCATTTGTGCTGATGCACAAGTTAAACATCCTGGCAAATGAACCTTATGGAGGCCTATGGCAACCAGATGCGTTTTTATAACTCAAGAATCAGAATACTATTTAATTTCTATATATAGCAATGTTACTGCTGAATCAACCACATCTTCAATAAATTTGCCTCCTGAACCTGCTGCATCTGCAAAACCTGTTGTTGGAAAAAGAAAACGTAGAAAAGCTTCAATGTCTTCTAATTCATCTACCTCTACAACATCTTCAGCAACAAGATCACAAAGAAATTCTGGTTTGTTCTAAATATTTTGCAATTGATCAGCTCACAATTGAACTTTTTGAATTTGAACTTTTTTGACGTTTGTTTGCCTGGCAAAGTTTAGTTCACTTGAGATAGGGGTTGAACCCATGAACCCATCCTCTTCCTGAACTTCAAAACTATCTAACAGGGAGATCATAAATAAATGTAACCCACTTGACCCATGTTATTTGGAACATATTTTTTGCAAAGCATTCTAGATTACTCAAACCTTATAATACAATCATACACAAAAAAAGTTTCGAGTGATGAATAAAGTTTCTTCATTTCATAGAAGTAATCAAGAAATTTATGGTTTCTATTTTTTGGGTCACTTTATACTTCTTTTTTCTTATGTTGTTATTGCTATTCTGACTACTATCTCTATGCTTGGTCTATCTCAAACATTTTAATCTTTTTTAGCTAAAAAGGTGAAATCAGAAGCGTCAGTGGATTCCGATCTTCAACATGCTGTTGCAATGGCTCTCAGACCTAAAAAATTAAAACCTAAAGTGATGTTTACAGGTTAGCTTCTGTCTCTTATCTAGATTTATTTACATTTAAGAATTGTTGTTATTTCACTTGATTGAATTCTGTTTGATTACCGTAGTCATCAGAGCTATTTTTTCTATATTACACTTATTCACGCCACTGATATTTAACGATATGCGAGTACCTGATTATTCAATGGACCAGAGTTTTTTCTGATTCGACACTGTCTACTCAGTTTATTACACCCTGAGTGACGTGGAATTTGAACCCAAGGTTAAGTCTCGCTTCAACTGATATGCTATTGCGCTCACAGGATCACATTCTGTCGTATTAGTGATTAGAACTATTAAAGTTGGAAGTACGAAAATGTCTGATGTTTTATTCAATCTTTTCATCAAGTAATTAAACAAGGTAATATAGGTAATATTATATATAAAATAAGTAATTTTCCTGCGGAAGGGAAGTCGTGGGAAACTAAGTTGGTTATCATTGGCACTCAAGGATATTAGAATACGAGAACCAGTCCCAGATGATTGCCAGAATGTGTCTTTTCACTTTACTGAAAACACATTACATGGTTAAAAATATGGTTTTCATTTTCAGTCTTCTCTAATTGAAAATCTTTTTTCCAAATGTTATTTTCTTCATCTTTCGTTTGTCAGGTGTTTTGGACAATGTTGCAGAAGGCATTGTTGTCAGTCTCGGAGGAATTCTTGTCACAGATATCAGTGAATGTACCCACCTTGTTACAGATAAAATGAGAAGAACGATCAAATTTTTATGTGCTCTTACAAAAGGATTACATATTGTAACATTAGAATGGTTGCGATCATCTTCACAACAACAAAGGTAGACGTTTTTTTATTTTAGCTATTTCTATTTTTAGAATAGGACAGGATTTTCATATTAATACCATAGGAGGGAAAATGGGTTTGAAACGTCTTAATCATGAACCACAACCTTTCATCTGGCTACCAGTCTATAACGGGTATTAGAATAGTTAGCCAGTTATTTGTTTCAGATGCATGGAAATAAGAAAGCCGTAACTGACCAGCGTTTACTTGAACATCACGCGATGGTGAAGAGCCCAGCAATTCTCTTGCACATAATAATTCCCTACAGGATTTGAATCAGTGCAAGGTAATCATAGGTGCAATGGCAAACGTATTCCCAACAACGTAGCATGATGTGCCAACCTATTATTCCCACATTTCATTCACTCCTTTGCAAACTTGAAGTGAAACTAACCCCCATTCCATTATATTTTTTAATTTTGCCAAATATATTGACTCATGGAGCAAAGAAGGGACACCCTGAAGTATGCGCACCAAGATGGCGCACAACCTGAACTAAGGTTGTGTACCAGCTTATGGTTCAGGTTATGCAACATCTTGGTGCGCATACTTCAGGAGTACCCAAAATAATTGTAAGAAGGAATTTGAAAGCCCAGTTGCTGGTATAGACATCTAGATTGACTGTGTTGAATTAACATCACTACAGTTAAATCATGCATCAATACTAAGTTTTTATGACTCACAAATAGACAATCATCACTGTAGCTAGAGCAATGTATCATTTATAATGCGACAGTGACAAGTGTAATCCTAACAATGTTGCGATATGCAACAGTTATTTGGTAATGGTAATGAATAACTTGAATTTAAAAAACGGAAGCTCAAAGTTGTTATAAAATGTCATGATAACAGGAAATGTAGCGCAATAATGCCCGTTTCCAGTCATGAAGGGGTGTCAGGGACCAATAAACAGCCTACCAACTCGTATTTTGCTACTAGCGAGCCTGTTCATGGGGCTTAATTAACTTGCAGTGTAGTATTTTTCATGTTTTTAAGTTACTGATGACGTGTTTTGGTAATGCTTGCTATAATGTTATCATGATTTTATATGTTTAAGGTCGAATATGATCAACAATATTTTGGCTAATCAGAGTCTTGTAACCTGTAGTTACTAGTTGTACTGTATCTTAAAGGTGTTGCATTATTTGTATGAATCTAACTAGAATATTTCATTTTGATTCGTTTAGATTTCTACCCGAAGAAGATTTTGAATTGAAGGAAGATTTCCAACTGCCAAATGGTGAATTTCTGCAAGAAAAATACAAATTCAAGCTAGGAGAAACTTTAAAAAAGCAAGAGAGAGTGAATTCCCACTGTTTCATAATTTCAACGTTTTTGTTGATGCGAAATGTGTCTCCACCACCCGATCAAATGCATCAAGTTTTATTATGTGCGGGGGCTAAAATCCTACCAAGAATGCCTTCGTCTGGCAGGGAAGAAATAACTCCGAATACAGTGATCATTGCGACACCCTGACAAAAAAGCATGTGCAAATGCAGTAAAAGCAGGTTGCCGCGTCGTCACAAACGAATTTGTACTGACTGGCATTCTACGACACAGCGTCGAATTTGTAGAACACGAACTTTTCGATTCTTGCTCTAATCGTAATGTTGCAGTTTCGAATATTAAGAACGAGATCTCTAATTACGCTGAATCAGATTCTAACTTTGAAACTATGATTTCACCAACTAATGGTGAGACATCGTCCAGCAATACTGGAGCAAGATCTAATGACCTTGAAAAATCATCATCTACTACCACAGGAAAAAGATCATCTCGAAGGTCAAAAAAGAAAACTTATTCGTGAGATCAAATGCTGTTGTGTTTTTGACTTCGTTTTAGCAATTTTAATGTATGTTTTCATCATCTTCTGCAAAAATGGATTTACCATTTTAGAAGCATTTTTCCAACGATATTTCCACATCTTTAAATGGCAATCATCCAATATTTTAAAAATTTTTGAATTCAGAAGTTAGCTTTAGTTTGTTCATTTCTTCCACTATTTTTAATCCTTTTTTTCAACTCACCATTACTCTGTTTGTTTATATGGGCCAAATGCACTGCATCTTAACACAATAACACTGCCAATAGCTTTGTACATTTTTTTCAATAAATATTTCATTTGTTATTTAGCGGCCTCAACACAGCTATTCGATAGAGGGGAGAGTGGATAAAGCCTCTTAAATCGTGTTTTAACAAGGCGTTCTTCGTTGGTTCCGTTACCAGCGCTGCTGGTCGTGTACCGCAATAGATTACCACTTAACTAATGTGGATTTTGATAGTAAATGTAGCTGCAACCGACAAGTGGTTGTTACCTTAACCACCCTGCATCGTCGACGACTGGTACTACTCTCGCGCCGCGCATAATCGTCCGCTTAAGGCTTTGAACCAGGGGTAGTGCGCTTGAATTACCAGAATCCGATTGGTCACACGAACTGCGAACAAAGCTCTTTAGAAGAACTGGGCTAAGCCATTGCTTTCTGTCATGAGGTCTACCGTAATCGTGGGTGCGGTACCGTATTGGTCATTGTTGTATCTGAACATGTTAGCAAAGTTGTTAAGCGTAGGAATACAGATGTATGTAAATTTTCAATCGCTTCTAATGAACTTCTCGTTAGACGCCACTCTGCCATATGGACAGCTTGTTTAAATCTTTAGACAGATTCATGCGATGTGATGGCAGGTGTGCCGAACTGAAGTGCGACCCGCCAATCGACGAACAGGATATGTTATATATTATGTTACGTACATGTTACGATATATCGACGGTTGCAATCAAAATTCCAGCAGCATTCACATTTTTTTAAGTTATCATTTTATTTACTCCCTCGAGTGATCCATATCAGCGTCCGCACGGCCACAAAAATTCCCCACTCTCGTTACTTTTGCAGGTGATATCCCATTATACCGAATTCCTAAGTTTGCAGCTTTGTTTACGTTTCCGGGTTTTATCCGTCTGTAAACAACTTCTGTATTTTCATTATGACGCATTTGTTAAAATAAAATTGTTTATTGCTTCGAGTGTATACTACTATACTGTATCTATTATCTACCCACGTAACACGGAAGTTGCACAGGCAGACGTAGGCCTACTCGCTGCGTACAGGTTGCCCCGTGCATGAAGAAACAACGCATTTCTATTTTAAAGTTCACTATATATACTGGTGTCGACTAGTTTGTACTGGGCTAAGCAGTTAACACTCGTTTGGCCCATGGTGGACTAAAATTTTAAAGTGTTGGCCAACGCAAAAATGTTCTATAATCTGAACAGCTTTTCGAAAAGTAATCAGCTTTATAAGAGAAAGCGATGTGGTTAGAAACATTTCTGGCAGGACTAGCCGTTAGAACAGGTTCAAAACGGTTTTCATAGATAGAACGTGACAGGATTTTCTAACCGTCCGTTTGCGTAACTGCGTTGGCCCGGTATTTTTTATTGGTAGGTATACCGTTCGGAATACCGATAAACCAGTCTAAGCGACATCGTTTCCTGAACTATTAAATTCGGTATTTCATATCTATGTATGGTCGGAGGATAAAGAGATATAGCCTAATCATACGGCGGATCACTGCCTCTCTGTTAGCTCCAAAAAGTTCAGAAGTCATCTCGCCCATAGTTTTGTTAGTCCTATCGCAATGAGTGTTTCCCGAGCATCGATTTCCTTGTTTATGTCCACAACAATGACCAATCGTCAATAAGTCAACGATGACTTAACAATTGCAATTTTTGCAGTCGCTCAAACACTTCTTTTGCTCAGACAGATACTTAGGAATGGTTGTGGGCCTAAACTTTGTCTCGTTTTCAATGTTTTGCGTGTTATTTATCAATTTTCAGTTGTGTTTCCTAAAAATGGTTGAAGGTAAAATACTCTTAATTGTCATTATATTTCCCGAGGGCCGAGAGTGTAGTTGCAATAATCAAGAATTGATCCAAAAACGTTGCAATAGACAAGCATAAAATCAGCCGCATGTGATTAATGCAATCCAGTTTGTAATCGCCGACTCTCCAGAACACTCTCAACATAAACGCCAAAAATTTTGCGCCAAATGTAAATTATGGGGAGAAGTTTTCAGAGCTCAAGAGTCGTGGAAACGACCATGAAATAAATTCGGTTCAGTTGACATATCATTAGAAGTAAAACATATAAGGACGTTTACCAATAATATGAAATTTTGGTTTGTAGCACTTCTGTCACTCGTACAATTTTCCATTATCTACTTCGCGTGACACAGAAGAGTTTTCTGTCTTGTGACGAATGAAATACTCTGTGTGAAATTCATTGAATATGCTATAATTACATGGTTACAGTATGTTTTCGCATCACAAAAGAAAACTTGTACGTTATTGAAATAGCAGTTTTATTGTTAGTTGAACAAAGATGGGTAATAAACGTATGCTTTCCTATTTCTAGGTTATATTGTAAAACGTGTCGTGCATTAAGGAATACAGTCCTATGCAAGTGGAAAATGATGGATGTAGAATAGCGTTTTTGTGTTGTTTTCGAGCATGATGCCATGAGTGTGGTCGACTAATTTCTAAATACCATAAAGCGCAACCTTAGTCGAAAAAGATTCCATGTTAAAATCATTATATATATCTATAAAACCTAGCATAGGTCTACGCTGCTAGACTGTATAAAACAGTCACTGTGCAGTCATTTACACCCTTAGTGGCATTAAATTCAAAGGATTGATATTTAAAATATAAATATGAGTAGATATTCCCCCTATATTCACAAAGTATGGCGAAAGAGAGTTAATGTGTTATCATCACGACAATAGGACTTTAGGATGTGGTTTAATATACATGTAAAACTTGTATGCATTGCACAACTTCTATTTTAACTTTGTTCCATATGTTTTCTGTGATTTGGTGGATTTTATTAAAAGTATAAAGATCATATTACTGCTTTCAAATTTCCAAATAGCCTGTGAAATACATAGGAGGTCTAGCAGGATTTGGAGCCATACAAATACCGTTACTCGCCTGGAGTAATGACTACCGGTATGAGTCATACACGCTGTGATCAGCACGCTGCACCGTGATACTAAACGAAATACAAAGCTTCTTTATTTCCTTTACTAGATTATTACTTTTATTTAGCTAAAGCACCTGAATCAGCATTCAAATAACTCTAGACTAGACCAGAGAGTGTCCTCTTCGACGCAACTCCAACATGGCGTTGATGTTATTCGGGACAATAGCGATACTTGTTCTGAGTAAGTCTTTCTTTATATTTGTTACATTCCCGAATAATGAATTAACTAGCCCCGAAATTAATTTTTAGAATGGATCGTGATTGAATACCGACTATGTCACTCAAACACATCTTTTACATGCTATATATATATATTTATATATATATATATATATATTGTACGTCGTTTTTACCTGGAAACCATAATTACCAAATTTAATATGTTATTACAGCAAAAGTACTAATGCAATGTTAGGTCATTTCACGTTTTCAAAAAAAAAATTTCAATATTTTTTCTGTATTCTAGTTTCAACGACACTGTCGCAGGAGCATAACTTAAAGCCACCGTATTTTGCGACCGGGTAAGAAAGAATATTTCTATGTACTTGACATAAAATACTCATTATTTTTCCGCCAATTTCGATTATAATCAATCCTTTATTCGTACATTCCTACATTCGAACTCGCAGCTCTAGTAAAAGTTTACTGTTGCTGATGTAATTTACTACAGTGGGGAGCTTGATTTGTAACTTTGATATGAATAATCAGATTTCTGTGTAGGTCACATTGACTACTTATATACGGCTGTGAGTTATTCGGCTTCGTGCCCATTAATTTGATAATTTGTCTCTTGTATTTTATAAACTTAACATGCATTTCTGTTTACGTTCTCTAGCAAGCCCCCGATTCTTCAAGCTGAAAACGCGACTGCACAAAAGGATGATAAACTTCACATTTTCTCGATATGTCCGGATAACTTCGCAGCTTGCCTGAAAGGATGCCCGTATAATATATCTCGTGTTAGACGGTGTATTACTTGCAATTGCCAAGGTAGTCCACTCTATTTCATCTACTTAAATTTGATCGATGCATCAATATGACATCGTAATTTTGTTTTGATGATCTCATGGCTATTGCAATGATTGAAATTCCTAACCTATAATTGACAACTGAAGAAGGCGCATTGGTAAAGAATAATTTTAGGAAATGAGGGTAAATAAGATGCATTTATTAGCAATAGATCTTCAGCCAACTGAATCTCCGGGAAACTGATAAAAACGTTAAAACATCCCGTATTCGGTAATCACTCAAATTTTGACTTTTTGGATTTTGACTATTTTGAAGGAAAGAGTGCCGCAAGACATTATCAATATTGTAGAAATGTTCATTTGTAGTCATTTGGGTATCGAAACCCCTTACTGTGCAACCCACCACTTGTTTTATTTACATCTCAATTCTAGGGATTCCATCGGTTGGAAGTGGAGGAATGTCGCATGGTCTTAACTTTACAGGAACAAAAATGAACATGAGTGTTAGTGGCCAACAACCAAAATTTGTTCGCAAGATTGCGGTTGGACCTGTCACCCTATTCATTGGTAGTTACGATTCCACTTGGTGGAAACATGCATTTCCAGGGGCTCAAATCTTAAAACAAGGTATTTCCGGACATCCGTACGTTCTCTATGACATAAAGAAAAACAATGTGACCGATGAAGACAGCCTAATGTACGTGAAAGAGTACCTTCGTGACGCGAATTTTTCTCATCGACCGATAGTTCTTCCCGTGGCATTTTTGAAACCAAAAAGTGGCGTGGCATCTAGTTTTGACGCTTTCAAAAGACAGATGCACCAGGGTGTACTTCACTTACCCTTTAAAGTGAATGCTTCAAAGACACATCCTCTTCCAGCTGTTGCTTTTCCAAATTGCATGTTAATGATGAATGATTCGGATTTGGTGCAAAATAAAACGATGTTGTATCTTTTAACACGGCTTTTCTCAAATCCATCCGTTTCCCTGCAGATTGGTAAAATTATTCAAAAACTTTCACCCGGGAAATATCTCAATCTTACCAATGTGATGTCTTGTGTGAACAAAACGAGCGAGTTTATGGGCAACGGTACAAAAATGAACATAGAAAAGAGGATTCTGAAATTTTTGAATCGATTTTCTGCTTTACAAGGAAATCATTCATTCTCAAAGCTACTTGAACAAATGAACGGCACCTTATTTGCAAGCAATTGTAGTGATTACAATAGAAACAAAACTCTTAGATTTCGCGTATTTATTCAGAAAATGCATAACGCAAGTCTAAGGAACAGTGATGCAGAAAAACTGGATTCGTTTAGGCGTCTTTTGGTTGAAATTCATAAACTCGATCTTAATGTTACCACATTTGTCTGTATCAAAGAACATGTACGGCATTCATTGATGGAATTTCTCAAACATCTAGTTGAAGCATTAGGAAACGGTGACCCGACTATCACACCTTTACCGATTGCAAATAAAGAACAAATGCTTGCCGATATAATAAACCGCTATACAAACGGTAACGTTACTTTTGATACTGTTCTCCAAGCACTGAAAAACGTAAGAGGGCTAGACAAGGAACATTACTTAAGTTATACAAACTTTGTGGAACTGATTAAAAGGCTAATACAGATTTCAGGAAACAGTTTAAAATATTCCAGGCCAATGATTTCAGATCTTATAAAGGATGATATGAAGTTTAAAGATGCCATCATGGATTTTTATGATATTCATACTGAAATCTTAAAACCTGGTGTCGGCGGTATAAAAGAATTGCTCTCTAGTTTAATGAAGATTATTAGCGGTTCATATGAAGCGAGCGACCTATCTAAAGCGAGCTACCCATCTGAAGAATCAAAAACATACAATCCCCGACTGGTTGCAAAGGTTATACAAAAATATTCGAAAGAATTCGGTAACTTTTTAACCTCTTTGAAGATGGTTATGGGAGATGCTCTTTCACATCCCAAATATGTTTCAACTGCACTCAACGATTTTGAAAATTTGATTGAAAAACTGAAAACTTATGCATCCATATCGAATGAGAATGATTTGACTGAAAAGCTTGCAAGTTTTGTTCGTAGTCAAAGTGATTTTATCGATCCTGTTACCGAATTTCACAAGCATGCTGATGTTCTGAAAAGCTCACTCGGCCTGAATATTGCAGTATTAAAATTTGCGACGGAACTCTGGGATGCCATCAATGCGAAAGTATTTCTAAATTCCACAGACCACGCTCGGCACCAAAACGCAACTTTGTCTGATTGTATGTTAGAAAACTTATCCAATTATACCAGAACTATAAAATTTGTTGATGTGATAGAAAACTTGGTAGACATATTTTGCAACGCGTCCCAAAAAAATTTGTCAGCATCTGTCAAGTATGAAATGAAGGAAGAGAAGGAAAAAGAAATGCCTGAAGCTGATGAAATGTTTGAGATACCTTTTACGGAAGAAATAAAAACTGATGGAACTGATATCTGCACGACTTTAAAGAGAACCCTGAATGCCTCTAGCATGTCACTAAACATGACGTTGGCAGAAGCAATTTCAAAATTCCAACAATCTGTAACTTCAATGGTTGAAGCTTCAACAATGAATGGGGGATTCAATATGCCTAACATCGCCGAAATGCAGCATGGTAATAAGCCAGATGATATTCCAGGCTATTATGATAATTATAACAAAAGTTTTGATTTCGCACGAAGTGCGATATCGTCCAGTACTGTGACCACGCTTCTGTAAGAGCTGCGCGGAAAATGCGGTTCCTGGTCAGTATACCCAGAATGTCTGAAACAGAAACAAATCACACCCGGATAATACCGATATACTTCAAAACAGCATCAAAATGGACGGAAGCTATAAAAAATGTCGATTTTATGAAGTCCCGACACGTTTTGGGGTATGTGTGGATCAACGTGGCCCAGACTTCAACACAACCAGCTTTATGATGGAGTGTATTTGAAGGAAATGGTATCGGTAAAAAACAATAAAACCGACAAACCTCTCAAAGAAAATAAAACAAGACCAGAATATGGAAGGGTAACGACCATGCCAACATCTGTAAACGAAAATGTAACAATCGCCATCAAACCATCTTCGATTCCACTGAATATGAACGATAAAATTGAAGAAAAATTTGTACAATCGGATGAGAACGGTACCATCAATGTCAAATCGAATCTTGGATCTGATGTTACTCAATGGGGTTCAAGAATTACCGCCGGGGTGTGGATTGTTAAAGATGATCAAAAAGAAAGAAAAAGAAGATACACTGAAGAGAAAGAAGAAACAAAAGATTTTTGCGCTGAAAATGTTCCTGAAAACTGGAGATGCTTGAAATACGAAGGTGAACTTGAACTACAATTTTAATTTATTTCGTTTGTTTATACGATGTTTACGAGTAGTTTCTCTCTGAACAAGACCGTTTACAACCAGCCACACTGATATCTAAGGATGTGTATGTAGCTACTACTACCGGAATCCTAGGTTCCGCATTGCCTACCCAATTTATTAAATTCAGATTCTAGCGATATGAACTTTGAACCCGAGATGTGTAATCTGATATGGCAACGCAGGTAAGGTTAATAATAATTATATAAGAAACAATTTGTTTCATTTACAGATACGTTCAGCTCCGAAGCTTCGTTACGTTTACTCACTGAAGGAAATTCTATTGGTATCGGAGTGTTAGCCGTTGCACCGGCAAATAACTACAACAATTCATTTGAAGAATTGTCAAAAGGTGAGGAAGATGCTAATAAAGTTTATCAATCACAAAAAAGATAAAAATAAAAACTGCTGTTTTTATAAGTTTTTGAAAGTTGTCCGTCATCTGTTTTAGACAGAAATCTTTGGTAATATACAATTTCGAGAAATAATTTATTTGTAATTGCCGATTTTTGTACAGCAAGTGGAACAACTTTTGTCTATAAAAACATGAATTCTACAATATCCTTGTGCGATATTTTAAGAAAAAATTGAAGGTTAATTTAGTTTATTGACAAATTTTACTTTTGGACCATGTGTATAAAATATTTGAAACATGTCTCTCAAATTTTTCATCAAATGTGAATTGCTCATAAACTAGGTTGCTAAATTCGAGGTCTAGATACAAGTGTGGCCTTCATGTCACTCTTTCTAAAAAGGAGGCCAGTCATTGGTCCATGGCATCACGAACAGATTTGTTTATTGTTTCGCTTAGAAGCCTTTAGCTAAAGAGTCATTTTGTATTTTTATAATAACGTAATGGTTTGGTCCTCAGACACACATGGCCATAGTTATGGAGTAGATAATATTCATATTTTACTTCATTTCAGTGAAAAATTTGATTGCACTGTCTTTACCCTCAAAAATCGATGCCAAACAATTGATGTTTACTTTGAAAAAAGTTTCGAACTTCTACGATTTCAAGGCAAGCACAAGGGCTTTGTGGAATTTGCGAGACTTTGTTGAGATTAAAGAAATTGTTGGCTCAAAAGGTATGGTTATTACATTACATTTCATATCATTGTAAACTTGCAACCATAAATGCTAAATATACGCAATGGTGGTCTGACTATTTTTCCGCCTTCTGCTTTTAAGACAATTTTTAATTACACTGTTTTAAGTTTTGTGTCTTACAGTATCTGCCGATATCACATTTTAGCTCGTGTGGCAGTCTGATTTTTATCTTCCCTCTTCTGGTAGTTTCGAACAAACTTGCTTCTAAAATCGTATTATTTGAAAGTGAAAAAGGGGTTTCCGAGAGTCGTTAAATTATCGCCTTCTCTGCGATCGTGCTTTCGATACATGTGTATAGTTATATTATATAACGTATAAGTCCTAAACTACTATTATACTTGTGAAGGGTACACGTCGCACAACTCAGGTCAGTGAGGTCTTGAACATGTATACCGTCTCTGTTATAATGTTTAATTATTTGAGCGAATAAACATATATAGATACATTATAAAATCCACTTTTATTTAAAACTCAACTTTTGCGAATAAGCTCTATTTACATCATACTCTGTGTTGTTGTATACACCCTGTGAACCACAATGTCACACTCGTCATTTATGTAATTTTTTCTGTTTTGGTCAGTGTTTGAATCGTTGAAAGAATTCGGTATTTCGATGTACCTTCCATTTGGTCGATTCTTAAATTCGATTATTGATCGTGTTGTGAATTTGCCTCGAATAAAAATTCTAATTAGTGAGAAGATTCTTACAAGTGACCTAAAGATTGAGTATAAGGTAAATTACTTTCCATGTCACAAACTGACATTATAGTTAGCATTTTGTAGTCAATGCCATGAATACGACATTTTAGAATCGTCATACCAAAAGACCTTTGCTATTTTGCAAAAGAACGGTAGACTACATCTAAGTACCCTTTTATATAAATAATTGAGAAGCATATGATACAAATTGTGTTGCTCCAGAAAATCACATTTTTCAAAATGAGAAATTTAGGCGGGCCTACTAAAAGCCAATTCATCGAAATATCCACTATTTGTTGTTTTACAATTATTTTACCGATTTATTCAAGTTTTGTTGCTTCCCACTTTTGCATTACTTAGAAGTAAGATAGCAATCAAAAGTAAAATATTCTGTCTTTTTTACTTCAATCTTAAACCTTATTTCCTATTTCCAAGCGTTTGCACACGAAAATACACCCCTTTTCCATTTTGCCTCCACAATATAAATAGTGATTGCTATTTCGATGCTTGACTTTTAATCTGTTCAAAAACGCTGCAGGATAATAGACTATCAGCTTGGAAACTTTTTACACCAAGAATTGGCCAAGTCAATCTCGCTGGACAAATCAAAATAACCGTCCGAAGTGGATTCCAACCAGGAATAAAGGATTTGATGATAAAACTTGATGACAAGAACATGGTTACATTAAAAATAAAGGTATTTCTATCTTTGAAACCAAAATTAAAATTGTGTTTTTTAAACCCAATTAACATTTTGTATTGAATTTATCCAAAAGCATTCTTTGTTAAGTATGATTCATCGTTGTGCTCGTTATTTTATCATCATACATCAATGAATCATGCTTGTCGTGTGTATGAATCCACAATGCATAACAATGGTATCGGTCATAAAACTGTTTTGTATACTGTAGGAAATAAACTTGTATGACTGGTAGTCATGTGCACTTATATTGACATTAAATTTAAAAAATGTAAAACTGAAATAACTTCAAAACCACATGCCTAATACATTGATTTGTGCTATTGGGGTGATGTTACGCATTCACGTATTTTGCTGGATAAGTCAAATTAGTTTAACGTATTTTGCGTAAGATATGCGTGAGCTAAGAATTAAGATTATACGTGAAAATTTCACACATTCTTTCATTTTTATTCATTACTTTTATTCATATATATACAGATTTCAGGCGTTGCAACAAAAATTGTGTTGACTCTACCAAAGCACTATCGACTTCCCGCCGTTCCCTTCAACCTACGTGATTACGAAGGCTTCAAAGTTGGTGACGTCGTTACGTCAATCATGTCGGGAGGAGACGAAGACGGAGCAATCATTGGTTTAGCATTGGCCAAGCCAACAACAAGCAAAATAGGTATATTATATACGCAAAAAAAAACGAAGAAACAGATTCCCTTTTTCATAATGCACAGCTGTCAGATGACATCAATTTATATATATTTTCAGGCCAATGGCAATTCCATTGTGAAACATGTCAAAAATGGACGAGCCTTATCGATGCATTTGGCGTAGTAAAACCTGCAACTCGAAATAGAAGACAAATTATTGACGATACAGGTAATAATTAAAACCTTAACTAACTTGCATTTATACACATTTAAGCAGAACGTTTGTTCTATCCTAATATTCATTGCTTGATGTATAGGTTTCATAACTGTTGTGTTCTAGTCCAAGTAAAAGATATCATGATCGATCTTTCGCCATCTCGTCCATTGTCAATGCCTGGGGTTTTCAAACTTCATGGGCTCACTTCAAATTATTAATCTTACTCCATTAAATTGTTGTTATACGCTTGATATGAACCGGCATTTCATCTTTGCTATTTATATTTTCACAGAATGCTTTTATAAAGCTGGAACCACCGCCAAAATTATTCTCCTATCGGCTGAAACCAGGTTGAAATTTGTACCGGACAAATTAGGCTATTTCTGGAAGTCTTCAGAAGCTTGGTTAAATACTGTTATTGATTTGTCATTGTTCAAAATATCTAAACCAGATGGATATGTTATGGCCAATGACACTTTTTATGCGAAAGCCAAATCAGTGCTGGAAAATGCTGGAGCCATAGTTGTTACTGGTACCTACAAGCTTGACCCTGATTGTGATATAGACGTAAGTGTAGGACTAAGCTTTTCAATTTTTTAACTCGAGTAATATGCATGCCTCGTAGTAGTATTACAACATTCTGCATTATTTTTTTTTTTATTATTTTATTCTGTGTTTTTACGGTATGTACTTCAAAGTTTAAGATATTTCAAAGCAATATAATCCGCTGTTGTTTGGAATATTAAGCGCCAGAATTATCCTTTTACGCTATTGAATTTCCAGGTGGATGTCTCTGATGCACAAAACTCAGCACTGTTACCAGTCTCCAATTCACATATGTTACCTACCCTCCCAGTATTAATATTAACAAATTTGTGTCCATGCACTTAAATATGAGTCACATTGGCTAGCAAGCTAACAGAAATAGCATTTCAGGCATAGAACCTTAGAACTATTTCAGATTTGTGCAAAATTAAATGCCTTTGTTATTGCGAATCAAATTCAATCACCAAACACAACCGAGAAAGCTGGCAACAATGTATATGCATCGTCTCATCACAAGTCTTCGCCACATTATTCGGGCCTCCCGAAGTATGCGAACCAAGATGGCGGACATCGGAATGTAATATGTGTACCAGGTTAAGGTTAGGCCATAATTTTAGGTATAAATACTACGGAAGGCTCTTGGCTAGTCTTCGAACTGATAATAGGACTAAAATAAGGAAAATTGGAAAAAATTTATCGCCTAACCCTAACCTGTTACTCATGTTACGTTCCGATGTCCGCCATCTTGATTCGCATACTTCGGGAGCACCCATTATTCAATTAGACTGATAGTTCTGAACATTCACAAAATAGTACAACGTATTGTTCTTTCGTGAAGGCACCTTATGATCAAAACCAAGTTCTTGATTTTACGAAACTATTGAGTGAAGAAAGAGTGAAGCTTAGCATAGAAAGATTGGGCTGTGATGGCAAACGATCATCGATGAAAGTATTAACAGATCGATGTGGAGTTTGCGGGGGAAACGGAAAGAGTTGCGTTGATTGCAATGGTGATATAAACGGAAGTAAGTTACTGCTATAAAAATGCATTATGTTGACTTTAAAATGATAATAATATCTAAAAATTTAACGTGGTTGCTTTTCTCCTTTCAGCTGCCTATATTGATCAGTGCAGAAAATGTGTTGGTGGTGGAACACGCAGGAAACCAACGAAACTTGACTGTGCGAATAGCTGCTTCAATACAAGTTATTACGATGATTGTAACTTCTGTCAAAAGAGGTAATCTGTTTAAAAAATAAAGTCATTTTTTCATAGATGAACAACATCACATGGTTAATCGTTTCTGCTATTCTATCATGTTTGCTTAAACACACTAAATTGTTTCTTGGCAAAGATATTTATAACACCAACTCTACCGAGTGGATTTCTTCTACAGTAGGATTTCTATTTGATAAGCGCTATTATTCACTAAGCTAAGGAACAGGTAGAAATCATCGAATCATGCCCACTACAGAAAATTCATTCCTGTCGTTAGGATCCACACATACTAAAATTCATACATTTTTTTGTTCAATTTAGGGGTAAAGAGGCTAAAAATATTAAGGATTGCACAGGGATTTGCCATGGAAAAGCATATATAGATCGGTAAGTATGATATCGTTGTACTACTATTCGCAGTATAGGAATTGTAAATCAAAACAAGACAACAACTCTGAAATATAAATGTCGCGCGTCGCTACCGGTAGCTGAGAACTGAATTTTCTGAAAACATCGAGGGACAGCGTGACGTAGGCGGACAAGCTTGGCGCGTAGTATAGTGTTCCCATATTTTATAATAAAAAATGTTCCCAGGAATTAAAATAAAACAGAAAAATTTAAGTCTTATGTCTTCTTTAATTTTGAAAATGTGAAATTGTTTGGGCCATAGCCTCTGATAAAATTAATTTCTCTCAACAACAACAACAACGAACCATGTGTACGACATGTGTGCTGTAAGGTTAAATAAATAAAAAGTTCATTGAAAACACTGGAATATAAAAATTAATTTGTCAGCCCCGTTTACATTCATAAAAATATCTTATACGGCAATATACAAATTCCTTAATAATGATTTCAAATTTTGCATGTTTTTATTGTTTTCAGATGTGGCGCTTGTCGATTTGAAAACCGTAGTTTGGCCGAAGTTTTGGTTGATAAAACCAAAATCCTTGACAAGTGTGGTGTTTGTGGCGGAGATAATACCAAATGTATTGGTTGTGATGGAATCTTAAACAGCCCGAAAAAACTGGATAGATGTGGAGACTGTAAACTTGAAAACGATACAACTTTTGATAAAGGTATTTAAAAAATGCCTTTCATTAGTTTTTTCGTTTTATTTTTTATTTTCAGTTTTGAATCACGCAAGTGATATCATTTTGTTGTACAATTATCAGATCATTTTTATGTCGTGAAATCACTATTTCGCTACGGAATTACAGTATATGTAACATGTCATAATATGAGAGTTGAAAATATGAGCAAAAGCTCGAGGTTGTATATTAGTACCTGCTGAACTTACAAATGTGAAACTGCACTCATCATAAACTCTATATCACAGATAAACGCTAGGGAACTGGCATCCAAGTCTAACTTTACATTTACAATGTTATCCTAAATCTGAACTGATTTCAACTTTTTCGGTAACAGGGTGTGGTAAAGTCTATCTGATAGACGGGACAATTCCTCCAGTTTTGGTCGTTCGCAAAATTGGTGACGTCATAAAGTTTGCAATAACGGGTTATTTCGACACTTACGAAAAGGCTACATGCTCTTTGCACCAACTAGTGCAAAACGGTAAAGTCGTACAACTAGGTGAATATGCGATCACCAGAGAACAAAGAACCATCAGTGTTAAAAAGGACGATGGTAAAACAGGTAAGTTGAAGTAGTAATCAGTCGGCTATGGTTTAGTCCGGATTTGCAGAAAATTCAGGTCACAGTTCCGAAATGACAAAATTTGGACTATAAAATCTTTGGTGTGGATATAAGTTTTCGTTGAAAATTCTGGTAACTGACTTTCACTTTTGGATGACTAAAATTTCGACTCTGACATAATAATAATGAATTTTGACTCCATATTTCATACGGATTCACAAAAATTTTGACTCCGACTACAGCTCACAGTTCCAGAATGACAAAATTTAAACCCTAAAAACTTCAGTGTTCTTGTAAGTTTTCGTTGACAATTCCGACTCCGACAATGACATGATACTCCGGTCTCCGGGAGTTCAACATTTTTTCTCTAGCTATTTGAAAATTTGAAACCACGACTCCGGATCCGACTTCAGTACCCGGAAAGCGAGAAACTCCAACTCAATTCGCTCACTTCCCAGGCCAATTGAAAACGTTGTTCGTATGCTTATTATGTTTGGATGTATAGTGTATACAAAATGTAATATTCATTCTATAGGGGCATTGCGTTAATACATGCGTATATTGTATTATAAAGCTAAAATCGTTTTCGCTTTAAGCCCTACTTCCGTGTTTCACCAACTTCCGGAAAAGGTCAATAAGTTGAGATATATATATATCGTATACAAACACAAGTCTTTTTACCACCATCAACTTTTATATCTGACGTAAAACGTATACGTCTGTTGTTTTAATGACGCAAGACGTATACCGTTAACGTAAATGTATGACGTAAATAATTATAATCTTGTATGTCTGATATTTAAATTTTCTGATTATCTAAGATAATCTAATTTTGTAACTGTCGAAACATTCAAATTTTATGCAATTTAGTACGTGCATTGACTCACAATAGTTATAATGAGGTCATTCATTCACCTACAATAAATAACCTTTCAACCTAGGTAATAGAAAAATTTCATAACTTTCACTTGTATTCAAATGTCATTCGGTTTGTCGTCTGTTTACAATTTCGCAATCAACAGAATTCTGTTCTGTTTTTGAGTTGGTTCACCCCTTCCTTTTTTAAATATAGATGGATCGTTGGAATGACAAGGATTCGAACTCGAACTATCTAATTTACTTTTTATTCACTAGTTAGAACTTGTTTGTGATAGTCATTCATTTCCTTTATTTCAGAAAACCTACTCTTCAGTCCTCAGTTCAATTTTTAAAACTGTATGTTACTATCAAATTCACATTAATTTATTCATTTTTCGCTTTTTCTGTTATAGTTCACGGTATTGCTATCAAGGTGAATTCAACTTCTCTTTTTCCGGATGAAGTGAAATTTACTAAATGGAATATTTCGTGTTCGTCAAGCGAAGACGGGTATTTGAATTACATGATATGATATATGTATATTCAATAACGGCAAAATTTTTCTAATTTCACCATTTTCTTATTATTTTTTGCTAGATATTCCAGCACGGCTAGGTATATGGTTCCCTTCATGGTACGCGATCTTAACCCTTGGTCACTGAAATCCCTCGAGCCACTGTATTTTGAAGTCAGTCAAGGTGGCGGTGACGTCACAATCACAGGTGAAGACTTTCCGTCTAAAGATGAACTAATGTGCGTCGCACCACGTTACGTCTATGTGTCACATGGTTCGTCCAAATCTGCAGTGAAACTGAAGAAGTTGCAAGTTATCAAAACGCCAACAACGTGAGTCATATATAACATATTCTATCAGGGGTTGTCAAGGTTTTTGGACCAGGGGCCAAAACTTTTGCCCACCTAGACTGGCGGGCCACGTAAGTGTGACTTAAAAAGTTACAATTTAAAAACAATATTCACAGTGTTACAAAAGCAAAAGTGGCAAAGCAAACAATAAGCCGAATTAAGTTTAATATCGATCTCAACATATTCCTCGATCTATTTTTTAGCTAAAGCATCAAACATTTGGTTTTAGTTTGGTTGTGGCAGCATCAGGCGGGCCAGATTGAATTACCCAACGGGCCGGATTTGGCCCGCGGGCCATAGTTTGCCCATGTCAGTTCAATGTTGACAGTTTTTAATATAATTTTTGCCTCGCTCTATATTGTTACTTTTGTTGTACAAACGTTTATTTTTTATCTTTGAATTGGCACCAGATGAGGTTCTCAGCACTCAAGTAAAAGCGAAAAGAGTACTGATACATGTAAAAGTTACGAGCGCAAATTTCCTTGATAACAAAGGCTCAGCTTTTTGCAGCCGAGTGGATCTAAAACTATTTTTGATCTCTCTAAATGATGATGCAAATTAGGATCTTTTGTACAAAGCTCCGCTACCAATAAAAAAATGTGAGATTTGGAAGAAACACCCAGCCATGTTTTAAAATACCAAATTCGTAATTATTTGCAATTTGCATTCCTAGCCCTCAGCCTAACCCTAGTTGGATGATTACTAATTACTAATTGTTTTGGTCAGTGGCGTTTTTTTGTGGGAGGCCGAAAATTGTCACTGTAATCAAATATAAAAAGTAAATATTCTGTACAATTGATCATTTTCAGATATGTGAGTGACACTCAAGTCAAATGTACTTTTCCTAACGTGACGACACCAACAAAAATTCGAATTCACGTGATTCCTAAATACGAGGCCGAGAAATCATCTGATTGGGCAATTGCCCGTAACGTAGAAGACGGTTTGGCTTTTGAATTCAGGTAATAATATTGTGTTAAATCAAAACTCTACCAAGTACACTTGGTAAGTACCAATCATAAATAACTAATATTTATAAAAGTTAGTTGTTCGTTATCAAGTATAAAATATGTTTCCATAGAGCTAAAGCGCCTGGAATCTTGGAAGCGCGACTCGGTGAAAGTTTATCGGAAATTGACGTGACCTTTGACACCGACATTAGCTTCATCAAAAAAGTAGGATCTGGTGCAGGATGTGTTGCTCTTGAGGTTTGTAAATTAAATTTAATTGGTTTATGGACATTATGCCCTATATGAAACATATTGAAATAAAATACCAATGAAAAAATATGAAAACCAATAATTACTCACAGTAAAAACGAGAGAGAAATGCTCAAATACTTTAACGTTGGTAAAATTACAGTCGAAATTTACTATACAACGATTTCGTCTACCCGATTATTACCGATTTCTTCTACCCGTTTTGAATGTGTAACGTACGGTACAAATAAATCGAAATTTAACGCTATAACCAGAGGCGTAGCCAGAGGTTGGTTTTGGGGGTCGCCCCCCTTTTTGAAATGTAAACAAAGCATCTTTCTGTATTATGCATAGCAATTTGTCGTAGCTTAAAACACTTTTTAGAGTTTCAGAACCCCCCCCTCATTCTTTGAAAATTTCTGCCATGATTATATCTTGGGCAAAGCCACGTCCATGTAATATTTACCAATTGAAATTTGGAATAGCAAGGTTTTCAACTGCAATGTAATCACGTCCAGACGCCAATTGATCAGTAAATTGCAGCGGCAATAAATCGAAATCTCTATTACTTTACTCATGAAGTTAATTTTTATTTTCGGGCGCACGAAGAAATTTATTTATGCTTATTTGTATGGGAATTTACACCATGAAAATGACAAAAAACGAGCATACACAATAAAATTCCGCTGATTCAATTGTCAAGTAGCCCTTGGCTCTTCAGTGGTCGTCCGAAACTTTACTCAGAGATCAGACTATTTTATTTCTGAGTGAGTGCGTTACCTTGACCCTAATATAAAATGTTTATTGTTATTCTGTTAATTTAGGAAAATCTTGATCTATTGGGAGAAAAGCCTTGGTGTATGATTAGAGGATCAAAATTAATAATACGACCAGGAAAGAAACCTGTTGCTATTGCTGCCAGCGGAAGAAGCTCAACCGATAGTAAGTAATTACTATTTATATAATTTTAATTATCATGTAATGATTGAATGATAATTGTAATTAATGTACAAAAAATGGGAATCATTTTCCTGTTGATATATAGTATAATATACTGTTAAAATTAACTTTACAATTATTATATTTCACAATTAATTTAATTATTTGATAAAATAATTTCCATATAATGATAATATAATTGTCATATCTTGATTGAATGATAATTGAAATTAGATACAGAAGAATTTGTAATTGTAAGTACGACAATGGGAATAATTTTCCTGCTGATATACACTCTTATAAATAGCTTATCAATTATTATATTTGATATTTAATTTAATTATATCATAAAAATGATATATTTTAATTCATATGTTTCGATAAAATTACAATTTTGCAGCATTTTGGGGATGTCATTTAGAAACGGTAAAACCACAATAATCTATAGTTTTTTCATTTACAGAATAATTTTTTTTTAGTAAAATTACACTTTATGTCGTAAAATGTGATGACATTTTCTGGTTTTATTTTTACACCAGTTTAATTACCACTGAAAATGTTTTATAGCCCGTCAGACAAACTGGAATAAATTTTCAAAACTGGTTTAAAGGGTCGCTAGTTAAAAATTTGAAAACGTACACTAAAATATGAATACAACAATGCTTCTGATTCGAAATGTGTTTTTTTAGAATCACTCCAAATACCATTTTGTGCTTTGGTATTAAAAAAACATTTGCGTAATTGGTTGCGTCAATTAAACAAATATAGTAGAATTATACATTTGTAGTTATTTCCGCAAGGAAAAAGGGTCAAACAATGTTTTCTGACAAATCCTATGACTCGTATTTGTGAGCGAACAATTGTTTCCTGAACACAATGAATTGGCAAGATAAAGGCAGTGTGATGTCATAGTTGAATTATGGGCTTTATATAAAGTATAATCTAAAGAATATAATCTATAGAAACTCATTTGCTATGGCGTAATTGTATTGTTATAAAACGATAATAATCCTAGCTGACCGAGATAATTACTTTTAATAATAAAGACCAGCACCGTGGTATAATGTATTTTGTAAGCGTAAGATAGTAATACTAACAAAAGGAATAAATGGTTACAAATATCGATTGTCGTTGTTAGCAACTTTTGTTATGGAACTTAATGAAAATGAAAAAATTAGAAAAATATGGAAAACATAATGGGATCTCAGTTTAGCCCCTCCCAGAGTACAAAAAATCTTTTCGCCGATAATATGTTTGTTTTTGCGTGGTTAAATATTTCGTGTTTCTGACCAGAGAATTCTTTATTCGCAATTGTCTCACACAAAATATGTCGAATATTTTGACAGTTTAGCTGTGCCTCAGCGTCTGCTAAAATTTTTGTCCTTAGTCACCGTTGATATCTTTCTGATTTGCAAATGCTATGGAAGTAATCAAGGATGTCAATGCTGCGGAAAACATCCCTTGGTGTCTGCCCCGTGCCTTATAATTTTTCTCTCCAATAAAAATATCGATTGATCGGATAATCGGTTTATTTATATTCGGTAAACGTAATTTCTTAGAACGTATTTGGCTATTCTAAGGAAAAAACTGGTGTCCAAACTGTTGTATGTCCTATGCTTTATACAAAGATTTGATATTATTCTTATTTTTTCAGATTCAAGTATTGGTGATATTGTGATAAAGGAAGGGACAATTGCCACAAGATCTTCAGATGGGGCATCACAACCATTTCCAAGAACTACTGTGCCGATATTAAAACCTCTTAAAATGGTAACCTAACTTTGGTATAATAAATAGAATAGACTGTGCTGGTATAGAGAAAACGTGGTTCTTTCCTAAAACACGTTCAGACCCTAATTTAATCATCCTGTTAGTTGTTTTCATATACCTGAATTTAGATATATCTAAGCACGTTTGAATTTTAATAAATTAATTTAGAAATAGATGAATCAATTATCAATTCCTTATACTCATGCTTCACTACTCTCTGTTTCGATTCCAGAAACCGCCTGATGTTGTCCTCAGAGGACCAGTTGTTCTTGAGCCATGTGAGGAAGCCAATTTGATTGTTATAGCTTATCCAAATGTTGGTTTATGGCCTTTGACTTTTCACTGGTCGGCTGTTGTTGAGGAAAATCCTGTCAACAATACCGCTGATTCGATAACAGATTTTTTAGCAAAGCAAACGCAAGGAACCAGAGGAAAGCGAATATCATTCAAAAATTTCGAGGTGAAATTTGTAAGGCCGTTTGTCTCTATTTATTGATAAATATTTAGCCATGTCACGAATTTGTGATTCTGAAAAGAAGATTTTGAAACTTTTATATGTACGAGAAATTTTGTATTCTGAATATTCAACATTCTTTAGCTTAAATTCATAATATTGTAATTAGTCGCATGTACATTATTGCTACATCATCCTTGCATTATGCGAATCCATCAGCGCAAAGTTACAGAATAAGGATGGCTGGTTATTCGCCTCTCCAAATCCTGACTAATAGGTATTGTAAATATACTACTAATTATCATATTTCATTAGGGTTTTGTAGACTAGAATCCCTCGTATTCTAACCATTATCAATATCCCGGATATCACGAAATTCTTGACTTTTATATTACAGGGAAAATTGCAGCCCGGTGCAAACTACACCATTTCGGTGAAAGTAACAAATTACTTTGGATTAGAAAGCAAAACGGCAGAATCATCGTTCCATATTCGATCACATTACTCGAGTGTTAGAGCGAGTATTTCTGATCGATTGTTGGAAGTGCCTTCTGATCAGGACATAACACTGAAGGTTAGAAATTGCTACTTTCTCGTTTAATTAATTACTAAGTGATTATGTTATATAATTTAATCAAAATGAATAATGTATCCCGGATTCGGAAAAATAATTACAAATGGTCCAATTATTTTATTTAATCATTAAAATAGGCAGAATAATGATTAGGAAAGTCTATATAAGTCAGTAGTTCGTAGCAATCAAGGGTTAGGAAGTTCTACTAACCTTTATTAAGGCCATTATTTTTACCCAATAAGTGAGAAACTCAACCACAACGCTCAAGGTCATCTGTTTATGACTAATTGAATAATTTTCTAATTACTTAATTACTTGAGTTGCCTACATGATCCTTAAATCAACGGAAACATTATGTCATTAGTAGTATGTGTTAGAACTAGTCGTCATAAATTATGTCCAAAATGCTGTCAGTTGTTTTATAAATTTGATTATAAACTATTTATTTGCATAATTAAATAATTGTAGGTGAATTGATAAACAATATAAAATAATTTAATATGGATAATTATATTTTTCAATTTACAACATCATTTATTTTTCATATTTTTAATGCCAACAGTTGAAAAGCAAGTTTCTGAAACCCATCTGCATTGGCGCAACCTCAGCCGTTAAAATGACTGCATCAAGAGCGGCAGAAATGACATTGAGTTACATTTGGGAAGCAGAAACAACAGATGGTATTTCCATACCAATGGATTCCGACGTGAATATTGAGGCTACAAAGCGTAGTCTGAAACTTCCAGCAGGATTTTTAAAACCAGGAAATTACACGATTAAAGCAACTGGTAATGAGTTACTTTGCTTATCAATTTTTTTCTGAATCCTTTTCCTTTTTCATCTAATTCTTTTTCTTTTCAGCGATCTATTATGATTCTGACGTAAAACAAGGAGAGGCATCAGTGACGGCTACAATCATAGTGTCAAGTTCTCCAATCATTGCTCAAGTTAAATCTCTTTTTGGCTCGGTCATAATGTCCGACGAAGACTTGGTAAAAACAAGTTAAATTTGTTGTTTATTTCATCGAAAGCTAATAATTTCGTCAAGACATTTATCATAGCAGATTGACGATCTCGAGTTTGCGTACTGGACAGTCAGTTCAGTCACTTGATAGTAGTACCTACGTTTTGGTGACGCGCTGTATAGGGTTTCATCTTAGCCTACTAACATATGGCATTCACTTGCTTTGAGACAGATATATAAAGGTACACCATACTCCTACTGCAATTTTGATGAACATCATCAGTTTGACCAAATCTATTACTTCTAATTTTAACCAAACGTCTTCCCCCTATTCAGACATTGTACAGCAGAAGCAGAGATCCGGATGGAGGTACCTTGACGTATTCTTGGTCATGTGAAATGCTGGATGGAGGAGGGCCGTGCCTTGTTATTAAAGAAGGAGCAACAGATATAGTTGAAATTGCAGAAGTAGCATTCGTTCGTTACTTATCATCAGACAAAGATACTTTGACAATACCAGCCAAACTTTTCAAAGAATTTTCTGAGTACGATAATCTCCATGAAATATTGTTTGGGCCTGATTTGTTATAAGGCTAATGAAATTCCTTTTCGTTAGACATGAAGTGGAACTATGGACCGTTTTATAAATTTTTGTTGTTTTCGTATGTGAAAAATTGATTTTCTGTGCAACTGATGTCGAATTCAAATTTTCAAGACATAAAGTTGGTTTAAAATATTTGATTGAAAGCCATTACTTTCATGTTATCTGTTTCAAATTTCCCATAAGTCCCATGGTAACCGACTTTTCACCCATTTGACTGTTTTATTTTGATTCGTGCGAACAATTTTTAGGAATTATCAAAACTCTTTATTCCATCACTCTTATCCGCTTCCGTCACGCTTGTCCGCCGATATTTTCAGTGAATTATATACCCAACTAAGACCTCACTGTACTAGTGATCGACTTTCGTGTTCATGTATTCAAGTATTGCGTTCTTGTTTCAGTATGAAGATAACACTCATGGTGCGATCTGGTGATCGGGAAGAAACTTCTTCCATCAAAATAAGAATCAAAGATGCGAGTGATAATTTACCAACAATCCGAACTCGGCCAATTGCTGACGACCAAGCTTTTATCCCGAGCAAACCTTTGCGAGTGAAGGCTACGATTACCGGGTAAGACTGTAGTTCCCAATCTCTTTCGATAAAAACCTGCCTTTGTCTATTATGGAACTCTTCATTCCTTCCTCGCTATGCGTTGAAGCTCTGTTCTTGTTATTTGTTCAATCACAAACAGATTATCAGCTAGGTATACGGGCAACTCGCAGTCAAGCTTTTGTACAGTTCTAATTGTTTTATGTGTGCACAAGTATGTATCTCAATAATATTAACTAACTAAACAATATCTGTAAAACAACATTCAATTCAATGTAATATTTTCTTCCCCAAAACAATAAAATATCTTTCCGGTTCGGGACACTCTGAGGTAACCGTTCGTACTTTCTATTATTAAAAAACAGCTAGAAAAAATGTTTTCTGGTTTATAATCATAATTCTAAAACTAAATTTCCTGATGAAATCACTTGAAGTTCTTAGACTACAAGAGAGAGATAGAGAAAAAGAAAAATCTCATTCCATTCTTTTGAGTGGAATTTGGATCTTTGTCTCTTGATTTCAATAACGTCATATTTTTGAATTCATTTTGGTGCTTTTTCTCTCTAAACTCATTTTCCACAGTAATTTACTGAATCAAATAGAAAGTCAGTTACTTTTTTAAGTGATCTTCAAGTGAGACTGCTTTTGCTTTTCTTTTTATCTTCCCATGTTCTACTGTTGCGTTCAGGAATGAACGTAAGACCTGGATGATGATAGTAACTTGGAGTTGCGTTGAAGAAGATGGTTACTCTTTCATTGAATTGTCTGACGCGGCTGTTACAACTCTTCAAAAAGAATTGGAGATAAACGAGTAATATTTGAATATCGATATTTTAATTATTTAATTAAATAATCGTTATCTAATTTTCAAATCTAATTTATGTTTCGTTGTTAAACAATAGGAAGCCAAGCCGAATTGATTTGGTTTTGAAAAAAGGTGTTCTTGAGCCCGGTTCGAGTTATAAGTTTTTAGTTGAAGCTGTTCCAGATTTTACCATACATCCTCTCGAAGAAGGGAAAGATGAATCAGATATGACTGTATATTCCGAAATAATCGTCAAGGTTATTGATGCTCTGCCCACCGGTGGAAATATTGTGGTATGTGTATTCATTTGTTAACTTATACTCTCCTACCATTGAATTTTCTCCTATATTCAGCTGTTTTATTTTTTGATTTTTTCGTTAGAATTTTTTTGTTCTTTATTACAGTTAGAATCAATTTATTTTACAGGTTGAACCTTCTTCCGGGACTGCCCTTAGCACTAAATTTAACATACGAGCTGATGGGTGGGTTGGCGGTAACGAAAATCAACCCCTGATGTACAAATTTGCATATACAACCAAAAACGCTGAAGGAAAAAGAAGAAGTTTGACTTCTATAGGAGAGTTCAGTGATTCCTCGTCTGTATCGTCCTACCTACCACCAGGTAATCTAATATTAAGTGGTACTACATATTCACCCCACTCTTATTATTAATGTTGATGCCTTTTCTCCAAATCGTATCAGAGATACAATGATGAATTCTGGCGATTCAACGAAACGCTCAATTGAGATGACAAGACTTTCGTCAAGACAATTCCGAACATTTATAACCAGTCAATCTTTTCAGAACCTGTTCTTAACTTTTCTCAAATTTTCAGGTGACCCAGATCGTGGTGATAAACTGGTTCTGTATTCATTTGTTCAAATCGGTGAAAATAAGAACACTATTGGTAGCGTCATAACTCAAGTCATAGTTTTACCCATTGCAAGTGATAACACGACTGGAAGTCCTGTAGTAGATGAAGAAGTAGTACAGGACATGGTAAACGAAGCCGTTCAAGCTCTTGTTGCAGGTATGTAGACTGTAGAGACTTTAATTTACAGTCTCTCGCTTCTGTATCTCTCTCATTTTCCCCCTTCCTCCTTTACTCCTCTCTTCGGCGTTTTCTGATAGGGATAGGGAAGTGGCGAATGGGATTCGCCGAATACGAGAAAATGCTCAAGGACCAAAAACGAGTCTTCTGCATATGTTATGTCATAAATAGAAGTAAAAAACACGTTTCCGTCGGGGCGGCAACAATGGGCGATCAAAAGCAAAAGTCATATTATCTTGGCAAACGATGCCGTACGTGAAGAAACTTGTTTTACCTTCCTCTTCTGTTTCATGCCACGATACAAACGCGGATGTCAGGCGATGTTCGCTTTGATTTTTGGAAGCGATTATTTTTTAATCAGTGCTGCACTATGGGTTATATATTTCTCAGAGATCTTATGCGAGCAATCACGAAATTTTTACGGAAGAGTGTTTGTGCCTAGCTTTACAAAGGCGAAGTCGTAAATTGGAATAAAAGCAGAATCGACTGGTAAAAATTATGCGCATTTGATATCAAATCAGAATCCAGATACAAATCTCGTACTTCCCTGATTTTTGCTTTTCTTTTCTGCGCCATTTTATCTTTCACCTTTTTCTAATTTCTATTTCTCTCTCTCGCTTTTCGGTCTCTCTCTTTTCATCTTCCTACCTCGACCGATTTATATATTCAAACAACTTTATTTCTTTGCAGGAGACAGATCTGAAACTTTCTCAAAAGTTCTTCTTATTGGAAAATCAGTTAGTGGCGATAACGTCAGAAAGAAAGAAGTTCTAGACTTGGCAGAATCAGCAATAAAGCAAATGAATTCGTTTACTCCATCATCTGAAACGTAAGCACGCATAACCAGAGCTGTGAGATCCGGGGTAGAAAAATATTGACTCCGTTATCGATTTTGATAACAAAGACATTGACGTATGTAAACCTCTTCTAATAAACTGTTATGGACGCTTAGTAAACTTGATGCCGTATGAGTTTCTGACAAAAATTTTTACTTTTATTATTACCATTGAAAATATGAAATTCCCACTCTGAAAATTTAAAATTGTCGACAATCCCCACCGAGAGCGAGGGAGGACTCTGCGCGAAACCTTATGCGGGTTAGTATAGGTATAAGGTTCTAGGTAAATAATTAGTCACTGACGGTTTGGGCGTTCAGGTTTTTTCAGAAAAATCAGCAATGGGGACAAGAGACCAAGCAATCATATAAGATTTCCTTCTCCGGGCAAGACCTTTTTATGCAGATTTACGACGTAATGTTTTGTTTTCAGTGATGCGTTAGACGCTCTGGAATCGGTATCGAGCGTGATTTCAACATTTAGTGACGATGATTTAACTACTTCATCTGAATCTAAAGAAATTGCTTTGAATGTGATAAGCAGAATTCTGAAAGATCTTTACGATCAAGGTAAACTTTACAACATGTCATTTTTTATCAAAAATTCAAGCTTTTAAAATTGTAAAAATTTCGGTAAAATAAGATTAGTGTCTAGATTTGAATTTTTATTTTTTACTCAAGTGAATTTGAGGGTACTCCCGTAGTGTGTGTACCAGGTTAGGGTTAGGCCTTAATTTTATTTCGTTTTCCCCTATTTTCAGTTCTATTCCGAGTTCGGGGACTGTCTGTGTTAGCCAAATGAATATACCCCCTGCCCATAGGTTTTAGTCCTTTTACACACCTTGATGTAAAGTAGGCGAACAAAATTAGTTACCTCCATGGTACATACACTTCTGGAGCGCCAATTTGGGAATAGATAAAAATCTGATAATGAATGCACCCAAGTACAGGATGACCCCAAAACAAAAACAAAAAAACAAGACCAAAGTCATTTAGAACATGTTCTAGAGAAAACACAACCTTTATGAAAAGTTTCCTAGATTACTGAAACTTATGTTTACAATCATACACAAACAGAAGTTAAAGGGTTAAATAAATGTTATTCATTTTTATATATAAGTAATGAAGATATTTATGAGATCTTTTTAGTCACCCTGTGATATTGCACTTATACAATTTTCATTTCTTGCTCATATAAACAAAAAGACGTTTTCTTGATAAACTATCTATTATCTATATACAGCGGATCCTTCATCACGAAGACGACGAAGAGCAATTGAAACGGAATCCACTGTAAACACGATTCCTGTTGACATGGTCAGTAAACTACAGTGATTCATATATAAATAAAATCATTCATACTTCTGATAGGTTGCGATAGATTGAATGACGAGAGGTGCCATTCCTTTCACATTTCAATTTTTTTTTTGTACATTTGTTACGTCAATTTCAAATATATATATTGTTTCAAAATAAACTATTTTCACGATCTATACTGTGTATCATAGAAAATGACTTTATACAAGCATGAAAAGATAATATTGTTCAGAAAGTAGAGAAGTCCAAGTTCAACCTCTAAAAACCTACCTACTAATCTTGGATATATAGATTACCACTAATAGCGAGCCTATGTCAAGTCAATACTAATATACATAGTCTGTTGCCTTTCAGGTATTTCTTATTGTTGCAGAAAATTGTCAGCACGTTTTTAAATAGCCCTTTCTGTCCGCGAGACGTAATTTTTCAAAACTGATTTATAAGTATGTTATCTACTGAGATAATTTCAAATTTGGGTAAAGTTATAATATGATTTGTTTACAGGCTGAAAGAATGTTATCTCTATTCGATAATATTTTCCTGTCGCCTGGCAATGATGCAACTCTGGTAGCTAACACGAAGATTAAATTCAAAGAAGATACCGAGTTTATTATGGTAATTACATTGAAATGATACTTTTAAAAATCTACTCTTAATCCAATAGAACGAATACTACTTCTTCATACAATAGGACTAACTTTTCTTCGCAATAATAAAGTGTGGTTATTGCGTATTGATAAAGTTTCGCACCATGTCTGGTATTAACATTTGTCCCTATTTTTAGAACTTGCGTTTTACAAAATAAATTTTTGTGTGTTAGTTGAATTTGTATTCTCTTTACTACGTTTTTTTTTTTTATCAATGCAAGAAACACTACTAAAATTCAATTTATTGAAACAAATTGCACAGGTGAGGATGTTTCTTCAATCGGATAGTGATATTTTTGTCGGAGTTTCCATCTCGGGTGCGGTAAACGTTCTTTCATTTCTGTATTGTAATGTTTTCCGTATTATTTGCAGAAATCTTTTTGCAATGCTGTCGCCTACGACGAGCCAATTCAAATCGCACAGACTGATTATTCATTGGTCGGTTCCAGGAAGGTACCAATGCCGTACGGAGATTCATATGTTACGGGCCCACTTTTGGTGAGATTTTATGTCAAGAGACGTTTTTTTTTTCAAGGTTTGAGGTTTTACGCCATTATTTTTAATTTTTGAAAAATTTAGTAGTTGTTATATTAATATTCAATAAACTATAATCGATTTTTAAATGTTTGAGAAGTTTTGATGTTTTACTTCTAAAAAGGTTCTCGGTGACTTAGGTTTATACATAGTTAGCTACTACTAGACTCGAAAGGGTAGAAATATTTCTAGATCTATCTAGCGCGTGCCATGTCATGCACGTGGTGGTGGATGTTTGGTCACAGATTCGAAAATTATTTATGATTTTATAGACCAAAACCTAGAAAGCTGTAGTGTATACTTAGGGATGTACTACATTCCTTAGAACATCTTGATTGAAATCTTTTCTTGTCTGTTTTCTACAGTTTTCGTTCAGCGAGGACATCGAAGCACAATATTCTAACTGGCATTGCGATTCTTCTACAAATGTATGTATATGATATAAGTTTTTTAAAAAAAAAATGAAAATAATTTTTACTGTTATTCTGCTATCTCCTAGGTGTCTCTTTTTTATGAAAAAGACATTTTCCAAGTTTGTTTCGAATACAATACAGGATGACCCATGAAAACAGAAACAAGGTCATTCGGAACGTATCCTAGATCAGGGGTTCTCAAACTTTTGGTGTTGCGGAGCCTTTGAAAAGGTTAACTATTATTCACGGAGCCCCAAAATAAATGTTAAAATTGTTACTTTCGGATTAATATTTCTGAGCAAGTTAAAAGTACTTTACTCAATTTAAATGCTGAACCTTTTTTGAAAGGGTTAATACAAGTCATAAAAAAATCTAAATTTCAAACATAAATTATATATACTAAAGCTGTAAATTTGACACTTGACAAACATGGTCGAATCTTTTCCCTTTTGACATGTTTGGAAGACTTAAAAGGCCGCTAATAATGTGCGCGATTGCATTTTGTTACAATCGCCGATTTTTTCTCAGCATGGCGTGTTTTTGAACCTTTAAACATCATCACGCCGGTGTTTATTCTCCCTGATTCAAATTTCCCTCTGCATATACATGTATTGTTACACAATGACGACGTTAATGGCTTTTGTGTTTTCGTGGGGAATGATGAGTTCAATGTGAAAAACATGTTACCATATTATAGTCATCGGCGACGAAATGCTAAAAATAATAATTAATAAAGAGATAAATCTGCAACTCAAATTTCTTGATTAAAAAGCGGCATTCTGAAATATTAAAACTAAAACTTAAAATGGAAGATCACACGTTTGGTTTCAGCAGATTCACCTAGGATTGAAAACGCTTTTATAGACATTGCAAATCACAAAATTTGGTGTTATGTTAGGTTTTCATTGTAGTAACTGCGAAATCGAAACACAAGTACAATTGTGCGCGCGATGTAGGTCTACCTTTTTTCCCCATTTTGAAACTACCGACGGAGCCGCACGCAATCAATTGTGCGCGCGATCCGCGATGTACATTTTTTCATTCTGAAACTACCGACGGAGCCGAATGCAATAAAATAAATTTCAATTGTTCGTATTTTGCCCAGACATTGTGTTTTTTTAAAGGGCGATATCTTGCTTAAAAATAATTTCAAGTGCGAAAGAACAAATCAAGTTTGACAAATCCCAATATCGCAAAAATGCGACTCCAATTTATTGATAGTTGGCAGTTTATCACATATTTTATGTTATTTCAAAATAATATTCTTTCATTTTAGTAATCCTAATAGTAATCTCGAATCAAACGTGAGTAACCATGAGCACAATTACATTATAACGACGAGACACGTTAAATGCTCGCATTGGTCATGGATTGAATATTTCACACAACAGAAATCTCGTTATACGTTTTTTTGATCGCGAAGAATGTTGCGCGGTAATTTCCGATTCCAATTTTGAACCACCACCCTCTTAAGAATCCTGGCTGCGCTCCTGCTTAAAAATAATGTCATTTTTTAATTCAGTCTCTTTGCCATATTGTTGTCAGATTTTATCAAAGCTGTTATTGCTTCTTTAAACAGTTACAAAATTAGTCAGTATTTTGAAAAGTAATCGAATAGCTCGCGGAGCCCCTGGGTTCCTCTCGCGGAGCCCTGAGGCTCCGTACGGAGCACTTTGAGAACCTATGTCCTAGATCACTGAAACTTGTGTGTTAAATAATTTTCTTCTTTTTCGTAAAAGTACTTGAGAAATTTATGAATTCCTTTTTTTGGATTCACGCTGTGTTAATAAATCGATTGAACTTGATAATAATTATTTAATTTATTTATAGAATACTTGTCCGGGAGCTTGCGTTGCGTACGGAAGATACATGAATGACGTCATACAATCTGACGCTACGTCTGATGACGCAAAAGCCACAAGAATCAGTCCCATAGCTGCGGTAAGATATCATGACGGCTAGGCAAAGTAAAACTTTAGTGAAAATAAAATAAATTGTTATTAATTGTTTTTACAGTTCTTCATACGAAATCCCACTGACGGCGAAGATGCGAGTAATTTGGCAAACACAACTGGACTTACCAAGACGATTTCAATAACTTTTAAAAATCTCACTATTTCGACAGACGGCAATACGATCGTACAGGTAAACGCTACAAACTTATACTTTGCAATAGAACCAGTTGTTCAGTGAGTGATAATCGTTCTTTGGAAATTCGATCGTGCTAACATTATTGGGAACGAAGTGTACCTATGGGTCGTTTTGTTAATTATATGTTGTTGTTGTTGTTCTTGTAATTGTTCCTGTTGTTTTCCTGGTATTTTTCTTATTATTATTGTAAAATATTCTCTTTAACTACAGGACCAATTTCTTTTGAAATTTCCAGTGGTTAAAGATTGTATTCTTTGCTAGAAATTTATTACTTTTATTTATTTCAAAAATTCCTTTGGGTTTATGGTATTCTTATTTCGTGTGCGAGGATGTCATTAAAACTAATACTTAGCGTTAGATTTGGTGGTCAGGGGAAGTTGTGAAGAGTGCGGCAACGGTAGTCTACTGTGACAGATTCGTGTCTATATATTCGAGCATCGCTCTCTTTTTTTTTTATCTATGTTAAACTTTAAAATAATTTGTTCGAAGTATTTAAAAGTTATATAATTTTAGTGCCGCCATCTTGATGTCTCTGTATGGTCAACTGGTAGATGTATGGTCACCTGGGTATCTGCAACGGAAGTATTTTGCCAGTGCAATGTACATTTCGGATATTTCTCGTAAGTTTGTTTTGATTTTTGTATATGAACGTCACTAAGGTATTCCGCTCAGAACAAGACTCAGTATACAATGTAAGGAGACACTATTTTTGGACAGGCCAGAATCTCTATGTTCGGCAGCGTCTAACAAATTTATTACACCCTGAAAGACGTGACGGGGATCCGATTTGGACTTGAGATGAGTAACCGAAGTTCCAACACAGTTGGGCTTAACACTTTACCGGCACCCACCAAATTCAGCATTTTAATTAGTCTCCACCGAAAACATATCTGGCCGATCGATTGATTGAAATGCCGTTTGACCTAGCGTGTCTTTTTTTTAAACGAGCTATGATTTCAATAACAGCTTTTAATAAAATAACGAAAAAAATTAGAAAAACTATCTTGTAAATGATTATTCATGGATTCACGAGTACAGTTCCGTAAATAAACTTCAAGATGTCGGTATAAGTCAATAATTTGCGAAGATTTACAAACAATTTCTATTATACTGGTACTTTGTAATTCGATGAAAATTTCATAAATTTTCTATACTTTTCATTGTGTTTCCAACTTTATTAGGCATGATATGGAAGTAGAGTATCTGATGATTTCTTGGAGAAAGTGCTCCTGAAGTATGAGCACCAAGATGCCGCATAACCTGAACCCTAACCTGGTACACAACCTGAGTTCCATTTTCATAAGCCTAAAAAAACACTGGGAATGGGCTATTTCGTTAATTATATAAAAAACCAGCTAAATATAATTGAACTATTTCTATTTCTTTCCTTAAACTTATTTCCAGCTATAAAATTTGTCTGTGATAATCATTCTATATCATATTTTATAATTAAAGATGTATTATTAAAAACAATCATATCATACTTCAGGGTATTTGTTTATTCGAATGACACTGTCGAGTCCACCACCACAGATTCGTCTACTTCAACTCTCATCACAACTCCAGTAAGCAATGTGACAGATCCTACAGACACAGATACAACAAACTCTGCTGTGACTTGTAATGCACCAGCTAAATTGGCGGTGACGTGCTCAAGGTAATATTAAAAACATATTTTGAAATTGGAACCTATTTTTTAGAAATAATGTGGAATTTAATTGAAATACCGAGCAATTAGTTAAAATTTGAAAAAAATTGAAAAAAATACGGACTGCTACGTGACATAATCATTCGTGATATATTCAAATATATGCAACTGTATTTCACTACTGTATTAGATATTACATTCATATATAACAAGTATATTCAGAGATGACCAATACCGAATAGTTCACTCTTCCGAATACATTTGAAATTATTATTTTCGAGTATGAAAATTCGAGTGCGAAATGCGAATACATTGCAAAAAACAAGTGAAAAATGTTATATATAGTGTATGAAGGAATTCGCATACAATAAACAATAACTGTTATCTACAACCTGGCTATATTATCAGGCATTTCATGTTTGCAAATTACTGCGATATATACTTTAGAATAGTAATACTTTTATTTTTTCCTAAGTTGACGCAACCATGAGTTACGTTAAAAGAATTAAATTAATACGGCAGGCATTTTAAATAGTGGCATCGGTCATGAATTTGAATATTTAACATCGCCAAAAAGCGGGATGAAGTATAAATTATTTTTCCGACTTCTGACAATTCCTTTGTGAGCACGAAAATGTCACAATTTAAAAAATAATTTATACTTTATCCCGCTTTTTGGCAAATAATTTTGGTATATAAAGTATGGACTTCTTACTAGGATGATTTTGTGTTGCGCAAAATATTCAAATCCACTATTTAAAATGCTCTGTCGTATTAATTTGATTCAATTTATGTAACTCAAATGTTGGTAAATCGGGAAGTTTACCACACATTTTGTGTCCACAAATTTCCGCACTATTTCACAGTATTAATACTTTTAATATTTTGTAAATACAAAAATAGAAATAAAAAATTAATAATATCGGGCAGTTTACCACATATATTCTATATTCATCAAAATTATTTTTCAAAAAACGGGAAAAAGTATGAATTATTTTGCATTACTAAATCGACTTGTTTTTCCGACTTGGAGCAATTTATTTTGTATCGTAACAATTACGACTTTAATTAATTTTCAAATTTTCGATGTAATGGGAATGAAGGTGTAAATTAGAAGTGGGAGAATGGCGATACTGTCCGCCACGCAACCGTGCAAAGGTGTCGCAACAATATGCGACGCACGCTCGCACAGAATATAAACAATCAAAGTGCCGATTCTATTTCATTGTCATTACAATACGTGACAAGGCACATTGCAAGGCAAAATTTAGAAAAAAAGCGTAATATTAATGTGAACTTATTTTTATCAGACAATGTTTGGATTACTGTCATAAAGAAAGCGATACATGTAAGGAAAAATGTGTTCCAATGAAATCTTGTATCTGTCCAGTAGGCGCAGAAAAATTGGGCGGCCTATGTGTGTTGAACCCAGAATGCGATGACGAAGAACCGGGAAGTGAGAAAGCATTTTAATTTCTAATTTGAAACCTTTTGCAATTTTTGATTACCGATCAACAATTTAAGCCAGAAAGTTTTAAAAATTATTTCAGTTTTATTTAAAATAGTTGTGCATATTTAGTTTATGGTTCATTTCTTTTTTGATGAATACCAAAATCAAAATTTCAAAAAAAAGATTTTTGTTCTATGGTATATAAGCTTGCCATTAAATGATGGAGGAGAAATGACAGGACCAATGAAGTGTAATAATTCACATATTTACCCATTTTCAGACAATTCATTAAGTACCGCTGCCATCGTTGGACTGACTATTGCGATTATAGCTGTTTCGGTTGCTCTACTGGTTCTATTGTACTTGTACTACAAGAAATCTAAACGGGTAAGGTTTCGAGTAGAAAACATAAAATTTTGTTATTATTTGATTAACTCTACAATTCTTGAAATGACTATCGCTTGGAGACAATAAAAATATAATTTCATTTTCAACAAATTTTCCAATAATTTAGCGGCTAATTTTCATTCATAACATAAGTTGTAAAAGTTATCTATTGTTAATTTCTATACTATTTAACATTCATTACTAGTAGTGCTAAGCATTTCAAATCGAATATTCGAATCGAATAGTAAATTATTCGAATCGATTCAGACGGAAATTCCGAATCGCCGCCGTCTTGTTTTTGCTGTCCGCCAAAGGTCGAGATGGATATTATAATTGTCTTTATTGCAGCCATATTTTTACAATGCAATTTTGACATATGACTCGTTTACCTAGTTAGTAATCGCTGAAACATGTTTCTCATTCTGTTTGAAGGCTCAGCGAAATAACTGAGTGATGGATTTAATGTTTTCAGTAATTCATGTGTCTGCAGGGCCCACTACAGTAAAAATGTCCTACTTAAGTACATGTATTCGATTCAATTCAAAAAAATATTTGATTATGAAGTCATCGGCTAATCGAAAATGCCCAGCCCTAGTTAACGCCAAGCTATTTCATTATTCATGACAACCCTCAGGTCGTCAATTTCAATTGACATAGCCGTTGACTTAAATAGTTTTAAATTTTACGTCAACAGGTATCAAGTTGTACTTAAATCAAAATGGAAAACCCCCCTTCATAATATTAGTGGTATCTTGTGCCTTTTTGTTTAACTATACTTACAATTTTCTACTTTTTATTGAGTTTTATTGACTATTCTCTGAGAAAACTATGGATATTTCTTCCAAAAGTGGCCGAAAAGTCGATTCACTGTATTTTTTCAGTAAAACCCCATTCTTTCTGCACCAGGGTCAAGTCACTCCCACAAATAGTTCAGTTGAAATTGGCGGAGATAATAGGATGAATAACCCTCCCAAATACAACGAAACAAAGTTGGGAGACGATGACAGAGGAGCATTGTTGACAAACGAAGACGCAGGCCCCAGTGGAGTCAAAAATTCTACTTTCAGACCGGAATCAGTATCCGACCCACCACCGGAGTATTCCGAAAAGCCGAAGGAGTTGGATGCCGGCGGAGTATCGGATCCGGATAGTGAAGCTGATTGAAGACTTTTAAGTTTGCCTAAACTTTCACTATACAAATATTATTACAGTTATAGCGTTCAAGGCGTTTTCTGTCAGAAACATTACATATTCTTATCTTGTAACGTTAAGACTTTTTCTACTCTCGTCCTTGAGCACGAAAAGCATTATTTCCCGTTATTAAATCACTTTTTATGTATCGATTTTTTTTTATTTTAACAATCTATGTATTGGAAAACGGAGCCCGATACTGCCGCGGGGTAGACGTAATATTAATACCTCGAAAACACCTAAATGCGACAGAATTTTCTGCAGATAAAAAATTCAATCCAAGTTCCATCCGAAAATAATCAATGTTAACTAACATATGAAAACATATTGATGATAACGTGAACAATTACCACGTACACTGTTTTCTATCCTATCCACTGTCGATTCGTCATTGTGTGTGAAAAAACGAAGAGTTAGTAAAGATTTTTTTTACGGTATTTCCTGCTAAGTTTCACTTTATAACTTTTTACCAACGGAATTAAATATTGCTAATATGTTTTTGTTTTCTATTCTAGATATAGATCGTTGTCGTCGATTTTATTTTTCCCTGTGTATTGTATATAATAATTTATAGTAATAAAATAACAACTAGTGGACAACAGTGTTGATTGTTGGATAAGAAGACGGCGTTGGAACTGTGAGTCAATTAACTTTCGCTTCAGAGCGGAGACACAAACGAAGATTTTTTTCACTTGTCATATCCACCTTAACTGAATCACTAATTGCGCCAAGCAGTACAGGCACATCGGTCAAAAAATAGTGCTTTTATCTACGTATCGTTCTTCACAAAATTTGATGCCATCTGCCAGAAACTTAGCTGTTCTAGTCAGTAAACTTAGAGACTACCTTCAGAAAGAAAAATCACAAATCTGCTGCCATCATACCAGTTTATTACTCTACTACGATTCTCCACCAGATCAAAAACTCAAGTGATAAAAAACAAAAGGACTATATTATATCATACTTTAATGATACGAATCCTTAACTAACATGTACGGTTTTTATATACATGAAGTACGATTGGGTATGGCCGGAAAACAAAACAAAATGGTGGTGAATAAGATCTTCATCTTAGATAAATCGTAGGTAAAACATGCGTAAATATAGCACAACATCGTGTATATAGAAAACTAGAAATTATCCATTGTATATCCTACAAAAAGGACATTAAAAACAAATAATTTGAAGCTTTGCACCTTTATACAATTGTAAAAAAGATAACTAGCCTGTTGCAATATTGCAAAATTTCAGTGGTCAAAATACAGTAATAGAAGAATTTTTTGAATATCCTAGTTTCACACCGCCACCTGGGACAGAAAATGGCTTATACGTCGTTTTTCAAAATCCTTTTTTCTATTATTATAGAATACAATATTACCTTTTCTCTATTTCTAATCCAATCGCGAGTTAGTATATAATAACAAAAATATTACGCAAACAATAGGCAAGGCACAGTAGTTGTAAGCTATACGTAAAGCAAGCCAGATGTGTATGGTGGTCATTACTAGTAACATAAAAGAACGAACAATACCCATATAATGCACTTTTGAAGATGAAAAACTAAAAGTATCTAAAAAATGAAAAACACTTACCCTGATGTTCTAATTTTTTTACAACTTATTGCAGCTTTTGGTAAAGCATTTCAAAAAGTCAGAAATAAAATATGGCAAATTCGAATAAACAATATAATATACTGTTACCGCATACAGGAATGTGCAAAATGTCCGGTTAATAGCGGATTTTTCGACACATTTTTTTTTGTCAGAATTCAATTCTTAGTCCAAGCCCAAGGAGTATAAGTTTGCATTTTAAACAGCATTCTTTCAAATTTTATTATGTAATATTGACTATAAACAATATGTTACTTATAAGGCAAGGTGTATTATAACAGTAATCATAGCTTTCCTTGGTGAGTGTTAAATTTGGTGTGAAAGGCATGCAATGAAACATCAGTGAAGGTAACATCATTTATGAAGACAACTTTAACAGTATTTCTGTATAAAGGGATGGGATACTATACATATTGATCCTTGAAGAGGTGAGCCAGTCACACTCACACATTAAAAATGGTAAATCGTCCAGATCTGGTATAGGAATAGCTATGCATAAAATTCAATGTAGTTGTATGAAGTAGCCATACTAACCATGTTGTGGGCCCAAATTACATAATCATCCTCACAAGATTTTACAATTCATTGTCTTGCCAATCAATCTTAAGAATCATATCACGAAAAAACATGTAAGACTTTCTCAAAGCCAGAAACTAGCATTGCTAAACAGTATAGCATAGCAGTAAAAGTATATACATTCGTGCAAAAGCAGGTCATAGGAATAATGGCAGTTTTGGCCAAGTCATAAAAAACTGTAGTGTAAAGATATTCCCCAAAGCAAAACAGTGGTCTAGCAAGACTAAACAAAAACATGTCACCATCAAGATGAATGAATTACCAATTTATCTAGCTGATGTACAGCCTTCTATTTTTCCCTCAGATTATGATATTTTAAAACTCCAGAACCTAAATCTAGCAATCTCAAATCATAGATGAGAGAAAATAATAATATCCTAATCATACTTGGCTTAACCATAGTGAAAGTCTTCAACAATGATAGCATTGAACAAAATCTTAAAATCCCACCCTACCCTATATTAGCCACTATAAGTCCCTAATGGGCATACGCTTGACTAGATAAGCTTAGAGATGGGCAAACGTATTTAAATTGACTGAAACACCCTGGAAATAATTATCTAAAATGCCCATATTATTTTTTCGATAACATATTTGTTCAAATTCTAATCATTCCAGAGAAAAGTACTTTTTATATGAAATATTTTTCTACAAGATGTTTTCATGTATCCTCTCTGAACAAGGTTCTGTACAAGCAGCCCCATTTATGCTAATATGTCTAATAACAATTACCAATTTCTGGTACAGGTAATGATCACTATATGGAAAAAAACTTTGATAAAAAGGCATTGATTATACCAAACTGTTAAAAAAAAAGTGTGTACGCTGTTGCCTAGCTCTACCAAACCACGAAGAAAAACAGTGGAATGGATGATATCTTAACCAAAGGTATCATGATCATTTACTGAATGGATTAGTATGTTCAGTTGGAAAGATTTATGGAAAATACACAATACACATGGGCTATAATTGTGATTCAATACTAAATTTAAGCAATATAATGGCACAGTGGGTAATAAAACACACAAAACAGGGATTAAATTTAAGTAAACTATACAAGTACCTGTGATAAAGGTGCATTTTTGTAAAACAAGTTGACTATTGTTTAAGTATGGAGAACTATCCAAAAAATATTGAAGGTGACAGTTTATTCTTAAAAAAGGGGGAAATTTTAACAAGATTTTAACAACACAACATTTATTAAATAGGATTGTATCTGAATTTTAAAGTGTCGGGGTAGCTCGGTCATTGATTGGAATTGAGTTTTTTTTTCACAAACACTCGAGAGTGACTCAAGTCATATAAATTGTTACCAATGAACCTCTCGTGAGACTGAGTGATTGACTCGTATTCTATCTATGATTACTGGACTCCGACTACGAGATTTCTATCCAAAACGGATCTGAATAAGAATTGTGTGAAGATCTCCTTATCTAAACTTGACATTGAATTTGGTTTATCATTCAATACAAAATATATAAAGGTATAAGTCAGAAATATGGCAGAAAAAGTGCAAAAGTTTAGCGAAATATTCGAATTGAATGAAAAGCACCTTATACCCTGTTTAGCATGTTCAAGTATTTCTCTAAAATGGTATACAACTTCTTCTATGCTCGTAAAATGAAAAGTACAAATGACGGAGAATTTATGAAAAGTTCTGCTTGATATTTTTGATTATCACATTTTTTCTAGTCAGCTTTGGTGGGTTGTACGCTTTGTGGAAGAGCAATGCATGCTTTTTGCACAAACTTCGTAAGGTTTTCTGAAAAATAGAGGTAAAATATTAATTAGTATTTTGTGAAATCTGTACAAGATGAAAAATTGATTTTTACTTAGAGTTAGGAAAGTTGAAAACAGAATATCTTGATAAAATCAGTCTATATTTTGGTTTTCTTGTATTTGGCTCCGAAATACTGAGGTTTTCACTCATGTTTTTTTGAAAAATAAAATAAATACATAAAAATAACTCACGTTTTAGGTTAACAAACCACGCCGGATGCCTGTTTTCGAATGTTACAAAAATGAGGTATACTGGAATACCCGTCAGTGTGATAGCAGTACCAATAACACATTCCCAGAATGCACTCACGAAGGATAAAATGAGAATAAAAGCGCAAATAATGCAGAATAAAATTGGTAGCGCAATGTTCAGCTGGAATAAAAAAAAATATAAATTATGTGAGATAAATAATACGAAGGCATTAAAGCTTAAAAAATCTTGGCGGTTGGCAAATTATTCGTGAGACACTCTTGTCATCACAGTTACAAGTGTACTCAGGTTCGATGAGAGAGGTTCTCTCACTGTTGTGAGAACTTCTCACTGTTGTAGGGTGGTTTAAGTAACCACCATTCACTGATTCCATAATATATATTGTGTTGTTCTTTACACAACCGTAGTATATGTACCAGGTTAGTCCATAATTTTATTCAGATTTTCCTTATTTTAGTTTTATTACGAATTCGACACTGTCTGTGTTAGCCCCATAAATATACCCCTTGTCCATAGGCTTCAGTCCATTCACACAATTTGATGTAAAGTAGGCGAACAAAATTAGTTACCTCCATATTGATAGTTTGGTACAGATACTTCTGGAGCACCCTTTACAGTAGTATACGCAATTAAACGATTTCTTATTCAGAGCCTTAGTCAAAGCAGAGGCACAAATAACAGAATAAAAATGAGTTTGGAAGGATGATTACACAAGAATAACAAAAACTCACCTTGATAGGCCTGTCCAAGTCAGGAAATTTAAATCTCCAATATACTTGACCAGCGATAGCAACTCCATACCAAACCCAGTTAGCAAATCCAACGTAGTTGATCAAAGATTCGATATCACTTGTAACCAACATCAGGAGGGATAAACCAGCCTGTGAAAAAATTAATACCAGAACTTATAATAGTAACAAGCAAGTCAATAATTAACTGAATATGAGAAGGTCTGTATGCGGTCGGTTCAGAGTGTTTATATTGATAATGGAGCCAACTCTCCAAAATTCTGAGTTCTGGGAAGTCTGAGTTGAAATTTTCAAGCTGGAACTCAAGTCTTTCAATGGTGATAATCTGAGTCAAAATTTCTGACAAAGGTCAAAGCACATTAAGCTGACTCAATATTTTCAACAAACAATGACGCAAAGATGGCATACTCTTAAGTTCTTATCATTAAAATTTAGTTTATTCGAAAATGAAAGACCCTATTTTTGGAGGTTGTTTTTTTGTAACGACCTGTAATTTGGCATCAGGCTTCAATTTCTCTCAACTCAACATTTCTGGATGCAAGACATTTAAGTCACTCAATATAGCCATTTGCTGCTGTATTCCATGAATCAGTCTTGCTATTCGACCATATACAAAAGTTATTAACAGCAATAAAAAGTAGTTTTCAATCAGTAGTGCGTGAAAGTAGTGAAAATAATCAGCATTCTTACTGTGCATAGTAGAGCTGGTACCGGAGTGTAATTTTTAATGTTGATAAGAGCTAAGCATTCGGGCATATGTGACTGTCTTGCTCCAACGAAAAAACATCTAAAAATAAATTTTGTAATCTTAATTATTACACATTGATTAGCCTTTGCCTTGCATGGGATATACATAGAATAGATCACGGTATTTCGCTTGTTTTGCAAAATATCGTCAAATAGGACTCCAGGGGAATAGTGAAAAAAACTAGTGATGGCCTCCTAGCAACTACATCCAACTTTAAGAACTGAAAATTTGAAATTGATTGGTGAATTAGTAGGAAAGAAAAACAATTTTTGTTCCCAACAAGAACTTGGCACATAGTTCAACTTTGCATCCAATAAATAATGCCTATTGCCTACAGCTAAATTAATGTTGTTATTGAAAATAGGTTAAATGGTTCGTGGTTTGCATTCGTTGGATTACATTTGACAAACAAAAAGATTTTAATATCAACACAGTTGGCTATATCTTATATGATTTAAATCATTCAAAAGTAGGCAAGTTTCACATTTAGATAAAGTAGACCACAATCAATAAGAAGTGAAATACCAATATTTGAATAGATAGTTCGAAAGGTATTGAAGAAATGATGCAATATAGTATCAAACGTTTCAGTATCAAATAATGAAATATTAGAACACCAGCAAGTAGGCGTGGTTCAAACAGTGAGGTGTGTCTAGTATGTAACAACAATAAAACTGGTGTTATATATAACATATTTAAATATTCCATTCCATATTTATTGTATCGAATGAGTAGAATACACACATGAAAAATTGGAAGAAATAATCGTTTTAATCATGCCTAGAGCGTTCACATAGAGATTTTTAGTAAATAAAAATGTTTGTAGTATTTACTAAGCAATTTCCAGTAAATAAAAACGTGTTAGAACTTTTTGATAAGATTGTTTCTTTCAGTAATAATAATATACATTGAATGGCAGTGATTTCGCAATTCATATTTTGCAAAAGGTCATAGCCTGCGATTGTGTTGTAGCATTAAGCATACCATTATCATTTATCCTCGAGGGATTTCAAATTGATATGACATGCCTTCGAGAAGATCAAAGAAATATTATAATCTGGGAATGCAAAACCAGTAGAATATATACCAGTATATTGACAAATGCTGACATTTTTATTCCGTTTAAACAATATGTAATTGAAGTTATTGTGTTCTGAAATTTTTCAATAGCGTTTTGCTTATTATATTATCAGTTTCTACCATTGTTTAAAAATGTAAACAACCTACCGGTATCAAAAATAATGGATAATACTAACTCCACAATCATTTTAATACAAGTGAGAACGATACTTTATTTTCAAATACCAGATACCTAACCAACTAATTTTAAAATTGACATAAATTAAAAATTTAAATAAAAACTTATAAAATATACTAGATAAAATGCATTTCCATTATGACCAATTAAAAAAATTTTATGGTACGTTTTGAGAACTGTTTATATAAGAAATTCGAAGTATATGGACAACCCAAATTTATTTCTTACAATAGTTCTGCCAGTTTAACCATTCATTTTATGGTGTTTTATTGGTTTAAGATGGATTTAGTAGTCCCTAGTAAAATGAACTTTGCGCCCACTTGATAATACCAAACAAAAACACAACTCAGTTTGTTGCATTTACAGATTAAAGATTATGGGAATTTCAAATAATAATGAAATCATACATGATCAAATATGTACCCTATATTAAATTTAAAACGCACCTTTTAAATATTTGAAAAATATAAAGAACGAGAAGCATACATATGAACTACTCGCTACAAGTATCGGATTGTGGTGCGTAGAGAAGCAATCATGAATAGAAATATTCAAACTTAAATAGACATAAAACGTGTTAAGTGCAGCACTTCAGTAGAGTTAGGTAGCAGGGATGTCAAAAATGGATCAAACATTTCAATTCACATCATATAATATGGTATATTCTTTATTTTAAAAGGGATTTTGAATATTTTTCAAAGTGATATCTGAATTCTTCAATTAACTTTCGATCTTTTCTCGAGTGTATATATCACAAATATATAAATACCTAACCCAAATCTCCAACAGACCTAAATTGTAAGAAATGAAGATCATAGGTCCTAAGCAGGGTCTTTGTCTAACGCTCATTAGCGATCAATATGAAAACTTCTTTAATATAAAGATCATAGGTCCTAAGCATGCTCTTTGTATATTAATGGCCATCAACATAAAAACTTCTTAATCCGACATAATTAGACTTGAGCATTCAATTTACAACCCAATCCATCATTTAATAGCAGACATAAACACTTAGTTGTCTGGCAATAAAATACAATGATTGCCTTGATAATCTCCTTTCACAGGAGTTATTTAGTCAAGTGTAAATAGTTAAATAGGTCACTATTTTAGTTTTAAAGTTTAAAACTTTAATCATGGATTAGTTACTTTTAGAGTGTTGTTAATGATAAAAATAAAATCGAAAGGTGTCGCTTAGATTAAAAAATAATGTCTATAATGTCTAGTCTATGGTTGGTGATATGAAATTTTGTACTTTAAAAACGACAGACTATTTTTACTGTATTTTAGCAATACGATTGCATAGGAATAGTTGTAATGCTGACAAACAATTTAAAAAACACAACTCAAATTTGATTGTCACTGAAAATTGATCACCACAAAAAACAGCCGAATTGCATTATTTTGACAAACACATGCATCACTGTAAAAAACATGAGTTTGCATAATTTTTGCAAGTCCACCATTTAACCGGGCATGAACTGATTTAGAAACAAGACTATGTTAAATTGAATCTGACACCTTCAAATAACAAAACAAAGGTAACTATAATCTCACAATTCTAAGAAATTGACAAATAAGCAAATGATGAGACACCTAACACCATAGTGACAATTGACAAAAGAGTTTTGCAACAAACTGATTTGACATGTAGGAAGGGTGTGTCAGCAATGGTTTCTTGGGTTCTAGTAGGCGCTAGTGTATATATCATAGTAAATATTTAATAAGCAATTTCATATATACAAATTATTATAATTCAAGTATTTCACTATTGTTCTAAACAAGGATATGGAGAAGAATCGACTCCAAGGGTGAGAAGCTACTAGTTTTACAACAACAACAAAATTGTTTGGAAGTTGTAAGTGTACCCAATTTATAACAGTCTGTATGAAATAATGTACTTGGACAGTCTGCTCTTCTTTTAGTAACCCAGAACCCTTTCATTTTATTTAGACTTAAGAAACAGTAGCAACATGTTTGAAAATGTCGCGCAGATGTGGTATTTTCTAACATATTCTAATTAGGTATATTACAGGAAAATTCTTTTGATTTTTCTGCATTTTATGGAAGACGCACCGCATATTCTGCATATTACTTTGTTGAATACACTTTTTGCATGATTTACACAAATTCTAAAATAAGCATACAAGGCCCTTAATATTAAAAGCAAAAGACATAGTATTGTGGAATTGCTTTCATGGATCATTCCATTCATAATTCTATATTTGTTTAATTGTTTACGTAAAAATTACATAAATTAGATTACAAATAAAAAATATTCCTACCTGGATGATACTAGTAATGATCCATTAACACCTCCAAATGTTGACATCGCGACAGAGATAGGAATAATCCATGCCATCACTCCTAGTAAATTGTTTCCAAGTGTCTAAATTACAAGTTTCAATTTGATATTACAGAGCTTGAATTGAGCTCAATTATTAGAAATGTCCATCATTACGAAGTTATTAATTTCAGCATACAACACTTACCACTGCGACAGCATCAGATGCTAATAAATCGTTTGGCGACATTGCAGAAAAATAAGCAACATTTGCCAAAATGTAAACAATAGTTACAAGAGGCATTGATATAAGGATTGCACGAGGAAGATTTCTGAAGAAAGTAAAACAGACAATTCAAATTTTGACAAAAATAAGGCGTAATTCATGGGTAATATTACTTTATCACATTAAACATAAAATTCGTGTTCGTTACAGACTTGGGGACTTTGATATTATCCCAAGGGTAAGATAAAATGTAATATGAACGGCAGATGACAGCCTTTTGTCTGCTTAACAAGCCATGTCTATGTACGAATAGATGTCTATGTACGAATAGTAAGCCAGTTAATTTTGTACCATATTATAGATAGATTTTAATGGCAGAACAAGCTGTTACAGACCAGTGTAACTTTTTTAACCACCAATCATCTCCCACCTGATTCAAACCTATCAAATGTATAAGTGGGTGCCAAGATGCTTAGCACAATGTTCAAACTGGTGATATATTACCAGGTGAATAGGCAAACGAAAAAGAATTTTTTATCAAAAGCCCCTCTACTATCTCTGTTTTCAATAAAAAATAAACCGATGACATTTTAAACTTCAATTCTGAGGAAAACTATCAATAATTTATAAATGACTTATACCTGTAAGGATTGATCATCTCTTCTGTAATAAAGTTGAGATAATTCCTAAAACAAAATATTTCAAGCAAAATTAAAAAATTTTTTTTTTACTTTTTACAAATTATCTCTATTTAATGAAAAATAAACGAACCATCCTGCATATGCAAAGAATCCTTGATATGCCGCAATTGCAATTTTATCAGCACTGACATCCTCTTTTACCGGCAACATTGACACAGATGGATCAAGGTATTTAGCCTTACCTAGTATAGAAATAACAAATCAGCGAATTAAAATCAGCAAACCATTGAATGGTTACAACTTACAAATCAGCAGGATAGAATCATGTGGGGAATGATTATGTGCAAGAGGAATGTTGTACTCCTCAATGTCATGTGGTGGGTCACGTAACCGCTGGCCGACAGCTTCATGTCAACTATTATCATACCAGACAAGAGACCGGGGTAGGTCTTCAGGATAAATATGAAAACCTTATCCTATAAATGTCATAATTATTTGCGAATGGAAAAATTTGATAAAAAAATGATTTACGATTATCCGTATTCTTGAAATACCCCTTTCCAAACTTTATTCAACTTGACTTGGAAATCGTGATATCAATGATGATTTCGATGCCTATATCTGTCATAGAAGTCTATAAGTTAAGAAAAAAAGCAGCAAGCAAACCATCTTACCTCTAAATATCTGTACAAATCCACAAATTATAATAAGAATCAGAGCACCGAGTTTAGCAAAAGTAAAAATATCTTGAACACGTGTTGCCCACTTCACACTTTTACAGTTGACCCATGTTAAAATACCTGAAAAATATACATATGGTCATTAATATAAGGTTAGATACATTGAGTTGAAGTCTTGATTAGTTCAACCCGAGAATTTGTTTAAAAATTGAGAAAACTTCGAAATAAAGATTTGCATACTTTTACGCAAAATAACACTTACAAATGCATATTGCCGCTAATAATCTGACGGCTGACTCTGGAGCTGCACATGTTTCAAAAAATGGAAAAACAGCGTATTTTGCAAAAGTCAACGCAATGATTGCTTGATTAGTTGGATAGATAATCAACACTGCAATCCATAATCTAAAAATAGTATAATAAAGATGTTTATACACTTTTGCTCTGAAAAAGGTACTGTATAAGCAGCCACTGTTACGTAAGAAGTTTAAAGTATTCTGGAAGAACCTGAATCTTAAAGTCTATTAAATTAAACCTACCTTAGAAATGCTAGAAGTGATCCAAAAATTTTTAATATATATGCGTAGTCTCCACCAGATTCTAGAATAGTTGTTCCGAGTTCAGCATAACAAAGTGCCCCAATTGTAGATAATATACCACACATTGTCCATACAATAAGTGATAACCCAACAGAACCAGTGTTTTCCAAAACACCTTTTGGTGACACAAATATACCAGATCCAATGATATTACCTGAAAATGTAAGCTTTTGATAAGAATGCATTTAAAAATGATGATGAAGTAAACTGAGCTTCATTTAGAAATATTGTTTTTATTTCACAATACATAAAAATATCAATTCCACTTTAAAATCAATACACATGCTAAATGAAACTCGCAAAAATAAGTGTAGCAAAGTTGCTTTTGATTCACATAGAATTGTAGAATAGTCATTTATATTATTCCTACAGCACCCTTTCATTACACGCATAAGCATCCACCATGACAAACAGACAAAGGAAGTTTCAGGGTTAGTCCCGATATATAACACCGAACTAATAAATTGTGTTTATATTATAAAGATTTTTTTATTAGTAACCGAGTTTTCAAATATTGCTCCCAAAATATTACTTTCATATTTCATTTTTATTTGAGCCGTAATATATATAAACTTTAAATGAATGACAAATGTATATTCTTATGTCCATATAATAATATATAAAGTTATAAATGGATATTGTGTGAGCTTTCTTACCTACGATTATTCCAACGCCATTCATAACTGTGATAGTGCGCTTCAATCTCACTTCATCCTGTGAATAATGATATATTACTGTGTTAAAGTCAGTAGTCTGCACAAACCATATTCAGATAGAAATTACCTAAATTTTTAAATGATGTACTGAAATGCTATCAGATATCTATGCATATGGAATGATAACTTTGCACATAGCACAACACCAAGCAGGGAATAGATGAAGTCCAACAAAGAAAAAAATTCAATCTCTAACTACGAAACTAAAAAGAACAATGCAGTGATGTATTTGAATGTTCCCAACCTGATCAAGAACATCCACATCTTGATTATCCTGATGTTGGTCATGATTTTTATCCTTTGTTTTCAATTCAACAGCTGGAAGACTGTCTTCGTTTTTCAATAAGTTGTCTCCAGATGCATTTGTATCGTTCAGTGCCGCCATTACACTTGTTCTTTATGGGATAGTTGAGTATTTAGGTTTCACTCAAATTAGTAGATAAACTAGCCTACCTAGCGCATGGAAACAAAAATGAATCAAAATTCTTGCCACTGTAATAGACTTGCTTTATTACGTGAATCGAGAACTTCCTCGTTACCACGAGTAAATAAACGAACGCCAGACAAAACAGCAAAATACTACGACATTTCTCGCACGCAGTCGAATATATACCCTCGGGCGAAACGACTCGCCTAAACAATAAATATTCTACGACGTATCTCAATCGATGAAGCTTGTTCGTGCAATATTTACACTTACGGAATCGAAACAAGTTTGGGCCACGCATTTTATATCAATTGGCGTAGTAACCGGACGTTATAATGCGTAACAGATACTTTGCTTATAAAATATTGCGTCACACAATGAAGCCGGAGACGCAACACGAAACAATTTCCATGAATGGGACGACAAGTGCCACGTGAAACGACTATGGTCTTCCTCCGCTAGCGTTATGTACGGTAATTTAGTCAAAATTTCTTGGCTGATTATCACATAACTAACTCAATGAATACCAGTTGTGTACAAAGCCATTTTTATAATCTGGTAAAAATTCTTCCTGTCCTAATTCCCAGGCACCAAGTAATGAATTAGAACCTACTAAACGACAAATAAAATTATTATTAATCTATGAAATACCGTGGACGAAAGGACCACTGCCGCATTTATTGAATAGGTATACAATTCTCTCAAACTGTTCACCAAATATTTGCACAAGATCACACCGTTGAAGGCAATTTTGATCGTTTCACTCGACCATCATGAAGGTCCTAATCGTAGGGTTCCTAAAAACTGGAACTAAAAGTATGTGTGAGGCATTGGCGCTACTTGATTACAAGGTGTCATACCATGGCAGAGATTTCAGCGAATTATATGAATATTGGAATAAGTTTTTAGACGGAAAAGGCCGACCTGAAGAGCTGCGAAAATGTTTGAAGGCTTTGATACTCTCAGTGATATTCTTGCAATGGCTTATTGGAAAGAGTTTTTGGTTGCATTTCCAAATATAAAGGTGAATGTTAACGTATATCGAGTGAAATTTTTTATTCAGTTGCCTGCTGCTCCGGCGACTAAAAATCATGGATATTCTGTTCTGTTGTAATCCGTGAATATTGAAGGCAATTTATTTCTCAATACTAGCCATCGCTTCTGCAGTTTAGTGAAAACTGACAATGTAGCCTAACTGAAAGTGTGATTTGATTTCAGCTCATTCTCACGATGCGTGAGCGAAAAAGCTGGGTGAAATCTTACATAAATCAGCTGACAAAATACAACCAATCGGCATTAAGTTTCCCTCTGTCCATATTTTCACCAACAGCCAGACGCTGGTGGGACTTTCATTGCAGACCACGTAAGTCCCAACTTGTTTATTTAACACCCCAGATATAGTGCATGCTGTTTACTTTTGTGAGAGCTGAACAATGCTTTATCTATACACAATTCTCATTCTTCAGTCGCAGGCTAAAAATAAAAGGAAAGTTATAATGATCCAAAAATTGAGTTCCATTTTATTTTTTATTGACTATAATGTCAAATCACCCATTTATAGGAAACTATGAAAATTATTTCTCTGATACCTAATGTGCTATTTCGACCATTGTAAATATTTATTTTTGCAGTAGCCAAAGTTTGTAAACTACCCACTACGAAGCATTTTTCATTAAGGAAATGCTTTCCTATTGACAACGAAGAAACATGTTTGAAATTTTATGACGAATACAATGACGACGTTATAAAAGAAAATCATATTCTTTTAGTTTTGGGTTCCCGTGATTTATTCTTTGTTGTCCCGATGGTCGTCTAGCAGCTAGCTGTTGAAGAGTTGGATTAGCCGTGTTGGACTGTTGGTGTCGCAACTCGCAAGTTACACATCTCGGATTTACCATCACTCACCCCGGAGATAATAAAGTGGGTAGGCAATGCCGAACCGAAAAGATTTCTGTCCTTTCAAAAATAGTAGAATAGCTCCTGCTGGGTAAAAATGTAGGTATCATTCGTTTATATACGATCAGGGCGATGATAGGCCCTAGGCTACGTCATTTGTGAGTCTACTCTTATTATTAGGATGAAAACTTTTCAATTTCAATATATTTTGTTCTTAACCTCAAATTTGGACAAATTCATTTATTCGAGCCTATTTCAATTTTTTATTCTTATGAACGAAAAATGTTTGAGACAAGAATTATTAACGTGATTAAAAAATTGAGCGAATATCAGTTTTTTAAATTTTAACTGGTTGTATTCTGGAAAAGGCCTTTAACATTAAAATGGGAATCCGATCCTGTATATGGCAAATGTAATCAATTCGCCATCGCATTGTCTTTAGAGGATTTCGGTGTATGTTTCAGAAATCAAAAAAGCTTGTCCGTGCAAAAAAATAGTTGCTCGTGCTTTAAGAGCAGATGTTATAATGTTTTGAGAAGGAAGTGTTTGTAGGAAAGACCAACTAGTTATTAAAAAAAAAAAAAAACTAGGAGAAAACACCCCAAAAACAAGCATCAGCAATAATAAAGCACGTGAGGATATTTTACGGCACCATATAAGATATATCTTCAAACATACATGAATATAATGTTTATGGAAATTTCTACATTTCACAGAATGCACCCAAAGATCGTCTATTCATATATAACGTAAGGCGGATGGAAGCCATTGTGCGAATTTCTCAACGAAGACATTCCAGAAAACATAAAAGATATGTACACTGAAATGTATATCGTTTTTACTCTATCAGCAGCATTCATTTCCCTCTTCGTTTTATGGTACAGGCTTCTCACGGTAATATAATACAGACCAGTATGGAAGTTACGGACAAATGCTCTTCAAACGTTTGATGACAGGCGCTTTATTGTATTGAAGTTACGCCAAAATGTTAGTCAAACATTCAGTGACTGACGCTTTTTAACAGTATTGAATTTACGGTGAAATGGTAATTAACATTTAGCGACTGACGCTATTTAACAGCATTAAAGTTACGGTGGAATGCTATTTAAATAGTTAACGACGGAAGCGTTTTAACAGTACTTATTTACTTTAATACAGTATTCAGATAACGTGTAGTCATAGTGACCTAAAAAGATCAATAATATAATAATAAGAATTTCGTAATCAAATGAGTACGGACAGCTAAAGTATAGCTTCGGGGCGTACACATTTCAGCTATTTGATTCTGTATTATTCTGATGCGATTCATGCGCCTTGTATGGCGCTTATGTTAGTTGACACAAGATATCAACAACTCCATGACTAAAGCCCAGAAATCAGCTATACGGAGGGTAGCTCCAGTATAGTAGGAGCTTTATTTTTTTGACAGATTAAAAAACAGTTTTGGAGTTGTTCGATGGGACATGGTAGGAAGTTCTAGCTAGCAGGACAGATCCCGTTGTAATATTTAGCGTAAAATAATCTCGGAAAAGACACATCTTCAAAGTCGACGTTAAAGTCTGTAAAATCGTTATCAAATACGTGTATTTTAGGCTGATATATAAAAATGCACATCTTGGAATATTTATCGAATTACCCACAAGGAATTGAGTATGTTTGTCGTGTCAATATTTGAATGACTGACCAATGGTTACATAATGATTTACGTGGAATGCGAGAGATTCATGCGAGCCCAAGGAACGATAGTGAAACGTGAAATTGAGATAAATGCTTTTATTTCGGGTAGGCCTACTCCAGAAAACGACTGCACGATGCGAATTTTTAGGTTGGTGATATACAAATTGATTTCGCAATAAAGTATAGTTCTTAGCCAAAAGCTGCTGGGGTAAACAAGAGAGCAAGGCACAGATGCACACAATGTATTAACGCTTTTGTCGATAGATTGCTGAGCATATTATGGCATTTATAAGTAATTTATGTTCGTACAACCGTAAATATATACTACTACGGGTACAATAACAAATTAGCACAACAATTCATAGATGCATATTGAGACAATCTACGAAAGCGAAATGGTAAGATTTGGTGAACGTATAAGATCAATTCATAATGTACATGTTCCTTTTTAACTGGCTAGTCGTGATAGTTATTGTACAACTGTCGGATAATTGCTACAGGCAAGGACCAAAAATGAAGATAATATGTGCAGGACTTCAGAAAACCGGTACAAAAACTATGGCTCAAGCATTAAGAATACTTGGCTATAATGTACATGATGTATTTGAACAGTTTTTCTACGAAAAAGAGTTGTGGAACAAGGTTGGTAATAGAGTAGACAACAGCGGTACTCCCGTAGTGTGCGTACCAAATTGGGGTTAGGACCTAATTTTATTCCGATTTTCCTTATTTTAGTTCTAATAGTTTCGGGACTGTCTGTGTTAGCCAAGTGAATATACCCCATGTCCATTGGTTTCAGTCCCTTCTGGAGTGCCACAACAGCAGCAAGCTATAATTGACTTACGTCATTATGAATTGCTTCCTTCATAAAGACACAGGTATTCCATTAATTTGGAAATTATCCACACGTTTCGGATCCAACTGTGTATGTTTTTGTATGTATGATACATATGTTTCTTGTGTGCGAATTTGTGACATTATTTCGGACTCTTATTTTCAGTAGGCCTATTGTAAAATTTGCATCTTTGCAATTTATGTGTCGGGGTACACAGACATAGAGGAATTGTACACTTCTGTGGCGTTATAATTTTTACAATGTTTACATCAAATTGCAGGTTCTCGAGAACTCGGCATCCGTGAAAGACTACCAAAAATTTCTCGGAGAAATTGATGCAGTAATGGACTGGCCTGCTGTTGCTGTTTGGGAACAAATAATGGAAGCTTTCCCGGATGCAAAGGTAAGAAAATTCAAATAAAACTGATTGCATTAATAGTATTCATTTGGTGATTATTTAAGCTTCTGGTGTCATCCCAGGTATCTTCGATCTTTTTTCAAGTTACCCCAGTATGGAATATAATATGTATATATATCTGCTGAGTGGCTTCGCTTCCATATAGCAGATATATTATAACAGAATTTAAGGAATCACACAGCTTCTCAGACCGCCAATGCTAGTTTATGGACTAATTTGATGGCAGATGCTTTATTAAGGTTTGGTAAATTCGACTAACGGGCTAATTCTGTTCACAACAAATGCGTGAAGTCAGATTCTAGGCGAATATATAAGATCGCGCAGATTCGACTTTCTTATGTTATATTTGGACAGATATCTGGTATTTATGAACCACGTGGTTCTGAGTTTCGTATGTGTGGCGCAACTAAGCTACAACTTACTTTACTGATATTCTTATGCGCAAAGAATAAAAAGCCTGTGATCTTATTATTTTTGTTATAGATAATTCTGACGGTTCGTTCGACAGAAGATGAATGGTACGAAAGTATGAAAAAACATTTTGAAGTTGCAAACCAATATGTAACGTGAGTAAATGGAAGAAACTGCATATTTTAACCTATTGCGAAGTAATGATTTCTTTAACTATTCTTTTAATGAAGTAATGACTATACTTTTAATCTCCACTGTCGGTTTAACCTTCAGGATTCGTATGGTATATTTATTCGTTTAGAATGAATGAAAATTTACTCAGAATACTTTTACTATTTGCGGGACCACTTGCCAGAGAATTCAATAAAACGCAAAGAGCGTTTATACCGGCCTGTCTTGGATTGCCGGTAATGTATGGATCACATACTGAAACGTTTCTGAGGTAAGTTACTGAAAATCTAATGTAGGCTATGTATGCACGATGGGCAGCTTCAATGGTGACCGTACATTTAAACCCATGTGTATATCCGCGGGTCCAATCTATTTGTGGGTGCTAAAACCCATGGGTTAGGGTTAGTATGGGTTCAAATATCAGTAAAACAAAAAAAATTTATATAGGTGCAATAGTTACAGGTGCAATTGTCGTGGGTTCAAATGTAATGGAAGTGGAACCAGCTTCCACAATGTCATATTTCACTTTCCTAGATCTCGCTATCGACAGCATAATCTTTATGTGAAATCAATTTGTCCGAACGAAAAACTTTTAATATACAATGTTAAAGATGGCTGGAAGCCACTGTGCGACTTTTTGAACGTCGGATATCCGGATACGCCTTTTCCAAGAGAGAACATAAAATCGGATATGATTCACAAACTTTTGAATAATAAATGGGAGCACGATTGCGGATTCCAAAGCCGTATGGATAGACAAATAAGAGTAAGATTGGGAATAATATTAGCTGTGATGCTTGCAATATTTTCATATGTTATGTACACAGTTCTCGGATAAAAAAAATCCCGGAAAACCATTTAAGTTTCAATCTTCCTAAAACTGAAATATACGTTTTTGCTGATGGAAGTATGATTGGTGGTGTATGGTTGAATTATCAGCATCATGGCGACTTGTAATTTGAAAGTAATAATTATTGTGAAAAATAAAACTATTCAATTCGATTAATTAATTAGTAGTAGTTAATTAAATATGATATTTCTGGGTATGACTTACAGCCACAGCCTTTATCATATCGTTATTAAATATTTCGTATGTGTGTAATAAGTACAAAATTTGTACCATCAATTTTATCTGTGTAATTTGTAACAATTCTAATAATCAATTGTGAAAATTAAAACAGTGCATGATCATTTAGATAAATAGTCAAAATGATTTAATCATATGGCATCTCGTTTGGTTACCAGTCCATGTTCAAATGCATGAATTAACTGCTGGAGGAAATCTTACCAACCAGCGGTTACGTTAGCACAATAAGACGACAGGAGTTTACCAATCACCTAGGACACAATTGCCTCCGACGGGATTTGATCCCACTAAGGGTGAGCATAGGTGCGATGGCAAGCATGTTCCTAACGCTCAGCACGGTGCGCCAACGTCGGTTCTGAGAAATGATTAAATGGAGCAAAATCACGAAGCCTTGAAAGTAGCTCATTCCTAACGTAACGAATGTTTTTATCGAACCACGAGCCCATCACATCGTTGGAAATTTAAAACATCATACGCAAAATGAAGCTTAAGTCTAGTTTGAGAGTCGATGAAATTTCATTCAAAATAGTTGAATATTTACTCAAAATTCCAAGACAGCCAAAGTTCTTCTTCCTCTTCTCAAAAAGGGTAGCATTTCAGATCTTGGAAGTTATAAACCCATTAGTTTCTAACGTCGCTTTCCAAAATTTTTGAAAAAATAATAGCAGAATGTCAAGTTATCGGGCGCGAAGTCAAAATTTTGTTGTTGTGTGAATTTTTTTCTTGTTGTATATGAAAAAACGCCGTTCTCGTTAACTACCAATTGTTTTAAATTTTCAACGGTTTAAGATTTTACCTCTGTGGTTGTGTGTGAATTGAATCAATACTTGCAGGTGAATGAAAACGTATCACTTCTTTATGACAAAACCTTCGCTTTGCCTCGCTCAAGGTCTTGCTTTTGTTTTCGTTTATTTTTTATTAATCATTTTATGCAATGCAATATCTTTCTGTATTGTTTTGTTTGCTCTCTTGATTCTATAATCAGTTTTTGATTTATTCACTTTTATCAAATACTTTATCGTCTGTCATGCGGATTATGGAATCGAAATAAAGTTATATCTCTAACTAAAAAGGGTCATGAAATGACTGCTTGATTGGTATATCTCCGCCTTTATGTATTAAAAATATATTCCGCCGAGATATTATGGGGTTAGTGCCAAACTTTAGGTCAGGGTTTCCCTAACTTTCAGTTCGTCGTTACCCTTTAGACCAGTGGTTCTTAACTTGCGAGCCTGCTGAATCTCTGCCGCCGAACCCCATCGCATTGAACGGTTGAAATTATTTCCCCAATCCTATCTTTTAAAGAGGAAGTTAATTTTGTGCAAGGTTATAGAAAATGAACATCGTGTGTAACCTTAGATATATATCAATACCCCGTGTGGAAATAGCCATTGTTTTGTCACAAAAGTGTCGGCGCCAAAGGAAGCAGATGTTTTTTTCAAGTTTTAATAAACGTGTATATAAGTGAAAATTTGATAATAAAAAGCAACTTTGAAAATCCGAAAGATGCCAATATGCATCAAAAACGTCGGTATTTCAAGTAATTTGTTTCTCAAACTGCATTGAAATTCGGATAAAAGCGTTTGCCAATTGTTTTATTTTACGGAAATAGATATAGGATATTATATGACTAAATGTACGACATCTATGAAGTTTTCGATGAAATGTACTGGGAACAAAGGTGTAACATCGACAGGTCTACTTAAACTTATATCTGCGCGAAGCTATACACACAGCTAAGCTAACTTATTATTTGTTGAAGGTGTAAGTTTGAATTTCTGAGATGAACTTTAGTTATTTTTGCATGATTAGTGGAATAGGTAATAGACAATCATATAATATGAAACTGTTTCGGAGGATCTTCGTTGAACCCCTGGAACAGCTCCACCGAACCCCATGTGTTCGATCGAACCCAGGTTAAGAACTACTGCTTTGGACAATTTAAGATTCGCTTGCGTAGCATACCCCGAAAATTGCACTGCGTGCTGTGATTGGTCAAAATAGGTCATGGGAACTACGAAAGCAAGCTTGTTGGTTACTGTGGTGTAGTTACAGCACAGATGGTTAGCATTCTTCTTCTCTGTGGTTACAGCTTCTACTTTGAATGAACTGTGACTTCCTAAAGAGTTTTTTCTTGGTAAATTATTTAAATCAGATGATAATATTGTAAGACAAATTACAAGCTATGGAAAGAATATTTTCGCACCTTATGTCGAGATGTACCCCAAATTGGGAACTCCTCCTTTAGGCAGATACATACATTCGCTGTTTTAGGAACAATTGAATGACTGCTTAGCACTTTTTAACGGTACGGTACAAGGAGCGCATGTATTGATGTTCAACATAAATTTCTTAAGAACAAATATTTTTTGTAGCAATTTTCAGGAATATTTCTTGTGGGATATTTTTCGGGTGGAATTTTTATTTCAAAGGGAACACTGCCAGGGTTAGCAACAGAAGATACCTTGCTACAAGTATACCGGTACTACCAAGCGTGATTGCGGGGCCAGGGCAAATGCGACATGGACCAAATTAATTTTAAAAATGAGGAAGAGGTGAAAGAATATTTGCAAAATACCGAGATTGAATTTATGTTTGGGTGCGAAAAAGAGTTCAATTCAGACAGTGAGTGCTGTTTTATACCTTCAACAATTTAACTTAGTGCTGCAGTCAGTGGTAAATGATAAGCTTCTATGAATTTTTTGGGAAAACATGAAAAAATTAATGCAAGTTCTCCAAAACTATTGACTAACTACTGTCTATAATACTACAGGTTGTGCCAGGCTTGGCAACTTTCTAGAAGTCGTGCGAAAGGACTACAAAGGTGCAGGCACTGCTTACAAAACATGTTGCCAAACATATAGGAATCCACTATGCTGTTACAAAGCTGGTCAATTTCATATGCTTGGAAAAGGTGAGTGACATAGGCATTACGTGTAGGATTATCATATTACAGTATTATCCACATCACTGAAAAACTGAGCCCTAGAACTGTTTTGAAGATTATATATAGTCTCTTATGGTGTTGGGACTTTTTCATGTAATTTACATGCTGTTTTGTGTCCACTGTGTCGCAACCAAATCATATATTCAAATATATCAAAAAATGTCTATACTACTATGTCAAAATTGTCCCTCTTATTGAAGTTTTGCAGTTAATCCCCATCATTTTGTGCATACTTACAAGTTATATATAAATTCAGGTGGCTTGGCAAAAAGCCAGGTTGGGGCATTCGACTCTTACAGAACTGCATGTATCCAGACCAAGACTAAAGATGAAGGCAAAAATGACAGAATTGCAGCAAGCTGTTGCAACATGGGCTTGTTGTTAACACAATTTCCAGTGAGTAACTAGGAACGCTTAGTCAAATCAATCTGTAGAAAATTTATTCCTTGAGGTTCACCATTACTGCATTGAATACATGTCACACTGTGGCTCTAGAACTCCTATGTTGCATGTTGAACAAACAGGTTTTCAGCCATGTTTCTTATGTTAAAGATGATATATCAACTCGACCAATAAATCATTTTTGCATACCCAAATACCATCTTCTTTACAGAAACTAAGAGAGGAATTTTGGAACACAACAAAGGAGAAAGTTGATTATTCAAAAGCAGACTGTAAAACTGAAATCGGTAATTTACCTACTGATGCTGTAGAAGCGATTCAAAGATCATGTGATCTAAATGACGCTGTGGGTTGTAATTTTTTAAGCCAATTATATATGACTGGCTTCGAAAACCTATGCAAAAAAGACTTTAAAATAGCTGCTAAATATGCTGAAAAATCCTGTGAATTAGGAGACGCAGGTGGTTGTCATAATTTAGCTCTGATGCATGAAAGAGGAGATGGAGTGCCAAAGAACCAGGCAAAAGCTGATGAATACAAAGCAAAAAAACTTGATTTGTTAAAAGGAAATACTTCACTACAATTTGGTGCGCATTAACTGTGATAGTAACGCTACATGCTGTGTTTGTGTTGTTAGGATAAAATATTGTAATAATATAATGCCGAGCCGTTCGCATCAGAAATATTTATTCAACTGGTGTCTTAACAAATTGGCGATGCTGAACCTACCACTTGAATACTCTGAAAGGCTAGGCAGGGGTTTCTCTAGAATTCAAAGAAACTAATTGTAAGAATCCGCAGCACCTGGCAAGAAAGAAGAGTTAATAAATAAGATGCCTTAAGCGATTCAATGGTTCGGGTACCTCCATATGAAACAGATTGCGTAGCCTGGACAAAGGGACTCCAACCAGTGCCGTGGGTGTGCCTGAACCATATCACAGACCACACACAGCCTTGTGTCTGGTATAGTAATCGGTAACCAGTTCTTTGTTTCAGATGGACGAACAGGACTAATGTTGTTAATTTGATCCATTGTAGGTGGTGCGATGCATGAAACCTCACTTGCAAGATTCATGTCGATAATAGTTAAACCTAAGTTAGGACCCAACAAATGCAACACTGCTTTAAGCAAGTCTCATATGCACAAGTCAAGAAAAACCTATATTTGATAGAGAGAAAAAAAGTGAAATTTAAGAAGTATTTGCTGTTCTTGGAAACCATGTCATTCTCTCTGGCTGTTCTAAAGGCCTTGTAACAGTGTGCCACCAAAAAGGCGGATATCCGTCTTTCTCCTTAGCTGCTGGTAATTGGTCAGTCATAGGAACTCCCTGAAATTAACGAGGGATGTCAGTAGCAAAACTCAAACAAAGAACAATAAAATGACTTAAATTCTTGAATCAGTACTCACTTCTTCAATATTTTTTTTATCCCATTCTTGCAATATTTTCATTTCTTCTTCCCAGGTCTGTTTTCGGATTTCTATCCATTTTTCTCGTTTGGCAAGGAAATCGGGAAACATAGCCTTTTCTTCCGCACTCCAAAATTCGATGTAGTGCTCAGGAATCTATTATTACGATAAGATTTACTGGTAGGCGCACAAAGCCTGTTTTTACACAGAGGAGATGACCAGTTTATGAAATTTGATATAGATTGTTATTATCAATATATCTGAACGGGATCCATTACGGGTAACAGTACCACTGAAATAAAAAAGGGGTATGACTAAGAAAACTAAATGACGTTCAGGTTATGGAAGTTTCTGGTTCGAAGGAAATTACTATAATCCTGACATCTACTTTATTTTCTAGTTTATATCCAATTTGTTGTTCACCATATTTGGTAATCATGGATCGATGACAGAAACACACGGTGACGTACTGACCTTGTATTTATTGAGGCGTTCAAATAATACACCTGGCTCAACACCGTCATTTGGCCACACGATTGGATCGGGACTTTGATTTTCCCAGAACTCTTCTTCACCGAGTCGTAAAAGCTGTGCTGCTCTGTTTTCACTTGGTTCATCTTTATGTTGATCAAATCTTGCCCGCAAAAGTGTTCGCTCGTAGCAATAATGAGGCCTAAAAAAGTTATGTATGAAGCATTATTCGCAGTAACCTCATTTTGCAAATACGTAAATACACAATAAGTTTATTTCGTTATGCAAGAAATCACAAATAATTCAAACACAAATTAATATACAGTAAAATACTGAATTTCATCGCAATTGAGGACCAGAACTGATCGTCATGAGTTATTACACCAAGATTTAACTGAAAATAAAATGGACACAAAAAATTTACAGGTCGAATACATCAAAACCTAATGCATTTAATTATATCACAGTAATGAACTTAGTTTTTTATTTACCAGTTTTCAGTCACACGTATGTCAATGTGCAAATCTATTTTTTTTTAAACAGATATAGTTATGTTATATTGTCATAACTATTTTATTCACCAGCCAGCAAACCTACTGCCGGTAAATCAAAACTATGAAAGCATTGGCGCGGCGGTGTGGCTCAACGGGCTAAGCGTTAGGAATACGCTCGCCACCGCAACTCTAATTACTCTGCGTGGGTTCGCAGGTTCGAATCCCATGCAGGGATGGTTATGTGCGAGAGGATTGCTGGACTCCTCGCCGTCGTTGGGTGGTTATATGGCTTCCTCCACCACCAAGTCTATGCTTCAGAAAAAACAAACAATATAACTAATTCCATACCCGACTTGGAATGGTAACCGGACGAGAGGCCGTGGTTCGCCATATGGATAAGCCGTGTTATCGGCTTTCCTCTCCCCCGGGATAAGTATGTAAATCCTCCCTTCCTGATTAAATATTTATTGGAAAAATTTCGAAATTCTCACCTTCCTAAATTGTAGCACCAAGCTTCCAAATGTCGAAGGGATTTTTTGTACAATGATAAAACTTTACGTTTATGTGTCATAAATCTGTACAACGAACTCGCTTTCACTGCATTCGCCATCTTGCTTCACTTTTGACTCAGCAGCCAGGCCTAAAAACGAAACGGTGACAGAGCCTTTGCAACAGTGCAGATTTTTCAGAAAATAATTCCAACACGGTAAAAATGCTCACAAACATTTAACTCCGCTGAAGCGTAAATATATGCTACTACGGCTGAGGGGTATTTCCGAAATTTCTATTTGAAATTTAGTTTTCATAATTTCAAAACACGTTTCATTGTTTGGGGCCGATATTTCATTTTTCAAAATAATGTGCTATATATTTAAGTATAGTTTTGCATAGAGGTGTTCAGGGTCAAATTAACTCATACTGTTGCTCTTTCGGATTCAAGTAATATTTGAATTTTCTCAAGTTTTGGACGATTAAGGCGTAAATGCGAGTTCGGAGCAACCTAGAAGCGACTTTCTTAAATTTGATAAATGTATTGGGCTTTAATTACGAATATATTAAAATGTTACAGTATTGTCGCATTTTCAGGATTATGGTATTTTGAGCAATATTAAGCCATATTTTCTCCGGTATTTACGTTTTGTTCATATTTCCGTAGCAATGGACAATCAGCGAAATCAATCAACATCGGCTAGTTTTCGTGATTTTGTGCTACTTGCCACTGCTTTCCCGTGTTTTCAAAATTGACCTAAGACCGTTTTGTTTTCGGAAAAGCCTTAGATGTCCAATGTCCATCTAACTGAGTCACAACGAAAAGTCTTAAAAAAGGCCTTGGCTTTAGTCCTACTCCCGACAGATTCGATAACTTTCAACTGCAAACAGACATTAATAAAACAATTCGCAACTACCGCTTGAGAGAATACTTTTTTGATCCATTCTCCAGTCAAACCATCAGCGAAGTAGCTGAAACATATCCGAAATCCAAGTGTTCCAAGTAGATGGACACCGCCTACTGGGAGAAATTCTGACTTAGATCACTTCGCTAACACTCTAAAACGGGAAATCCAGAAAACGACATCAAAGAAACGTACATTTTCCAATCTCAAAAAAGACGAAGTCGAGGCCTTGAGGGAACTAGCACAAAGAGCAGCAAGGGATATCATCATAGTACCTGCGGACAAAGGCGGGGGAACTTGCATACTCTCCCGAACTGACTACATCACAGAAGGTATGCGGCATCTATCGGATAACTTGGTATACGTGCATTCCAAAAGACATATCTATACAAATTGGCAACAAAGTAACCAAATTATGTCATAATATGAGGGAAGCCGACATTATTGATGACATACTATTCAAAGGGATAACTCCAAAAAGACCTAAACCAGGTCGTTTACGTTTACAACCAAAAGTGCATGAGAAAAATCACCCCAGTCGGCCAATCATATCAACAAACGGAACTGCAACGGAAAAATTATCAGCTTTCATAGATTACAAATTAACTAACCTAATGTGCAAAGAGGTAATACCATCATATGTCAGAGACAGTATGGATTTTCTGAATATTCTGAAAAAAATTGACAATATTCCGCCAGGATCTTATTTAGTAACCATGGACGTGACTTCCTTGTATACAAATATTCCACATAAAGATGGCATCTTAGCGGTGGAGAAGTATCTCAGTAAATATACCACAGAAAAACGGGAAATTCCATATATTAAAGAAGCAGTTAATATGGTTCTTGATAATAATAATTTTGTATTTGACGGAAAGCATTATCTCCATTGGGACAGCGATGGGAACTAAGATGGCTCTCAAATATGCAAACATATTTATGGCAGACTTAGAGTCTGAGATTCTAGAAACAGCCAAGATTAGGCCACAATACTACTATAGATACATCGATGACTGTTTTCTGATCTGGACACACGGTGAAACCGAGCTTATATCTTTTATAAACCATGCGAATTCAATACACCCTTCTATCAAGTTCACATTCGAATATTCAACGGAAAACATTACATTTTTAGACGTAAAAGTCCATATCATGGAGAACAAATTGGAAACGGAAATTTACACTAAAGACACGGACTCTCACCAATATCTTTTACCCTCCTCATGCCACCCCAAACATATTACTGCAAACATTCCAAAGGGACTCTTCATAAGAATAAGAAGATCGTGCTCAAATGTCGAATTTTTCGACAAGCATGCAGGAATTATGACGAAACAAAAATAAGTACCGGGAACATGACGGGAGTCCATATAAACATTAACGAAAGAATAAGTTGTAAATCAAAAAATGTTATTTATCTAATAAACTGTAAGAAATGTGGGATGCAGTATATCGGCAAGACCGGAAGGTCGTTAAAATATCGTATAACAGAACATCTGAGAAGTATTACGAAAAGGAAATATGATTTAGTAGTGGGAGAACACTTCAACAAACTGGGACATTCAATAAGTGACTTTTCAGTAACTGGAATAAAAAAACTATTCAGAGACCAGGGCTATCGCCAAACAGTAGAAGCATACTACATCAACAAATTCGGAACATTGGAACACCAAGGACTCAATTCACGGGAGAAATAGACTGTAGACTCTTTCATTTCAACGTCATATAATATTTAAATTTAACAATCACCCTTTTTCTCAAGTTTATATTATTACTCGCCTCATGATTGGCGTTTTATTTTACTATTATTTTCAAGTGTCCCAAGTTTAATTTTAATTATAATTCAAAACCTTGGATTTATGTGCTTGCGATAGTTTTTTAATTTTTTTGTCCTACTCGAAATATGCTAGATGGTTAATTCATTCATTTATTATTATAAATTATTATTATATTTTAACGCTATTTAAGATAAAAATTCAGCAATAACTTTTAACCCTTTTTAATTTTGAAATTGGTCCTCACCAAACTAAGCCTTGATTTATGTTTAAATGTCGGTTTACTTCCTCGTGGTTCTCTAAGTGCCCATAATTTTAATTACAATTAGTTACCCATCATTTTCGTAAATGCAATAATAAAACTTTTTTTTTATTTTTAATTACATCTGAATTACATTATTTTTAGCTCCACTGATATTTGTGGTTCTAATCTTCCCATCATTACTTCTACGGCTAAATGCAAATTAAATGTTTATGCATTGTTACGTCATACTTGATTTGATATTTCAAATTCATTTACCAAATTTATTTCTTGCCATTGTTGTAAACTGCTTGTCTGAGGAAGTCTGACTCTGGTCGGACAAAACGTGTAACGTAGCGAGGGTTAAAGGCGACGGCGATTGACAGTGTAGAAAAAGACCGTCTTCCTCGCTAACGACTATTGAACTGTCTTTGGAATACAGGCGAAATACTCGGCTATTCTGTTGTCCCAATATACATATAAATCAGTCAGAAATATCAACACCGCTACAACGGTGCACTAGTGTATTACAAGTGTTCATAAGAATGTAAGATGTAAGATACATGTGCAGTGCAAGTGAAGCAATATATACGGAATGAATATAATGAATAAAGTAACGAAATGAAAATACGAGACGATACTGTACAAACGCACAACGTCAGAGCGTCATACAACAGAACGAGAGAACTAACGTATACGCATTAGTAACCAACGTAAGACATACGTATTACGTTACACCTCCCTTCTTTATGAAGAAAGAAATTTACGTAGGGAATTTCTTTCACACCAAATATGGATACAAGTAATTTCAATGAAAAAATACGAAAGAAAAAATATTCATCATCTGATCAGGATGAAGGCGTTTTACTTAGGCTTGGGAAAATGCAATAATTAAAAATATTGAAATACAATTAAGCAATATAATGCGATAATAGGAAAATTCACACACTAAAAATAATTACATTGAAATATATAATAAGCACTGCAATAATGAAATTTTAAAGCATGAGAACACAATTAAAATTAAACTCACACACAATAATAGGAAAATACTGAATTAATAATAAAACAAAATCAATACAATTCAAAATCATCAAAATGAGTAGGTAATTTCGAAACACGAGTTTTCGAAACAAGGGGTTTTGAATGTTTTAATGGTGAAGTAGGGATATCGGGAGCACCACGACAAACCAAGGATTCACGTCTTGTAATAAAGGGTTTGAGCCTATTGAAATGGACTCGTATACTAGGATGGGATTTCCTAATGTTTTCATCAACTGGTTCAATCAGAAAATTCTGATTTTCTAAAACTGTAATAATTTTGTAAGGACCATTCCATAAATAAGCAATTTTAGTAGTTTCACCAATAGGTACAGAAGGTGTATAAAGCATTACTAAATCATTAACTTGAAAAGTATTAGAAATAGCAGTCTTATTATACTGTTTTTCCATTAATTTACGAGATTTCTCAAGACGCTTTCGCGCCAATAATGCAACGGAATCTTTCCTAGACATAACATCTAATGTGCTATCAATTTCACGAGAATTACTTCCGTGGGAAATGTCGCTTATCGTTTTTGTTGAATTTCTCAAGTCAAAGGGAGTATCATTTGGTACAATTCCATAAGCCAATGTGATAGGTGGAATATCGGTCGAATCATGTATGGCAGTATTATAAGCATAACACGCCAATGGTAAAACAAGATCCCAGGATAATTTTTTAGAAACAGTTAAATGGGATAAAATTTGTAACAAAGTCCTTTGACATCTTTCTGTACATCCATTACCCATCGGATGAAAAGAAGTCGTTTGGGTTTTCTTAATACCATATTCTTTACACATATCTTTAAAAATAAAACTTTCAAAATTCGAACCTAAGTCGGAATGCAAAGACTTCGGTGGGGTATGATTACAAATCCACTCAGAAACAAAGATAGGTGTTATTGTAATAGCTTTTTGATCAGGAATTGCTATACAACGTAAATATTTACTAAAGTTGTCAATCATGGAAAAAATGTATTTATTACCGGTATTTGACTTTGAAATCGTGAGAATATCACAACTAACTCTTTCGTTAATGTCACTCAAAACTGTGGGAACCAGATGTGCTTTACGAGCAGGAACTGGATTTTTTCTAGACTGACAGTTCAAACAAGACTTAACGAAATCATTTACGTCTTCATACAACGAATGCCAATAATGAAATTGCATTGCTCGTAAACGAGTCTTTCTCATACCAAAATGTCCTGAAGTACTTTTGTCATGAACATGATGAAGTACTAAGGGTATCAAAACTTTGGGAACCACGATTCTATAAGAATCTTTTCCAAGGGCTGAATCTCCAAAACGTCTATATAATACGTCATCAATGATTTTCAAATCATCAAATTTTGACCATAAGGTTTTCAAATCTGGGGAAAATTTCTCAATCTCATCAATTTCAGGTCTTAATTTATTCTCCATCCAACATAATACAACAGAAATGTCTGGATCTGCCTGTTGGTGTCTCATTAAATAATGATTATCAAGAACACAATTATCTGCAACTGAAACTTCATGAATTTCAGTTTGGGGAATTCTAGACAAGGCATCAGCATTGCCATGCAATCTACCAGGTCTAACAATTACATCAAAGTTATATTCGGCAAGAATATCTCGCCACCTACAAAACAATCTACAGGAACCTTTAAAAGATTTTAACCATTGTAATGAGGCATGATCTGTACGTATAGTAAATTTCTTTCCAAGCAAGTAAGTTCGAAAATGTTGGACAAAGTACACAATAGCATACAGTTCTTGCTTGGTTGTGGAATAATTTCTCTGGGCTTTGTTAAGAGCCAGACTACCATACGCGATAATGCGTAAGTCGCCATTTTGTTTTTGACTCAAAACAGATCCAATAGCTATAATCGAAGCATCACAATCTAAAACATATGTGTCCTCCATTTTGTGTGAAGGAAAAGCTAAAATAGGTAAAGAAGTAAATTTCTCTTTTAACAAACAAAATGCTTCATCAGCTTCTGAAGACCATACAAAAGTCTGTAAGTTCTTGGAAGTTAGTTTATACAATACATCAGCAATGTGTGAAAATGATTTTACAAAACGTTTATAGTACGTCAAAAATCCTAAAAATGATTTTAGCTCTGTAACAGTCTTTGGTACAGGCCAATTCTTTACAGCACTAACTTTCTCAGGGTCTGAAGAAACACCTTCACTACTTACAACATGACCAAGAAATTTCACCTTACTACACAAAAATTTCGATTTGCCGACATTGAGTTTCAATTTCGCGGAACGAATCCGCTCAAAAACACGGCAAATTCTGGACTTCAATTCGGTTAAATTTGAAGCATAAACAACAAGGTCATCTAAGTAGCACACACAAATTTGATACTCTAATCCTTTCAACATACGTCTCATTAGCTTAACAAAAACAGCAGGGGCAGAAGTTAAACCAAATGGAAGTACATTAAATAGGTACTGTGAAGTAGATGTAACAAAACTTGTTTTATATTTGTCCTTCTCTGCAATAGGAATTTGGTAATAACCAGAAGTAAAATCTAGACAACAAAAATACTTAGCACCACCTAGGGCATCTAAAACATCATCAATTCTAGGTAAGGGTGTATTCTGTTTTACTGTAATGTCATTCAAAAATCTATAATCACAACAAATTCTAAGAGAACCATTCTTCTTCCTTACGGGTACAATAGGACAAGAAAATGGACTTTCACACTCTTGAATTATACCATTATCTAGCAATTCTTGTATTTGTCTTTTAATTTCACCTCTAAAGGCATGTGGTTCACGCCTTGGACGTAAACGAATCGGTCCCCCGACCGTTGGAATTTCATGTTCACATAAATTTGTTCTACCCAGATCCCATGGGCTAGAA